CATACTCCGACAAGACTGCTGAGCTTATCGTAAAGCCCCATCTTGGTCAAGAATTCTCTTTAAAGTTACGGAGCAACATCACTGACGAAATGATATCAAACCAACAGAAAGTGGAAACTCCGCTCTCTGCTAAATAAACAGAACTCACCTCTCTCCAACCCACACCGGTGAACAATTGGTGAACAGTTGGTGAACTATCGGAAGTACGTGCTGACCATCGTGATGAGTACTCTCCTGGTAACACTCTCGGGCGTGCTGAAACAACTCTCCTGGTAACTCTCTTGGGCGTGCAAACTGTTACAGCGCTAACTGGTCCGAAAGTAGAATAATAGTAGAATTACAAAAATGACCTTCTTTAATTAGGATTAATTAAATTCTATTATTTTGAACTTCTAAACTCTATTTCTACTACAATTCTACATTGATTAGACAGATACTCTTTTTCCAACGTGCTCACTGCTATGGCGGTGACAGGTACTGAAAGTAGAATTGTAGTAGAATTAGGAAAATGACCTTCTTTAATTAGGATTAAAGTATTTCTAATATTTTGATCTTAACGTCTCTATTTCTACTACAAATCTACATTATTGATACAGATACCTTTTTTAAAAGAAGAAGAGTGTATAAAACTATGGAGAGGAGAGTTTGGAAGTCGGAAATGAAGGAGCGCCAGCTCCGGAATGTTGCGAAGCCAGCGGCGATGAGTTATCCACACACCTATGTTATTCAACTACCACCAACAGTTAATCCTATCACTGATTATTAAGTTCAAGTTCGGCCTGTGAAATATTATCCAGTAGAGATTCTTCAAAATCCTCCCTTCCCATTTATCTGTCGCCATGAATCTGGTTCCCCTAAATGGTAATCCAAATCAAATCAATGAATAAACTATTTAATATTCAACAATGTATTCACTTTTTTTTTGATACATATGGCAAAATATTATTTGTAATTACAATTGTTGATCATTGTTTATATAAAGATAGAGATATGGATATATTACCTAACATTATACTCAAACATATTATATCATATCTACCAGATAAAATAGATGTAGTATGTTTAGGACTAACATGTGTAACGTTCTTCGAACAGATAGAGAGGTGGATTAATTCTGATAATACATTCATTTGGGATCAATCAGTATTAGAATTTGGAGATAAAATCAATAACCCAATTACACCATACACTATACCATCTCATATATCAACATTAAAGTTTGGACTAAAGTACAATCATCCAATAGTCAATGGTACACTACCTGGATCAATAACAAAGTTGACTTTTGGTCATAACTTCAATCATCCAATCAAGTCAGCTACCCTCCCCGAATCAATTACATTCCTCGAATTTGGTTGGTGTTTCAATCACTCATTGGTCGCCGGAGCACTACCCCAATCCATAACAAAGTTGATATTTGGCAATGACTTTGATCAAGTTTTATCTCCTCGCACTCTTCCCGAAAGATTGGTTACTCTATCATATGGATATAGGTACAACTCTATGATTGAAGTTGAGGTCATTCCAAAAGGACTCAGGAAATTGTCATTTGGAAAGTGTTTCAATCAAGAAATTTTACATGGATCACTTCCTAGATCATTGATCAAATTGTACTTTGGTTGGAGTTTCAATCAATCATTGACACCGGGAACTTTACCATCTTCTTTGGAGACATTGGTATTCCATTCTGACTTTGATCAACCATTATATCCTGGTACATTACCAAATTCAATAACCAATCTCGTCTTTGGATATTCATTCAATCAATCAATATCAAAAATATTACCAAGTAATTTAAAAAAGTTATCATTTCATTCCAACTTTAATCAATCTAATTTTTTATTACCAGTTGGATCATCATTACCCTCATTAATACATACACTCAAGTTGGGATTCTATTTCAATCAACCTATAATACCAAAGTCTTTACCAAACTCTTTAACATCCTTGGAGATTGGTTATAAGTTCAACCATCCATTGACTCCAGGGACACTTCCATCATCACTTCAAAGTTTGACCTTTGGATATGCATGCTCACAATTTAATCAACAATTCATTGTTGGATCACTACCAGATTCGCTTACAGACCTTCATCTAAGTGACATGTTCAACCAGAACTTTGAAGCCAATGTCCTACCAGGATCACTCACTCGTTTGAAACTTGGTAATCAATACTATAGACCATTTCCAGATGGATCACTACCAAACTCACTCAAACAATTGATATTAGGATATGGCTTCAAATTACATCCTTGGTATATTATGAAGTTCCCCCCTGGTCTGGAGATGATATCAATATCAAACTGGAAAAGTCAACATAATTACTTAAGTCGTCATCTACCCACCTCAGTTCAGGAGGTGCATATACATACTCAATMWCATTTATACATCAGAAGATACCAATCAATTTGAACAAATTAGTTGTATACTCTGATTGTGCCAAGTCAATCATGTTCTCAATTTTTGCCAATATGCCAAATGTTACAACATACCAATTTGAGTATGAAGTGCTCAAACAACGTCACCTTTATCAAGTACGATTCTTGGACAATTCGCGACAACTAGGTCTATTTGTCTCACAAGTACTAAATGATTCAAAGTCCTCATCCGTATCATACTCCCTGGAAACAATTCCAGAGTCATGGTATGGTCATGGAATAAATATTTAATTTAATCAATTAATTAATTAATAAGATATGTTATCATCCCATTCATGGAATGTCTCGATTATGTGTTTGATACACTTGGATCGTACTTTGATGATGTCTTGCCATTGAACTTGAATTGGAATGCCAATGCTCCATGTCAATGTGAGGAAGTACTGTGCGTTTGATTGAAGGTCTGAATCACTGAGCTTCGATCCACATTTGACGAATGACTTGTTGACAGTCTTGGGCTGCAATGCTTCGAGCAACTCTAGCAGGAACAAACTATTATGTAGGAATTGATCCTTGAATGATTGGATAGGCTTGACCTTGGTGGCGTGGAGTTGTGCGTCCACCTTGCCATTGGCCCATTTGAGTGCTTGTGCCTGGTTGGCCGTCACCACGTCAATGGTGACCTTGTCGCCAAGGTGTCGTCTAAGTTGATTGAGTATCACACGATTGCTCCTGATGTCACCGCGAAGGAGATCAACACCGGCCACACCAGAGATGTTGAGTCGCTGTCTGTGACAAAGTTCGATGCAGTAGTTCAATAGCTCCAACTTCTTGAACATTGTTGTAGGTTGTGTCTTGAGACGACGTGGCTCGACAGTGCCTGGCGGCAACACCTTGTCGAATATCTTGAGGAACAATGTACCATCAGAAAATGATTCTTGCAGGTTGGTCACGGGACTCGTGATGCCGATTAATCCCATATTATTGATCCACTCCAACAACTGTGAATCATTGTTACTCTGCTCACTTGACTCGGCCACCTGATCATTGAGATTGTCCTCCACACCAATGTTGTACTCTGGAAGCGCAGGACATACTCTGATCAACTCGGCCACAAACAATAGGTTAAGCTTACTGTTCTCCGTGTCAATGATGTCGCGTGGAGTGAGCAATGGTGTGCATCCAAGCTGGGCGGCCATGTCCAGGACCAWTCTGTGCACGCTTCTCCCAGTTGCTCTCGGCCAGGATCTCATCCTTGCGGCTGCTTGATGGTGCGATGCTCTCAAAGAGGTAGGCATAGTTCTCGCAGTCCTCGACATCATCAGAGAAGTTGTTGATCTGACGATCACACACTCGTCTGAGGTGGTAGTTGAACCACCGCAGCATGATCTTGTCGCGTTGGAGATGTCTAAAGTTGTTCCTGGACTCTGCACGCATTAGATGGAATGTGAAAGTCTGTTTGAATGGGTTGACTGATTGAAGCAGGCACAACTCGATGATCTCCCATAACAGGTTATGTAGATCAGATGAGCTCAACTCTGCAACAATATCCTTGGCACCAGATGATGTTATTCCTACATGTTTTGCGCCCAATGACTTTGAAGCATTGATGGCAATATTCAAGTTGGACGAGTCCAATCCATCCTTTGCATTCGCTTCCACAACTCTCTCATCAATAATACCCGGGAATACTGTGTTCAAAAGGTAACTATTTGATTGATTATATGTATGAGTTAGTGAGTGATTGAGTGATTGGAATCATACCAGTAGTAGTGCATGGAAGAATATTTACCAGAGTAGTTGACCATCAGTTATACTTTTGATAATGTCGTGGGGAGAGTGAGGGATCTTGGTGGATAGACCAGGGATGGTGGTATCATTGAGTATGTTGCTGATGTACTTTGTGGCGAATGTACGTTTGGATACTATTTGTGACTGGAACTCTTCCTCCCAATTGCCACCGACCTCTTCATATATGGCATTCAACACAATCAATTGTGTCTCTACATTCTCTGACAGCAATTGATCCATTGTAACTGCACTGCCTGTTGATGTCGTACCGGCGCCGCCATTATAATCATTGAGTTGCTTCACAATATGTCCTGCCTTGACGGCATTCGATACCATTGACAATCCATCAAGTCCAAATTGTTCAGGCTCCAACTTATGAAGTAAATGTATATATTTGTTCAAGTTCTAAATAATATGTATGTTAGTTTGGAATCATTCCACCCACGCCATATATCGATCTAACAAGATACATACATCCTCAACTGTGGACAAGTCATTGAGTTGTTTGCTACTCTGGCTTCGATCGCGTGTGACATAGTTGGCCCATGAGAGGAGGAGGTTGTCAGGGGCTGAGAGTGTGGCCTCCTCGAGAAGGAACTTAAGAGCGGGCTTCTCTGCTCCAACACACTCCAATCTGGCTTGTAATGCTCTTAGTCTAGGATCCGACTTGCTCTTCCCCAATAACTCCTGCTTCTCCTGAACCAATTGCCTCTCCTTCTCCAACAACTCTTGTCTCTCCTTCTCCAACCTCTCGGTCTCCAATCTCTGCTTCTCAATCTCCTCCTCCAATCTCACCATCTCCTCTTCCTGTTCTCTTGTCCTCGCCTCATCCAAGTCTGCCCCTGTCTGCTCCTCCTCAACTTTCTCCACTACATGTTCTGGCTCCTTCTCCTTCTCTTTGATCTCCTCTACGATGATTGGTTGTTGCTCCACGACCACTGGGAGGGGTTCGATGATGGGTGATTGTTCGTCGTCCGCCCTCTTCTCGAGTTCTATTTGTCGTTCACGCTCCTCCAACAACCTCTTCTCCTCTGCTGCTGCCTCATCTTCACATGCTTTGTCATCTTGGGGGACAACTGATGGCGATGATGATGACTGTTGATCAATCTGTTCACCACTCGATGACTTTGGCATCACTGACATTCTGTTCTGTGATCTAGTTGACACACCAAAGAACTGAGTCTCATAAGCAAACATCCTCCTTGAGAAGTCCAAGTTATCCATCCATTTCCTCATCTCATTGGCACTATTGGCCAACATCACATATGTCCTGGCAGGTGTGACCAACTCAAAGCATGACTATGAGGTCGAGGCATTGTTAGTCAGGTCCATGTGATACAAGTGATTGAATTATCAAACCTTACCTTTGAATACTTGGATGGCACTTCGGACAGGTCTGTGACTGTGCGGATCGTTTGGACGRCGGACTTCATGAGGATACATCCCATCTCGGGACCGACGCCTTTGGCCTTGTGATAGACAAGCTTGTTCTTTTTGAGAGTGTACCATCGTTTGTTCCAATTCTTGATCATGTTCTTCATGAAGTTGCCACCACGTTTGCGAAGGATCCATCCTTCAAAGTAGGGCACCTTGATGAATAGGTTGACATCACCCTTGGCCGTACGTAGTAGACCAGCAGTGCACTCACCGACATATCCTTGTTCTCTAATTGACATGTCACCAGTGAGCACTTCAATCTCTTCCTCATTCATTCCATATAGTTCAGTCTCTGTTATTATAAATGAAGAGGGTACCTGTGCCACGATCACCTGAACGATCTCTGACACATTCAAAGTATCATCAACCATCACTGTCTTGTACTCATCAGTGCCTCTTGTGATCTTGATCGGTCTATATCTCTTCTTGAACTCTACAAACTCCTACATATATTTGAAATGATTGTTTGATTGTCAGCATGTGATGTGTTTCCGTGTTTCCGAGCGGAAACTGTTTTGTTTCCGCGGCAACATTGTGTTTCCGATTTTCCGTGTTTCCGGAAAGTGGGTGATTTTGTACTTACCATCACTGGAGTCTCTGGACGTGTACTGAATAACATTGATTCTTTCTGATCGGTCTCACCTTCCAGTCCATAAAAGTCCAAAGGATAGTCATCTCTGAACCAGATTCCATTCTGATCGTCACGTGGTGGTAGGAACAATCCATATTGTTCATGATCGACTCCCAACTCTTTGGCAATATGAAGACGTGCCTCCTGTACTGACTTCTTTGGAAAGAATTGAAACTTCTTGAACACCTTCTTATCCACCAATCTAACCTTCAATACTATTGTATCTGCGCTTGCCATGTTTCCTTTTCCTATCGCGACAACTATAATAATAATATTTACAATACTCTGTCAACTGATTGATTGATTGATTGATTGAATGGTGTTGGTAGGTGTGGATATAGGTGGAAGTAGTGGAATATGTGTGAGGATGGATGAGTTGGCACCTCAATGAATTGGATGGATGGATTGATTGATGGATGGATCATTATTATTCGTAGTGAGTATAAAAGAGGTCACCATTACCCTCCTCCTTCCTTCCAGTCATGGCTTGATGTAGAAACACATCCATTAATATAAATGTGTGTATGTGTGTGATTGATTGTTAGTAGGTTGGTGGGGGAGTAAGTGGTCAATCAAAGTATAAGTGGATACATACTTAATGATCATGTGATAACACACATTGTGTCTGATCAGAATTACATAACAGAGTGGTTAGATATATAAGTGTGTGGTTCACACATACATCAATCTATTATTACTACAAGGTATTAGTAGTAGTGGAGTGTAGGTAGTATTAGTATAGGCCATCCATGGATGGCTCGATGTATGAATGAATGAATGATTGGAATCGGAAATAGGAGATGGAAAGATGATGTTGATTGATATTGTTGATTTTGTGTGTTTATTGGTATGTCATGTTGTTGATGAATGAATGAATGATTGAATGGTTGAAGGTGACAATATAGGTTGTTGCGGAGGCTGCGAGAGGGTGGTCCAGATTGGTGTCGACCCGACTCATATGTTTAGGAGGAGTACGTTGATGATGATGATGATGATGATGTTGTTGTTGATGAAGTGTCAGATTCGCTGTTGTTGGCAACACCACCACCAATCTTGGTGGAACTCAAGAGTTGTTCGCAGGTCTCATCGATCAGAGTCTTATCGGCCCATATGCAACGACGCATACGAGAGAACTCCTTGGCCCAGGCCTCGGCGACCACTGACATGTCCAACACAGACTCATAAGAACGTTCACGAATCTTGGCATAGTGATGTGGACTCTGGTAAATGGCAAAGGCTCTATGCAGTGCCTGTACAAAGTCCGTATGCTTGTGTGCTTCGAATGTGAATCCATTTCCTGTCTCGTCAATTTGATTATACTACATATGATTGTGATTGAGTGAGTGATGGAGGTCGATCATATGATGTGGACTGACATAACATACCTCGAATACAGTGTCCTTCAAACCACCAGTCTTGAACGCAATGACGGGTGTACCAGCGGCAAAGTACTCTTGTTGTACGACACCACTTGGCTCGAACAGTGATGGCATGAGACCAAAGTCTGATCCAAGGTTGACCAAGGCACCATCGCTAAAGAATGCATCAGGATCAGCCCAGAATGAGTTGGGGAACTGCTTGGTGAGTGCTTGCATACTCCACGCGCAGCTGCTGGCATATGGATCCTTCATGTTGGCCATTCCTCCGACCAACACCTGGATCTTGCCCTGGTAGTGTCCGATCAACTCCCTCATAGCGTTGAGGATCAGATGCACACCCTTCTGCAGCACGATTCGTCCAACAAAACTGAAGATTGGTATAGTCTCATCGACAAGGTTGAAGTACTTCTTCTGCAACAGAGCCTTGGCCTCGTGTCTGCTTGTGGCCAGTGTAGTCAACTGAGTTCTCCTCTCCTTTACACGAATTCCATTGGAGTGTGCTACATTGAATGGTAATGTTAGTGATCGAAGACTTGATCGGATGAGGTGAGTGATTGGGTGAGCGAGGACATACCGAATGCTTGAGGGAACTGATGGAGAAGGTTGGCCAGGTGTGAGGTCCTCAGCAAGTCGAACAAGTATGATTTGGATACAGTTCCCCAGTTGTTACATGTCAGCAATGCACATCGAGCTAGATTGATTAGAGTGATTGAGTGAGTAAGTGATGTATGAAGAATGATTGATCATGATAACACTTACATGCATTGAGGACAGGGACGTGGGAGTGTGGATCCATGATGAGGTCGCGATGCAACTGATGGATCCAGTTGAGGTCATCGTTACCGTCGGGATAGATGCGTCCTTGGTAGGCCTCCTCGAGGTTGTGTACAAGATGGAAGAAGGTGGTGCCATTGAACGTTGTACCAAATGCTCCTGCCTTGGCATATCCAGGCACCAGTCCACAGAACCAATCGTTGGTGACAATGACCGATGGCAACAGTCTGATCTGGCACAGCAACTCTAGTGAGGCCTTAGCAAACAGCACAATGGTCTTGAGTTGATGTATTGGCGAGCCAGAGTTGTAGGGCGTTGGGAAGTACTCAAAGTGGTGTAGGAAGTGCAGATGCAGACCGCGGTCTGTACCCTCGTGCACACCAACCTCCACCTTGTCTGGGCCGACATAAGTGACGACGTTCCTCTGCCACTTGATGCCCTCCTCCTTCTCGAGATAGCCTGTTCGTCCACCCTTGCCATAGTTGTAGTAGGGTGAGATGATGTGCACCTCGACACCAAGCAGCTGGAGACTGCGTGTGAGCTCGTCAAGCATGACACCGACACCACCAACTGTGGAGAAACGTCCAATCTCTGGTGTGATAAAGACGATTGGTCCAAGGATGTTTGATTGCAACACCTCCTTGCATATCTTGGGGATTCGCGAGTTGATCAGGCCCTTCTTGGCGATGGCCTCCAAGTATGAAAGGATCTTGTAGCCCTCGAACTGTGCCTGCTTGGTCATGTTGTACAGCACACCTTGGATGAACGATGCAAAGGTGCGCTCAGAGTGGCCGGAGAGGTTTGAGAGGATCTCCTCGAGGGCTGTGGCAAACTGGGTGACGCCGGCCTGCAGTCCCTTCTTGAGGATCGAGTAGATGAGGTTGTGCGATGGGTCGACGTCGTCAGCAAGCAGTTGCTTGAGACGAATCATACTGTGCTCGTACAGTACACGAACGGCTGCCGGTGAGTTGACCTGATGGAACACGCCCCAACAGATCGAGGAGAAGCCAGGAACTGAGACAAAGTGCTTCTCGTACAACAATTCTTGCAGACTGAGGTACTGGGGTGGGTTGCTCGGGTTGATTAGGTCGACCATGCGGTAGATGGTCTCAGTGGTGGAGATACGCGCCAATGGACTGCAGTCAACGTAGAACTCAGTGTCGTGGTTGTCAAAGTTGATGGCAATGATGGCCAGCTCGTCGCCAGAGAAACGAGCAAAGCCAAACACGCGGTCGTGCCAACCGGCGGCGTGGTAGCATAGCAGTGGGATCATACCACCGCGACGCAGCAGCGTGTGATTCTTGCGAAGTGTGACACGATGCGAGTAATGTCCGTTGATCTGAGGGTATTGCAGTTGGTAGGGTGTGGACGACATTCCGACCTTGACACGCGATGAGTGGATGTCCACGTGGTAGTACCAGCCAGACTGCTCGCCAATGTATGTGATGGGGATCTCGGGCAAGAAGAAGAGGGCGTCGACGGCGGCCCAGGCACCAGCGTTGTATATCTGCAGTGGGTAGGGTGTGTGATGGGTGGACGACGGGAATAGGATGATGGAGTTCTGTGGATATGTGGACATACGCATCTCGTAGTACTCGTACAACGCCTTGACGCTCTGTCGTTGGCGCAGGTCAAACACTATGCCGTCCTTGCTGATGCCCTTGTCAAAGACTGAGGCGAGGGCGCGTGGGATGGCACTGCTGTATGGCACCAGTCCCGAGATGATTGAGTGAAGCTCTCGCTCCCAGTACACCTCGGCAAGGAAGACGAATTGGGGGAAGCGGTTCCACACCTCGCGCGTCATCTTGATAAACAGTGGATTGGGATAGAAGGGCGTGGACTGCTTTGGTGAGGGCGGGGTCGTGCCCCAATAGCCAAAGTTACGGCCCTCCTCGCTCGGGTTCATGACGATTTCACCGTCAAAGATCTGTTGATTGGTGAAGTGCGGCAGGTCGTCAGAGTCCAGGCGGTAGAGCTCGTCGAGGTTGGCGCGGAACAGCAGCGGACAGGTATGTCCACTGTCGATGCGCACGCCATCCACTCCTCGCTCGCCCCAGTGAAGCGTCTCCTCCACCCACATGTCCCATACGGATTGCTTGCGGAAGTTCATCATGACGACGTCGGGCCAGGTGATCTCGACACTGTCTGTGCCCTCCAGACGACTCAGCTGACCCTTGTGATCCAGTGTGTGTACGATGCTGCCATTGTACTTCCTGTGAGCCATCTTGGATGACAGTCTTGCGGTCGAATCAATGACAATCTTGATGCCCAGTTGCTTGGCCTTGGTCACCAAGGTGTTGAACAGTGGGATGCCTCCAAGTGAGCGATTGGGCAGGTCACGGTCGGTCGGACAGAATGGATGAGCCTGCGACACCTTCTCCAGGATGCCCATAACATAGAGTGTGGTTACGCCGTCCTTGTGGTACTTGTCCAGTGCGTCGATCAGACTTTGGATGTTGCCCTTCTTTGATATCTCTCCTCTGTACGGGTCCCAGATGGCGTCCTGCAGGTCGACCCAGACCTCGTGCATGATCTCCTCACGCAGCTTGGGATGAACAATGAAACGACCCTGTATCAGAAGGTCGTTGGTGACGCCCACTGGAACTGTTGGGGTGGGCGACGAGTAGGTCTTGAGCCTGTACGACTGGTGATCAAAGGGAACGAACTGGCCATTGGACTGAAGCTCGGCAAAGCGCCAGTCATAGTAACCAGCACGGTGGAACGATGTGGATGCTTCGAATGTCAGTTTGGTGCCCTCGACACGTGGCTTGTGCTTGGAGAACAGTGTCACGGTGGCCGAAACAGGCAGTCCGAGCGACACCTTGGTTGTGGGTGGCATCGTGGTCAGCAGGTACACACGCTTCAACACCTCCTCTGGTAGAACTTGCTCGAGCTCCAGCTCAACCTTGAAAGCATCACCAATGCAACGGATCACGGGCTTGAGGGGTGAGTCCACCTGCCAGTTATGAGAGTCGTACACGACGTTTAGCAGCTTGACGGCTTCCTGTCGCACGCTCGCCGCGGCATGGCCAAGGAGTCCGATGGCCAGCTTCTCGACAAGCTTCAATGATGACCTGTGCTGGATGGATATCAAGAAGAACACCTCCTCCATGATCTTCTTCATGAGGCGCAGCGACTCGGCCTCCTCCTCAGCCGATACGACTTGCAGTACACCTGGTTGTGGACCGGTCGTGGGCGGGAACTTGCGTCGCAGGTTGACAAAGGTGTCGCGGTACTCAAGGTACTTCTTGCCCGACCATATCTTGTTGGGGTACTCGCAGAGGATGGCTGTGGCGAACTTGGCCGCAATCTCCTCGTGATGATTGACGTTGACCAGCTTTGATCCAGTTGAAGTAGATTGGGTCGACCCAAGTCGATGTCTTGCTCTCGATCGTCTCCGTCATACGTTTGTTGATGCAGTTAATCAACTTGGACTCGAGGTAGTAGTCTAGACGTCCATACGATCGCTCGACCATCAACAGCGCGCGCAGGTCCAGGTTGACGCCGTCCGAGATGGTCTTCTCCGTCTCGGCACTCACAGGTGTCTGTGTCACATCGCTCGTCCAATATATTGAGATGTCCAACCACTCTGATAGTGTCTGCTCCATCTTGCCAGTGATCTCAGCAATCGACTGTGGCGCGATGGATATGGTTGGAGGTGCATTGTGAGTGGCCTTGAACGAACTACTCGCAGGTACCATTGTGTCGATGGTTGGCGCGGGCTCGGTGGGAGGTGGTGCCTGGACAACAGTGACCAAGGGTACGTTTGAGGAGGGCGCAGGTGGGAACATGGTGGATGTGCTACCACTCAGTGTGAGTGGCACTTGCTGCGTGTTCGTGACGATGGGCATGGATATGGGCATGGGTGGTGGGATCAATTGGGAATTGTCCACAAGGATACTACTTCCAATTGGGGATGCCGATGGCATTTGGTGTGGCATGGTCTGCACGCGAGTCGATGGCGAGATTGACATTGACGCTGTTTGATTGACAATACCATCAAAGGAGGGTGGTCCTCGCGAGGACACGGTTGGGAAGAACGACTCGGTAAGTCTGGTTGGTGGGAGGCCAGAGGGTGACTGAGTTGGCATGTCAAAGGTGGCGCGGAAGTTTGATCCGGCACTGCCCTGGTATGAGGATGGCATAGTAGGGAGGGTGGTGGCCGGTGACACTACTCCGGTCATGCTGTTGACAGCAATGGCGGGAGTGGGCTGCGAGCCGATCTGGAAGGCTGAGCTCGACGACTGGCTCAGCGCATGGCCCACTGGGAAACGGTTCTGGAAGTTGGGAATGGGAATTGAGTTGGGGTACTCTGAGCCGTCTGGGAGCAGGACGGGATCGGTCTCGAACTGACTGGGTAGCTTGTTCATATTGGGGTTGTTTGGGACGTACTCCTGTTGTTGTGTGGCCAGCTTCTCCTGCTGCTGGACGCGATCGAGTTGTTCCTTCAGTCCCTTTGTCAGCGCCGACTCCTTTGGGCTGTTGGCCATCAGTGCGGCCAATGAAAACGAGGGCGAAGGCGCGGGCGTGGGCTGACTACTCGTGCCGCTGTTGTTGTTCTTGAATGAACTCTTTGAAACGACGAATGATGATGGTGGTGGCGACGTTGGCGCGGTCTTGTTGCCACCAGAGGACTCGGAGGCCTTGGGCGAGTTCAATGAAGCTGCGCCTGTTTGTGTTGTTGGAATCGTCTCCTTCAGGATTGGCGATGTGACTATTGGTGTAATTGGGGTCGACTTGATCTCGGGGTGGCCGCCATTGACATTGCGGTCCGGCTTGCTTGTGAGTGAGTTGGAGGATAGCGACACGTTGCTGAACTGCTTCTTGTCCCTGAGTCCATCCAACACGTTGCCCTTGTGCTCGCTGCTGGACTTTGAACTTGCCAGCTTCTTTAACAGTTGCTGGTGCAGGCCGCTCTGTAACAGGGACTGATGTATCTTGAGAATGAGGCTCGACCAGTTGACCTTGACCGATCGCTCACCTGCCGCCTGGACATGCTTGCAGCGACCGCCGCTCGGGACGGGCACGCCGCCCGGTCCAAAGAAAGGCTCTATTCCATCTATGGACTCGCCCAGTGCCGCATCGGGATCGTCGGACGAGCAGACTGCCAGATCAATGGTGAAGCTGCCGTCCGCCAACGACGAGGATTGGGTTGCGATGTGCTTGGCAACCATCTTTCGAACGATGTCCAGGATGGTGGCGCACTTGTTCTCATAGTCGGAGCTGGTGGGCAGTGTAACTGTTGGTGCAGGGCCGTTCGCCGAGTTGAGTGTCGGTGAATGTGTTGTATCTGGTGTCATCGATCGCAGATCAGACATGTTGTCCAGCAGTACAAGTGATATCGGTAGCTTGACCTTTGGCAACGTTGTATCACTACCACTGCCAGTGGAGGCAGGTGACAACTGTTGTTGTTGTTTCTTGTCGGTAGTGGTTATTGGCGATATCACAGGCACCTCTTCATTGAGCACCTGCAATATTAACTCATCTATGTTCATCATTCTGTTGAGTTGATACACACAAGTAAGTATAAGTTGTTGTATTAGCCTTCGTCGGTAACATACATACCTTCACTTTCACTTCTCTCTTACTCTAAAGATGAGTTGAGTGAATGATGTGTTTGTTGTTGAACAAAGATGATTATGATTAGGTTTATAAGATGGAGATATGATTGATTGATTGAATGAGTTATGAAGTTGAATGTAAGTGTCAATGAGAGCTGAGATGAGACTGACTGACTGTCTTTGTCTCGTCCAGATGTCCTTGTGGATCTATTGGTGGTGTGGTGGTCTCAAGCAAAGGCCTTGCTCTTCACTCACTAATAAACTTGCAAGTGACATAGGATACCAAAGGCTCCCTTCAAACACACTCTGTCTCATTAATTAAATTAAAGTTATTGTTGTTGGTGTGAGGTGGAAGTGTGGGTTGGTGAAGTTAGTTGACAGTGATTTTGATCTGTTTTCCCATTTATGGGGGTCTAATCGGTGTGTTGTGTCTCCACACCTTTGAACTTGATCTAATCTCTGTGTGGTGAAGTTGTCCATCATTCATTGGTATCCAAACTTTATCTCTAAAGCAGCAAGGATTAAGTCATAAACAATTAATTGTATTTATAATAATTCATATATGAACTGATTGAATGATTGAACGAATGATTGAATGATTGAACGAATGATTGAACGAATGATTGAACGAGTGATTGACAATGAACGAATGAATACAAGAATTGGAATGTTGTTACTTTCTTTTGATTTATGTAAATAACTCAAAGTGTTGTTGAAAGAAGAATGAATGAATGAAGTTGATAGAGTGGATTTAAAGTAATGATAGAGTAGTTATCGTTATGAAGAGTAGTGTAAGATGTAGACTGGAGAAGCCATTTGAGAGTAGTTTGTATCCACTGTTGGGCTTGGCACCACCGATCATCATTGAACAGTCCGTGTCGGTGAACTGGCTAGACATACAATCAACCGTGGACGTGTCCACGCCCTGGACGCCATCGCACGCCGTCTTGTACCGCATGCACACGTCGCGACAGAGTGGCTTCACTCGCTGGCCATCCCTCGCACGGCATGCAGCCGCTGGAGCAGACGTACGCCGCCTGCATGTTGTAGCAGTCGACCTCTGACGGTGACTTTGGCTTGTTGGCGATCAGACGCGAGGTCATCAAAGAGTTGGCAGCGCTACAGGACTGCGCCGATGCGACACCCGTCACGTTCTGCGGGATCACACAGTGATCGATGCCAGCTGGCACCTTCTCACAGACTGAGGTCGTTGAGTTGCAGTCACCGCTGTCCCACTTGCAGTTGACCGTGTTACATTCGACGTTGCAGTGTCCGTTGCCGAGCATCGATGGCACACACTTTGGCTCGCAGCGAGTGCCGTTGGCGAGGCCGTCACAGTCACCGCCATCAAAGTTGCAATCCTTGACGTTGCACTTCTCCATGCACCAGTTGTCGCCGACCATGCTGATCGGACAGCCTGGCGCACACTCTGTTCCGTTGAGTCCGGCGTCACGGCAGTCGCCACCATCGAACAGACAGGCCTTGATGTAGCAGGCCATGTCACAGACACCATTGCTTATCATTGTGTTGTTACATCCTGCGTGACAATCAGCCACCACAGTTGGAGCCATTGAGCAGTCGCCTCCATCAAACTGACAGGCCTTATTGTAGCAATCCGGATCACATTCTCCATCTCCAATGAATGTCTTGTAGCATTTAGGTGCACAGAACATTGAGTCTATCATTCATCCATTCATTCGTTAGTATCTCTGGCCCAATCAATCAATCAATCAATCTTGGTTGGTTACTTACTATCTGAAGCGCTGGCAAAGGCACAATCACCTCCATCGAAGGAGCATTCGCGTACTTGGCAGGCAATGTCACAGACCTTGTTGGAGATCATACCGAAGGTGCATCCAGGACTACACTCCTTTCCAGCCAAATTGCAATCACCTCCATCAAACATACATTCAGTGACATTGCAACGCAGTGAACATACAGTATCGAACATCATCGCTTTAAGACAACCGGCAGCACACTCACTTGGCAGCTTTCGATCACAATCACCATTGTCAAAGTCGCACTGTGCTACATTGCAAGCACTATCACACACTCTATCACCGCGCATCTTATCACGGCAACCTGGTGCACATTGGGCTGTTCCAATTTGATGAGTTAGTAAGTATGAATGATTGATTGAGGACGAGTGATTGATTGAAAATACCTGGCAAAGTTGAGTTTGTTGGACCATGATTACAATCACCTTTGTCGAGTTGACAATCAGTGTTGTGGCACTCTGGATCACATATTCCATCACCGAGCCAACTTAGTCGACATCCAGGCATACAGAAATCTAATGAAACTTTGTTAGTTCAATCATTCACTCGATCACATCATTTAGGAGAACTTACGATTTATAGGTCTTTGTGGACAATCTCCATTGTCATTCTGACATTGAGGTACACTACATTCAATATCACAATATCCATCACCTATCCATGACTTTGGACATCCAGGTGCACAAAGTTCATCTGCATCAACATATGCTATTGTAATTGATAATAACAGTAGGATACCTGAAACAAGCTTCCAAACTGTTGTCGTTGTTCTACTATTCCTAAATTGATCAGACATTGAATCTCTTTTTGTCTGTCTAGACTATAAATAAATAAATAAATAAATATTTCTGCAACAATATTGATAATAATAATACCAAACTACAATACAATACGATACCCGACTACACCTTAAAGTCATCATACAATTGACATGTATTCATTAAACAATGACTGGACACATCCAGAAGAGTTGGAAACTCACCACACCCCACAATCAATCATATTCATCAACTCTTCTGACTTGTTTGTTCATCACATTATGATGTGTGTGTTGGATAATTGATGTGTTCGGACAATGATATGAAGGGGATGAACACACTCTCATGTGATTGGACAATCCAATAAATGAAGTTCGACCCTTTATATATATAATTAGGTTGTAGTGATTGATTGATGTTGGACCTAAGCTTCAACACAAGTGTGTTTATTGGTCCTTTCGTATCCATTCCAACTTCCATCCCTTGTCTAGACATGTCATTGGTCAAATCATTAATAACTGATTGGATGTGGACTTCAAAAGTTAATAACTTTGAAAATGGAACTGATCATGAGGGGAAGGCGATTTATTTATTATATATATTATTACGTTTGACGGGATTGATGATTATATCCGCTGGAAGAATCCACATCTTTTGGAAGGTTGGAAACCGATTGTTTGGAATGCATCCACTAATAAACTTTGATTAAATCGATAGATTGTCGCTCTTGGGAAATCCTTTGTTTGATTATAAGGTGAATAATCAGTGATATACATTGATATATTACAAATGTTGTTGAACGATTGGCATCCAAGATGCTTGGCCATCCTGTCCAAGTGATGCTTGAGTGAATTGATTCCATTGCATGCATGTAACAACTCAATCTTATCAATATTGAATAATAAGTTGAGTGTTTTGAATGACCATAATGATGATGATGATGATGATGTTGGATTGAGAACTGGAGCGACACATTTGATGTCTGGAAGGGAAAGAGTAAGGGTCTCCAATCTTTTGAGTTGTGTTAATGCCTCACATAGTCTCTTGGCAACATCCTCTGGAAAATGATGGCGAGGTTCAGGTTGAATGTCCAATCTGAGCTCAACTAAATTGATAAACATGGGAATACAGACCATGTTGTTGGAAAGGGTCCCGAATTGGTAATAACTGCAAAACATCATCACACTCAATGTTGTGATGTTATCCAGTCCACCATCATTATGAGTCTCAATCATATTGCCGCCCAAATTTTCCAGATTCACATTGATCTCAAAGGTCGTGTTGGGTGTGATGGGCTTGGGTATTGATCCAGAATCCAATTTAAATGAGTACTCAATCTTTTGAATCGATGGACGGTCCTTGACATTGTGGTCGTGCAGTATGTTAATTGTGTGATCATCCATATAACTTGAATTACTACTCGGATCACGTAGTTTGGAGTCAACAAACTTGATATGAGTGATGTTTGGAGCATTGACATGGTGAAAGTTGACGATTCTCTCATCGTCACTCCAACTGAATGGGACAATCAATGACTCGAGACGCTCCAAACATTCTGGTTCCAGTGCCTCAGGGAGGAACCACAGTTGATCCAAATGAATGTGAAGTGGTGGATTGCGCAAGAGACAGAACTCTGATCCAATGTGTTCGATGTACTTGTTAATGGGCAATGTTGTGATCACATTGTTTGAGAGCACCGTGCTCACTGATCCATGGAATTGTTTGGAGACCATCGATAACATCAACAACCAATCGGTATCCAAGTCAACTTGATCATCGAGTATGATCATCTTGACAATGTGTGTGATGAGCAGTGGTGGAAGTGATGGGATGATGTTGGTCCAAGGCGCATCCTCCCACTCTTCATGTTCGGGTCTAAACCTCCATCGTGCCAGACCACGGGCGCTGTTCTCCCAAATGATTGAATGATGCTTGAATTGTTTGAATGATTGTTTGTGAGTGATAAACTCTGGATGCTGAGTGTCCACTCTCTCCATCATACGTCGCTTATGACTTTGATATTCAGTAATATTTCGGTCGCCAATCTTGAACTTATGCTTGAGATATTGATATGCTGCGGCAGGATGTAACTTTGGTTCCAGTGTCGTGTCCATCAACAATCTCTCCAAAACTGCCGGTGGCTCGGCACCACAGTCGTAATCCATATCTTGGTTGATGTTTGGCTCAAACATCATCATGTTGTCAATGAGTGTGATCCACATTGAAGAGAGATTGCTTGGGTTGGAGTTGACAAATCCATGCAAGTCCTTCGTACTTGGATGTTGGGTTCCATTCACCATCATGTCGATTATATCATTGATAAATTGTTCGCCAACAAGATAGCCTCGTTCATTGCACTTGCCAAGTAAATGATAATTGTTCGGTGATGTGATCGAGAGCATGTGATTGTCAAACAAATGTTTGATCTCTGTTGGGTACTTCTCCATCAACTCATCTGTGAGGAGTTGCTCTGAGTTACAGATACTAATCAGATGGGTGATGGCCAGCCGAATGAAATTGATTGATTGTCGATGCGACATCTCGAATAGAGCAACTGACGCGAGGATGATGACTTGAACTCCCTCAATGTTTGAGTCGAATACTCTGTTCCAATTAATGAGTTCATTGAGATTGGTAACCATGTGGAAGACATCCTGTCCATTCTCTGAGCACAGTCTTAGACAACGACCGATGCCAACTAGTAGCTCCGATATCTCAGTGTGGCACATATCCTTTTTCCTTGCAAGGTAATCACCTACTTTTGAATGATACTGGTCGAAATAATGAGTGAGTGAGTGATAGATAGATCACAACATCGTTGCGAGTATACCTGCCGTATGTACTTACTTCTGGATACTCGAGGCCAAGACTCATGATCAGTGTCTTCTTGTTGGGTTTGTCAAGATTGTGCAAACAATGATCGAAACAGGATTGGAATGATCGAATGAATGGGTAGAACATTGAGAATCGGCTGTTGATATAGTGCTGATTGAACAACATGTCAATCATCAATTGTTGATTCCTATCCTCATCAATCACTTCATTACCCAACTTCATAAGAGTGGGGATGAAGACATTATTACTTCCATGTTGATAATACTCTGCTTCAGACACAACGAGGCTGTATGAATGAGTGAGTGAATGAGATGGTGTAAGTGAGTTAGTGAGTGACGGGTGGATGGATGACTGGATGGATGGATGCGTGACAGCTTACTCAAAGAGTTCTTGCTTGTGGGGTACAAGGTGGACTGGAAGTACTATTCTTTCTTTGAGTCCAAGATATCTGAGCTTGATGTCTTTGGACGTCGAAGGCGAGAAGAACCATCGATTGAGTCGATCATTGATCATGCCACGTCTTTGTCCTTGATGTTCATCACAAAATGCTTGAACAATATTGTCATAACCATTGTTGTCAAGATGAATATAGTTTATCATCAAGTTGATGTATTGTTCAAAGAGATGATCGATTCGCTCTTGGTTGTGTGTGGCACGCAGAGGTGTCAACAAAATGTTGAGGAATGATTGATCGACCAACACCATGTATGACCAATGTCGCTCCTTAATGGCTGTGTCCAGATGTGACAGTGCATAATCATGTGATACATCCCTGTTCAACAACTTGCTGACCAAATCATACACTCCATTTGCTTTAGAGTGTTCAACTTTATATTGATTTCCCAGCATCTGAATGGGATGGATGGATGGTGGATGTTAGTCACTCACTCATTCAATAATTCAATCATTCAATCATCCATCATATAGCTACATACCTTGGAAATGAGTGGCAAGAAGGCATTGATGAAGTAGTCTTGATTGAGTGATGGAGGTGGTGTTGCCAGTGCCACAGACAGCGCATCTATCAGCTCTTTGCAATGCCAAAAATACTTGAGGTAATTGGTCATCTCCTCCACGATATCGTCCAGTAGTCCAATATTATGACTAGGACCAACCGACATCTTCATCTTGTCACTTTGTCGTGGTTTGACCTTTGGATGGATGGTAGGTGCTGCCGCACTATATGTATCCTGTCCAACGATATCCAACTCATAGACCACGATGTACCCTTTGATCGTGAACTTGAACCTCTGCAGTCTCACATTGATTGACATCTTTGGTTCATTTTGTTGAGCCATCTCATACTCTCTCAGGAGTTGATGTGGAGGACCATCATTCACTCCAGCTTGAAAGAATATTGCTGGAACAAAGTGTTTGCCATTGGACAGTAACATACTATGAGTGTGTATCTGAGTCAGTCATCCAATCAATCAATCAATCAATCAAATATACATACCTCACTCTGTTATGTTGTTGATTAATAGATGCCTTGTCTGCACAGAGATGAGATGTTAGTGTGTAGAAGATATCATTACCATTTGAGTGTGCAAGCCTCTGAAGTAAGCATTGGTCCAATGTATCTGATGTGATCATATTATATAATCTCTTTGGTCACTGAATGATCATAATGATGGAAATTTATGATCTTTTGATCACAAAACAGTGTTGAGTTTGGTGAGTCTTTATTTCCAGTAAATATTTGAACCCTTATAATATTTATATTATAATTAAATTAATTATTATTTATTTATTTTATTGATTGTAGTGTAGTGTCCGATTTGATTGGAATGGAACAACTTGACGATTATATCCGCTGGAAGAATCCACATCTTTTGGCTGGTTGGAAACCAATTGTTTGGAATGAATCCACTAATAAACTTTGATTGAATCGATAGTCTTCCAATGAATAATAAGTGATATATATTGATATATTACAAATGCTGTTGAACGATTGGTAACCAAGATGCTTGACCATTCTGTCCAAGTGATGCTTGAGTGAATTGATTCCATAGCATGCCTGTAACAACTCAATCTTATCAATATTGAATAATAAGTTGAGTGTTTTGAATGTTGCCATTGATGTTGAGGATGTTGTTGGCTTGAGAACTTGCGCGATAGATTTGATGTCTGGAAGTGAAAGAATAAGTGTCTCCAATCTTTTGAGTTGTGGCAATGCCTCACATAGACTCATGGCAACATCATCCTCTGGAAGAGGATAGTCAGGTGATGTTTGAATGTCCAATTTGAGCTCAACTAAATTGATAAACATGGGAATACAGACCAGGTTGGAATGGTCCTGGAATTGATAATGCATCATCACACTCAATGCTGTGATGTGATCCAGTCCACCATCATTATGAGTCTCAATCATATTGCGCAAATGATACAGATTCACATTGATCTCAAAGGTCGTGTTGGGTGTGATGGGCTTGGGGAATGATCGAGCACCCAATTGAAATGAGTACTCAATCTTTTGAATCGATGGACGCTCCTTGACATAGAGGTCGTGCAGTATGTTCACTATATGATCATGTTCGGAACTTGAATTACTAATCGCATAACGTTGTTTGGACTCAACAAACTTTATATGAGTGATGTTTGGAGCATTGACATGGTGAAATTTGATGATTCTCTCATCGTCACTCCAACTGAATGGGACAATCAATGACTCGAGACGCTCCAAACATTCTGGTTCCAGTGCCTCAGGGAGGAACCACAGTTGATCCAAATGAATGTGAAGTGGTGGATTGCGCAAGAGACAGAACTCTGATCCAATGTGTTCGATGTAATTGTTGATGGACAATGTTTTGATCACATTGTTTGAGAGCACCGTGCTCACTGATCCATGGAATTGTTTGGAAACAATCGATAACATCAACAACCAATCGGTATCCAAGTCAACTTGATCATCGAGTATGATCAACTTGATAATGTGTGTGATGAGCAGTGGTGGAAGTGATGGGATGGTGTTGGTACATGGCGAATAATCCAGCACCTCTTGGTCGGGTCTAAACCTCCATTGTGCCAGACCACGGGCGCTGTTCTCCCAAATGATTGAATGATGCTTGAATTGTTTGAATGATTGTTTGTGAGTGATAAACTCTGGATGCTGAGTGTCCACTCTCTCCATCAAACGTTGCTTATGACCTTGATATTCATTAATATTTCGATCGCTAATCTTGAACTTATGCTTGAGATATTGATATGCTGCGGCAGGATGTAACTTTGGTTCCAGTGTCGTGTCCATCAAAAATCTCTCCAAAACTGCCGGTGGCTCGGCACCACAGTCGTAATCCATATCTTGGTTGATGTTTGGCTCAAACATCATCATGTTGTCAATGAGTGTGATCCACATTGAAGAGAGATTGCTTGGGTTGGAGTTGACAAATCCATGTAAGTCCTTCATTCTAAGATTGGTTACATTCACCATCCTGTCGATTATATCATTGATAAATTGTTCGCCAACAAGATAGCCTCGTTCATTGCACTTGCCAAGGAAATGATAATTGTTCGGTGATCTGATCGAGAGCATGTGATTGTCAAACAAATGTTTGATCTCTGTTGGGTACTTCTCCATCAACTCGTCGGTGAGCAGTTGCTCTGAGTTACCGATACTAATCAGATGGGTGATGGCTAACCGAATGAAATTGATTGTTTGTCGATGTGACATCTCGAACAGAGCAACTGATGCGATGACGATGACCCGAGTTTCACAAATGTTTGAGTCGAATAATCTGTTCCAATTAATGAGTTCATTGATATTGGTAATCATTAGTTGTACATCCTGTCCATTCTCTGAGCACAGTCTCAGACAATGAGCGATGCCTTGAAGGCACAGGATATCCTGTTTCTTGGCAAGGTAGTCAACTACATTTGAATGAAACTTGATTGATTGATTGGGATGATTCCAGTGATTTTGATTGAGTGAGTGATGGGATGACAAGCCTCAAAGTTGCCTACCCGCCATATGTACTTACTTTTGGATACTCGAGGCCAAGCCTCTTGATCAGTATACTCTTATTGAAATTGTCAAGATTTTGTAAACAATGATCGAAACAGGATTGGAATGATCGGATGAATGGATTGAACAATGAGAATCGTCTGTTGATATTGTGCTGATTGAACAACATGTCAATCATCAATTGTTGATTCCTATCCTCATCAATCACTTCATTACCCAACTTCAGAAGAGTGGGGATGAAGACATTTTTCCGATCATGTTGATAATCGTCTACCGAGGACACCATGAGGCTATATGAATGAGTGAACGAGTAAGTGAGTTAGTGAGTGACGGGTAGATTGATGGACGATAGCTTACTCAAAGAGTTCTTGCTTGTGGGGTACAAGGTGGACTGGAGGTACTATTCTTTCTTTGAGTCCAAGATATCTGAGCTTGATGTCTTTGGACGTCGAAGGCGAGAAGAACCATCGATTGAGTCGATCATTGATCATGCCACGTCTTTGTCCTTGATGTTCATCACAAAATGCTTGAACAATATTGTCATAACCATTGTTGTCAAGATGAATATAGTTAATCATCAAGTTGATGTATTGTTCAAAGAGATGATCGATTCGCTCTTGATCGTGTGTGGCGCGCAGAGGTGTCAACAATGTGTTGAGGAATGATTGATCGACCAACACCATGTATGACCAATGTCGTTCCTCAAGGGCGGAGTCCAGATGTGATAGTGCATGATCTTGTGATACATTCCTGTTCAACAACTTGCTTACCAAATCATACACTCCATTTGATTTACAGCGTTCAACAGTATATTGATTGCCAAGCATCTGAATGGGATGGACGGATGGTGGATGTTAGTCACTCACTCATTCAATGATCATCCATCACAGAGCTACATACCTTGGAAATGAGTGGCAAGAAGGCATTGATGAAGTAGTGTTGATCGAGTGATTGTGATGATGCTGCCAGTGCCACAGACAGCGCATCTATCAGCTCTTGGCAACCACAATCATAATTGAGGTAAACGGTCATCTCCTCCACGACGTTGTATAGTGGTCCATTATTACAACCAACCGCTATCTTTGTTGTATTGGACCCAACCACCAACCTGTCACTTTGACGCGGTTGGGCAATTGGATGAATGGCTGGTGCTGCTTCACAAAAGGTGACCTGTCCAACGATATCCAACTCATAGACCACGAAGTATCCTTTGATCGTGAACTTGAACTTCTGCAGTCTGACATTGATTGACATCTTTGGTTTATTGTGTTGAGCCATCTCATACTCTATCAGAAGTTGAAGTCCATCACCATCTATGCCTCCTTCATTGAATATCGCTGGAACATAGTGTTGACCATCGGACAGTAACATACTATGTGTGTATATATATTTGTGAGTAAGTGTAACATCAATCAATCAATCAATCAAAATACATACACCACCCTGTTTTGTTGTTTAAATGGATATGCCTTGTCTACACAGAGCTGAGGTGTAAGTGAGTAGAACCTATCATTACCATGTGTCAGCCTCTGCTGTAAGCATTGGTCCAATGTATCTGATGTGATCATATTATAAAATATTATTATATCTCTATGAAATCACCTCGATCGAAAATCAAAATGATTGAAATTGAAGATATTTTGATCACAAAACAATGTTGAAGGATTTCCAATAGATTGTTTTGGAAAAGATTAAATAATCTAGATTAATTATATTTAAATATAAATTTAATTATTATTTATTAATTTGATTGATTGTAGTGTAATGTCCGAGTTGATTGGTAATCTTGGTGAAGTCCGTTGGAAGAATTAAGTATCATAACAATGTCATTTTTCAGCTTTGGTTCCCCAACAAAGGTAATCAACTATTAATACCTTTGAATTAAACTGATTGGAATGGACATTGATAGTCTTCAATTTCAATAATAATTGCCAAAGGATTTCCATTTAATATTAAAGTGTGCTCAAACTTTTAATTTGTTGTGTGTTGGTTGATTACATTGTGATGTGGTTGGTGTAAAAGTGAACAAACACACACATTTGATATCACATTCATCTCATTTCGTGAAGATAAATGTTATGATGTACATTAGTTAGTCAGAGTTAAAGATATAGAGTGGACTTAAACAAGAATATATATATATATATTATATAGTATTTCAGTAGAAAACAATAAAGAAGAAAGAAGAAGTACATCAACAACAACATATATTTAAAAAATGATCAGTGCACTATTCTTGATGAATAGTAAGGGAGAGGTACTCATCTCTCGTATATACAGAGATGATATAAGGTATGAGCATCCGCATCACATCATACCCATGTATGAATGAATGAACTAACATGTATATATATATACTTAGCCGTGGTGTAGCCAATGCATTTAGATTGGAGGTAGTGTCAGCAAAGGAGAGTAGATCACCGGTCAAGTTGATAGGATCCACTTCATTCCTGTACATTAAGACTGGTGGACTCTACTTGGTCGGTGTGACACGTCAGAATGTTAACGCTGGAATGGTGTTTGAGCTACTACATCAATTGGTCGAGATATTCAAGTCATACTTTGACGTTGTCAATGAAGAATCAGTCCGTAACAACTTTGTACTTGTATATGAGTTGTTGGATGGTATGTTATTCCTGGCATATGATCACATAATCAATCGATCAATCATACTCATTCACATCATTCGTACTACAAACAGAGATACTTGACTTTGGATATCCACAGAACTGCTCATTCGATGCCTTGAAGTTATGTATCACTCAAGGTCAGGGCAAGCTGAAATCAATGGACAAGGTAAGGACATAATATCATTCATTGATCGGAAGACGACAGTCACATTGACACATGAACAACTACAAACAAACAGATGAAGCAGGAGAAGTTATCAAAGATTACTATTCAAGCAACAGGTATTACACCATGGAGAACACCAGATATCAAGCATAAGAAGAATGAGATATACATTGATGTGATCGAGTCTGTGAACCTGTTGATGTCGGCAGAGGGTAATGTACTTCGCGCTGATGTTACGGGCCAGGTTATGATGAAGTGCTACCTGTCTGGCATGCCCGAATGCAAGTTTGGAATGAACGACAAGATGCTGATGGACAAGGAGAAGGGCACGACGTCGCAGGCACCACCATCTGCGCCCAAGCGCCGCGGAAATGGCGTGGAAATCGACGACATCACCTTCCATCAGTGCGTCCGTCTGGGCAAGTTCGACTCAGACCGCACAATCAGCTTTGTGCCGCCCGACGGAGAGTTTGAGCTGATGAAGTACCGCTCGACCGAGCACATCAACCTGCCGTTCAAGGTGATCCCTATGGTCAAGGAGATGGGAAGGACGCGCATCGAGTGCAGCGTCACGGTCAAGTCCAACTTCAACTCCAAGATGTTTGGCACCAACGTCAAGGTGCTGATCCCGACGCCCAAGAACACGGCCGTCTGTAAAATAGTGGTGGCCGCCGGCAAGGCCAAGTACATCCCCGAGCAGGACGCCATCGTCTGGCGCATCAGACGTTTCCCAGGCGACACAGAGTTCACGCTGCGAGCTGAGGTCGACCTGGTGGCCTCAGTCAATCTCGACAAGAAGGCCTGGTCGCGTCCGCCCATCTCCATGGAGTTCCAAGTGACAATGTTCACAGCATCTGGCTTCCACGTGCGATTCCTCAAGGTGATTGAGAAGAGCAACTACACTCCAATCAAGTGGGTGCGATACCTTACAAAGGCTGGCACTTATCAGAACCGTATATAGACACTCTCACACACATGTACCCAGGGACTGATTGACTGTATGATCACGACCCTGTCCTTCCTCTCCTCCTATCAATGCTACTTCTTCCTCCTCTACTATCCTTCACATCAATCACACATTACAAGTATCAATACATGTTAACAATTATCTCTTAATCAATCAATCAATCAATCATTCAATGAATATCTCTGGACTTCGGGTTATTGGTCGTATGAATCTGCAAAGCCGACAATGTTCTTGATCGGCTAAGATTTAGTGAGAGCCAGCAATCAACCCCACTCCCCACGCCCACAATCCATCTTGGCGAAACTACCTCAACACGCATCAGACGAAACATCCAACACAGTTTCGTCGCATTTTTGCTCACTAAATCAACTGACAAGATTGATGAGGGAGGTGGCAATGTTATTACTATTGAGATGATCGATGAGTCAGTCCACAAATAATCAATCACTTGTATTACTAAGAACCAGAAGTGATATATATACATTACATGTATCTGTATCATAATTGTAATAATAATAATAATAATAGTAATAATAACAATATTATAGTTATATACATATATTGATCGATTGACAATTTAGTAATGACTGATCAAAAGTCTAATAAACAAACACAATCAGGCGTGACTGCATCAACTGCAGCGCCAACTGCCACTCCCGCCCCAACACCCACGCCAACACCTGTGGAACAGGTGCCAATCAAACCATTGGAAGTGGACAATCTGATTCTGATGGTACATGGCATTGGCAAACATGAAGACAATTGGTATAGCAAGATTGAACGCGCCAACGTGCTTTACGACACGGTGTGTGGCACAGCTGGCGTTCAGGCGCGAAAGGCACGCTTCGTCGGAGTCGAGTGGCACTCGGCACTGCACTCCAAGACCGACAGACTCATTGAGAAGGTCACGCCACCATCCATACCCCTGGTACACGAGTTTGTCAATCACACGATGCTGGACATCTTGTTCTGGACGTCCCCCACCTACAGCCAGACCATCTACACAGAGGTGGGCGCGCAACTCAATCAAAAGTATCGCGAGTTCCTAAAGGAGTGTCCCGACTTCAAGGGCAAGGTGCACATCTTGGCGCACTCACTCGGCAGCATGATCACATACGACATACTATGCCATCAGAAGGATGGCGCGGACCGCGAGCACTGCACAACCACGCAGGGCAACATATATCAGTGGAAGAAGTTCCGTCAGCAACAGGCGGATGGCGCAACGCGCGACGAAGACGATGAGGACGACGATGGAGTTGGCAGTGATGCCTCCTCATCGCCAGGCGACTCTTTGCTGCCACATCTCTCATTCCCTCAGCTGGACTTTGAGGTCTACAACTTATTTAGCATTGGCTCGCCTATTGGCGTGCTGTACACCATTCGCGGACACACCAGACTGTCCATACCAAAGTGTGTCAACTTCTTCAACATACTCGACCAATCCGATCCCGTCGCCTATCTAGTGGAGCCACTCATCGATGATGGCTTCACCAAGCTAGCACCAACAATCATTCCACATCTCGTCAAGAAGAAGTCCCCAATCACAACAAACTTCTCATCCAAGCTATCACTGTAAGTTGTTTGGACATGGAAATGAGCCCATTGGACATGTACTAACTTGGACAAATACATATACTAGACTCACCAACAAGGTCAAGGCATTCAGAAAGAATCCATCCAATACATCATCTTCAACTAGTTCGCCAACACAATCACCAGCGCGATCACCTAATCTTGAGTCTGAGAAACCGGCTACGCCAGCACAGATCAATCTAAAACCCCTGGACGACACGTCCGATGATGACAGTGACGCTGGAAACACTACCTACGTAGTTGAGAAGAAGTAAGTCCATTCATTCATCAATCAATGGAACATCCACTCACTGACACACTCATTCAATCAATCAAAAGGGATGAACCAAAGGTTGAACTGCAAGAGACGTTCTCATTCTTTGGAGGATGTAGATTTGATTACAAACTGCAACCAAGTATGTTTAATATATCAGAGTACCAAGCAGTGCCAGTGGCGCACAAGAGCTACTGGACGTCGAAGGATGTGATGTTCTTCATGGTGGAGAGACTACCAATCATGAGTGTTGGCTTTGATTATGGAGACACGTCTGGCACTGCTCCATTGACAACGATGATGCCATCAATCAACTAAATAGTTATTTATGGAGTCACTACAAGACTCTTGCAAGTTCACAAGTGGATACCATCCACCCATCATGCTAATACATTTCCAATTTACCGAACTAATGAACAATGAAGTATACAACGACGCGACGTTTGTCTAAGCATTGTGTTTATTTGGTTGATTGTTTGGTTGGTTGGTTATTACTACTACTTGGAATGTGGAGCGGAACAACAACAAAGAGTGATGAAGATGATTGATTGTTAATGTTATTACTTTGGTTATCATTGAAGTTTGGTTGTTTGGTTGGCTGGTTGTTGTTGCTTGGCTACACTTCACTAAGTGTTGATCCTATATATATTATACAATGTTCCTTGGAGCTGCTGCTGACGCAGCTGCTGCCTCTGCTGTATGCGTTGGCGTTTGGGTCGCTTTTGCTGTCTGCCTGGCTGACGATTGGGGGGTGGATGGGTCGCTTTGATGATGATGTTGATGATGAGTGTTGTTGGGTCGGTCGGGAGGCATTGGCCAACGCCACCTCCTTGCTTTTGATCTCTCTCTCTCTTGTTACAGTCACTTCTCTCTTTAAGCCCAAATCTTGAGAAGACTGTCCCAACTGCCGGTGCAGAGGGCCATGCCGTCGGTCGACACGCCCAAACAAGAGACACGGTTGCCGTGGCCGGTGAGCGAGACGACACGCTCGCCCTTCAGGGTGTCCCAGACGTTGCAAGAGAAGTCGTCGTAGCCGGCAAACATGAAGCGGCCGCTCAGGGAGAAACCAACCGACGTGATACCGCACAAAATGATGTCGTGAGTGTACTGCATCAACTCGCGGTCGGCACGAATGTCGAACAGACGGCAGGAGGCATCGTCTGAACCAGTTCCAAAGGACAAACCGTTGGGGAAGTACTGGACGGCGTTGATATCGGCGTCATGGCCAGTGAATGTCTGTACACACTTGCCTCCACGGATATCCCAGAGCTTGGCAGTGGCGTCACATGCACCCGAGATGAAGTAGTTCTTGTCTGGGGAGATGGAAACGCTAAAGGAATAGGAGTTAAGAAAGAGGGGAGGCGGTGGATCATTGTCAGTCATGGTCGTCACGTGATCGATCGATCAATCAATCAATCAATGTAGGACGGAGACTTACCTCATGACGTCTCCATTGTGATCGGAAAACTCTGTGATCTTGGTACCGTTCTCAATGTCCCAGAGGATGCAAGACATATCTCCACTGCTAGTAATGATCTGTCTGTCGTTGAGGAATCGGCAGCAGGACAGATAACCAGTGTGCGAGTTGAGCTCACGGCACACTCTGATGGGAACCTCTCTGCTGCGCAGGTTGTAAATCGAACAAATGTTATCGAGACCACCGCAAGCAACAAAGCTTGCTGATGGTGAGTAGGCACATGTCATCACCCATGATGATCTAACAAGCAACAACAACATTATAATGTACATGTTAGTAAGTTATAATGATTGACTGATTGGTGTACATAGATGTGACTCACCTCAATGGGATGGCGTGCACCTTGTTGGTTGTCAAACCGTCCCAGACCAACAACTTGCCGTCTTGCGAGGCAGACACTAGATGAACTGAATCCTCGGCCCAATGCATGGCGTAGATCTTTGCCAAATGACCCTTGAGAGTCCTTCTGATCTTTATCTTACCCTCCAACTTTGGTAAGTTTGGCAAGTCACGAGTGTATACCTTGACTGTAATATGTTGTTTGATTGATCGCGAATGTATAAGTCTAAACATGTCCATCCATCGATTGATCATTTATCGCCCTATCTATGATTGATCTTGATTGATTGATTGAATAATATATATTATACATACGTGAGGTATCATTCATAACATCTCTGTTTGTTCTGATCTGCTCCTTCATGGCCTCAGCATCTCTGCGAGCCTGTTGTATCTTCTCTGATATATCCGATGACATTATTTAAAAATCTAAAGTATATTTGTATATGTATATATAGATATAATGTATATATGTTTGGTGATGGATATGTACTTCTTCTAAGATAGATATATATCTTTATTTCAAACCTTGTGTGTGTCTCTTACTCATTCATTCACTCCGCTCTCATTCATTCATTCACTCTCTCACGCACAGTCAATCACCTCATTCAACACCAAGCACGATTAAAGGGAAAGAAGGTGGTGATCAACTCAACTCTCACAAACAGACACGTTCACACACTTCATGGATGACAAAAAAAACAAAAACACAAGCACAACTGGATCTCCCCAATCAGACTTGTACATTTTTTAATTTTAATTTATTTTCTTTCTGGCTATTATTAGTGTGTTTTTGGATCTATCTGTTCGACCTCACCTCATGGTCTCTGGTGGAAACTGTTTGGTTGATGGTATGAATGAATGAATACGTGCTTTGGATTGATTGATCGATTGATTGGTTGAAGCTTTAGCGAGTGGTGAGAATCAGGTTGTGAGTGATCGTTTGGAGTCCATCGACCTATCCACAAGTTATCCACTTCTCCCCATCTTTGGTAGCCTTGCGCGCAAGACGAGAGACGAGACACGAGACTTAAAGACAAAGATTCTCCGCGTCGTCAAAGTCAAATGTTGGTTCGACAACTCTCGCGTCTACGACTACCACTAGCACTTCAGAGATACGACAACATTCAACTTCAACATCAACGACTACTACATTACTTGGTTGACTACTCGTCTCAATATTGGTTGAGTCAACAACAACAACAACAACTTAAAAGAACGATGTCAACTACTTCAACAACATCTTCAGCAACAACCACTGGTCGTGTTAGTCTCAGCGGTAGAAGGAAGAGGACACCAGTGAAGATTGAATATGAAGACCAACCTGAGGCAGCAGCTGACACACTATCAGGGTTCACCGATGAGGCTGATGATGCCAACAGCAACAGCAGTGATAGTATGATCATCATTGAAGCTGAAGTCTGTCGGTCCATCGCACACACTAACATCAATCAATCAATCAATCAATCATACATTGGTAGTGATCAGGAAGAAGTTACGTTCGTCAACAAAGACAACGACAACGACAACAACAACCAGTACTAGTACAACCACAAAACAAGTTGGTAGTAGCACAAAGAGTACGGGTACGGCCAAGGCAACTGCTGGCCGCGTTGGAAAGGCAGTGGATAAACTGGAGAGCACAAGGAAACATTGGCAGGAGGAGTGGAAGTTGATCGCAGAGATGAGGGGTATGCAAGAGGCACCAGTCGATTGGGCAGGTTGTGAGGCCTTTAGTGATCCTGGTCTGGAGGACAAGGTGTCAAGGTTCCACGTGTTGGTAGCATGTCTATTATCATCACAAACAAAAGATGCTGTGACCGATGCAGCGATGAAGAAACTCAAGGCACATGGCCTCACCGTGGACAACATCATTGCCACGTCCACATCAGATATCGAGACACTATTATATCCAGTGTCATTTTACAAGAGGAAGGCTATGTATGTACCCTCCATCCTGGAACTATCCCAATCACTCATCCATTCAATCAATCATACTAATGATCCATCACGACATAGTTATCTCAAGGAAGTAGCACAAACATTGAAGAATGAGTACCAAGGTGATATACCTCCAACGTTTGACAAGATCATGAAGTTGAAAGGAGTAAGTAATGAACATGGATCATCGCCATCACACGCCCCAACTGACTTAATCAATGTTACTTAAAGGTTGGAACAAAGATGACCAACTTGATTGTACAGGTGGCTTGGGGAAGAGTGGAGGGCATTGCAGTGGATGTTCATGTACATAGATTGGTGAATAGGTTGGGTTGGGTCAGCACATCACATCCAGACGATACTGCAAAGGCACTGCAGGATTGGCTTCCAAAAGAAAGGTGGCGCGATATCAACAAGCTACTGGTGGGCTTTGGACAGACTGTGTGTCAGCCGGTGCGACCCAAGTGCGAGGAGTGTCGGATCAATCATCTCTGTCCAACAGGTGTATCAAACATGAAGTCTGGCAACAAGAAGAAATCAAAGTCTAAGAAGAAATCAAAGGAGGATAGTAGTGAGGAGGAAGATGATGAAGAGGAAGATGAAGATGAGGAGGACGAGGAATAGATAACCTTGACTCTCTTATACATATAATTAACAAACTATTGACACAGTGTATGTTTATTGGGTTGGTGGGAACAAGAGTTAAATATCAATTGATGGGATACTGTATACATACCTTACTATTTCGCTCACTCGCTCGCACGCGCGCACATCAACATCAACATCATCAACATCAAGTTATCCATTAGTCCGTGGAAGTCCACATAGTCTACGCGTCAATCCACAAGGTCCACAAGGTCCACACTATCCACAACTATCCATACTATCCACAAAGTCCACATCCCAATCATAGTCATCATTATTATCATTATCATTATCAAAGATCCTTCCATCCATCCATCCATCCATCCATTATTATATCAAATAACATCCGTGTCATATCCGCCGATTGTGTGATCGTGATGACTCCATTACTCGCCTACGCGCGCGCGCAAATCCAACATTGTTATGTTCAACTGACTTGTTATTGACATCATCTATCTATCTATCTACTATATCTACTATCTATCTTGGTCCACGTCTTCTTCGGGTCCACTTGTCCTCTTGGTGGTACACACTTCGATCCATATCTATGTCTTGTCGATCTCGCCAGCGCACTCGCTTCTGATCCTAGAGCTGGTGCGAAATCATAGATGAGGGGTGCTCGGGGGTGCCCGACACGGGTGGGTAGGCGTCGCCGACGCCGCCTGGAGCGCCAGCCAGCGTGGTCTTGGTGATGCCCTTCTTGGCCATTCCAACATCCCAGTCCAGTCTCAATCGTCTTCCATGGACATCGGTGGTCGTATAGCTAATCGTGCGTGATAATGTATCGAACGGTTCATAATCGTATCGACATGTCGGCGGTATATATGAGCAACTGATCATCGTCATCCTCATCCTCGTCCTCGTCTTGGGTTTTGATTCAATCGCATTGCTGATGTATTTGTGTTTGTGTGTGATTGGACTACTTACGTCTTGTAGGCCTCTTCGGCGTCGGCCTTGTTCTCAAACTCGATGAAGGCAAAGCCCTTGTTGTGACCAGTGCGCTTGTCGATGCCAACATTGACATTCACCAATGGACCAAACTTACCAAACAGCGACGACAAGTGAGTGTCGTTGAAGTGGTATGGCAAGTTGCCAACGAACAGACACTTGCTCTTCTCTCTCTCCTCTGGGTCCATGATGTGGCTATGTGGATATAACATGTGTATTAGTATCATATCATAACATTAAGTTAATATAACAAACATACTTCTCCTTCTTGGGTGGTCTTCTGTAGGGGCTACCTCTGTCCCTACCACCCATGCCGTAGCCTCCTCCATAGCCACCGCCACCGTAGCCGCCACCGCCACCGCCACTGCCGTAGCCGCGACGGTCGTATCCACCACCGTATCCGCCATCTCTGTATGGGTCGCGACTATATCCACCATAGTCTCTCGAGTCCCTGTAGTCTCTATCTCTGTATCCCCCACCGGTGGCACCACCATAGCCGCCACCTCCTGCACTGCTGTATCTCGATGGATAGCGACGGTCGCCGCCACCACCATAGTCGCCGTAGCCACCGCCGCCGCCACCACCGTAGCCGCCGCCATATCCCCCACCGTAACCGCCGTAGCCGCTGCCGCTGCCATAGCTGCTGCTGTAGCCACCGCTACCGTATCCCGAGGGAGGGGGTGGGGGTGGTGGCGGGTAGTCCGCATACGATGAGCTACGTCTCGATGGCGAGTATCTGTCGTAGGTATCTGGGTTCTGGCCTACTTCGTCTCTCTTTGGTTCGTCCTATATATTCGTCATCCAACATCATCATACATGAATGAAGTATATTAGTATATTACTCTTATTATCATATTCTTCTAATCAATCATCATATTTCATACCATTATATGAATTTATATATATTATAACAAGTATTATTATGATGTGTGTTTGACAAGAATGAATGAATGAAGTAAGTGTGTTTGACTTCTTCTTCTTTCCCCTTCTTCACCCAACAACTCAAGAAAAAATAAGATTTAATTGATGGAGTTCCCAACTTCCAACAACAAATGAAGAGGTGGAAGGAGCATGCTTATGTTGCTATCAAGTAAGGGTAGTTTAATATATATATCGCGATGGTTCGTTATGTATGAATGAATGAATGAATGATGGTTAAAAGTGTCGAGTATAATGATGGTTGGCTTGGGGAAATGGTTCGATCGTGCACGTCAATCAATCAATCAATCAATCAACTGACTGGATGGATGGAATGTCCAAAGGTTTACTCGTCCAATGTCTGACCCTCCACTCTAGTCTTTGTCTCCTTATCGAAAAGCAAAGCATTCATAAACTTCTCCTCCACAAAGTCCCAATCGATAAAGTTCCAATAGTTGGCGATATATCTCTGTATAAGTTTGATTGATTGATTGATCAATCATTGAATGGTAAGTATCATGTATCTATCAATCAGTCGGTCATGTGTGATACATACATATTTGTTGTTCTGATAGTCGAGATAGTAGGAGTGTTCGTGGAGATCGAGACAGAGCAGTGGATAGGTGTTCTCCATCTCGTATGGTGAACCGTAATCATAGGTGTTCAGGATCTCTAGTGATTTACCACGGAACACCAACCAAGTGTATCCTGGTGCTGCCATTGCTGATGCATTCTGCGAGAACTATAGTGTCCAATGATGATGATGATGTTAGAGGGATCATTCCAACTCCTCGCGATCCTGATCAATCAATCGCTGAGACACATACTTTGATCTGGAAGTCCTTGAAGGAACCAAAGTCCATGCGGAATGCCTTGAGCATGAAGGTCGATGGTGTGGTGACACGATCGGTGATGCTGCGCCAAAAGAATGAATGGTTGAAATGGGATGAAGCCAGACGGAAGAATGTTGCATCCTCCTTATCAGTGCATGATGCTTTCAGAGTATGCATGATCTGTTGGTCCTTGTATGGAGTGTCTTATAGTGTTGTTGATGATATTGTTGTTAGAGTGAGTTGATGATGATCGCATGACGAATGATTGAACGAATGAGACGACATACTATCGATGAGGTTGTTAGCCTTGTCAATGTCAGCACGATGCAACTCGAGATGGGCAGCGATGGCCTTATCGGAGAGGAAGGGCGACAGACCCTTGGTCTGATAGGGCACCTCTGGCATTCTGTAGTATGATCGCTGCAACAGTTGTGAATTGACTCCACTCTTTGTCAACAGCTGTGTGACACCCTTCATCGAGTTTGCGCTGAATCTGCCCAACATCTTCCTGTTCTATATTAGTTATATATATGTATTAATAAGTAGTTGTTGTAGTTATAGAGTCTCCTCTCAATCATTCATTCAATCACACACAGACGAGACGAAACTCTCTCATTTCTGATCATCATCACCCAGAGTCCAAAACAAAAAAAAACAAACGAGACGCACAAAGATGTTTAGGTGTCTGGGATGGATGTCAATGAAGTACTATTGCCTGAGCATGGAAGGGATGGACCAAGCTCAGTCGTTGTACCTTGTACCGAGGCGCACATTGATGGACACCATACTAAGTGTCGCTAATAGTCATGACAAAGGTGGAGCACTTGTGCTTCAGCCATTACTACCAAAGTCACATGACCATCTACTCTTTTATGTGTGCAATCAATTTTATTGGACTAGTTCCACAACTGTTAGATAGATGTTTGAATGATTGAATGTTTGAATGAAGTAACCTTGAGCAAAAGGGAAAATGATATATTATGATCATTTCTTTCTTTGAATGTGTAGGAAGATAGATAATCATTATGATTTTTAGCCTGGGCATGGGAAAATTGACCACTTAATGTTACTCTTGCCGGAGGATTAGGGAATGCATAGGTGGTTGACAACGATCGAGGTGATGTATGATAAACAATTCCCTCAGCGATATGATCTGAATTAATTTACCTTGCCTGACATGGCATAATCCATCATCGCACCAACTTCGTCTGACTCTTCGTATGACGATCAATCAAATAAACATCACAGTTGTTTTTGAGTTGAACTCAACACAATTTCAACTTTATTCTGTGTGTTGCTTTCTTCAACTTCTTTCCAAGGCCACAAGATGAGTGAGACCCTTTGGCGTGCCACGCATACACCCAAACTTCTAACTTTGTGTCAGTCAACAACATTCTTCTTAAGTCATTTCAATCACACATTCTCTATCTATCTTGTTATATTTATATTTATACAAATATTGTATCTTTATAATAATATATATGTTTGTGGTGTGTATGTCTATATTCAATTAATCAACCAAACAATCAATCAAACAACAAATATATATATATAATATAGTCACAAAGACAAAGACAAAGACAACAATAACAGAAAGCAGCAATGATGATATCAAAGAGTAGTGTGATGATGATCATCACATTTGTGGCGATGATGACATCATTGGTGATGGCAGCCGACAGTCACAAGTACAAGCATGGCGATAACATCCCATTCTATGTTAATAATGTTGGTCCGTTCTCCAACCCAACAGAGACTTACGAGTATTACACGCTGCCCTACTGCAAGCCTGAGCACCTGACGCACAAAAAGACAAAGCTGGGCGAGATCCTCAAGGGCGACTCGGCCGTGCTCTCCGACTACGACCTGCCCTTCAAGGTGAACCTCCAGGACAAGATCCTGTGCGAGATGGTGCTCACCAAGAAGGACATTGCCAAGTTCAAGGAGGCAATCGACGAAATGTACTATGCTGAGATGATCTACGACGACCTGCCCATCTTCTCGTACATTGGTGCCTCCCAAGAGGACAAGATCACCAAGACTACAAGATATGTCTTGTTCACTCATCTTCCATTCCATGTTGAATTCAATGATAATCAAGTATGTTGTTCGTTGTTCATCTCATTCAAACTCAGCTCAATCAAACTAATCATTCAATCTATCAACTTCACAGGTCATTCGCATTGAGATAGATACAGAGTCATTGAGTGGAGTTGAGTTGGCTGATCAGGATGAGTTAAAGGTTACATTGGCCTACTCGGCTACATGGTCACCACGCGACTTCCCCTTCTCAAAGAGAATGGAATTGTATGAAGACTTCTTCCCAAAGGAGCTAGAGATTCATTGGCTATCAATCATGAACTCCTTCTTCTTGGTGATCTCTCTCACAGGTTTCCTCTCGATCATCATCATGAGAGTGCTCAAGAACGACTACTCTAGATATTCAAAGGTTGACGAAGAAGAGGAAGGTGATTGTATGTTATTATACTTGATTGATCATGATCATTACACTCACTAACACATCAATCGATCGAACATTCAATGTATGCAGACCAAGAGGACTATGGATGGAAGTTGATTCATGGCGATGTGTTTAGGTTCCCTCCACACAAGAGCATATTCTCGGCACTGTATGGTGTTGGCTGGCAGTTCATCACCATCGTTACAGGCATTCTGTTGCTGGCACTGTTTGGCATCTTCTATCCAAACAATGGAGGCAACATGTATGTTGCTGGTATCATTCTCTACGCTCTTACTTCAAGTAACTATCAATCAATCAATCAATCAATCAACAGTTGGAGCATCACCATCACTCACATCATACTTACACTCACTCACTCATAATCAATCAAACTACTTAGTTATCTCTGGCTTCCAATCAGCCAAAATGTACAAAAACATGGGAGGACTGCAATGGACTTGGAACATTGTATTGACTGCGACTATTTTTACTGTGCCACTGCTTTGCGTTGCATTCCTTTCCAACACGGTTGCCGTGACATGGCACTCGACCGTCGCCATCCCCATCCTGACGATCATCGAGGTGCTGACGATCTGGGCCTTTGTCGGCTTCCCCCTGACGGTGATTGGAGGCATTGCCGGCCGCCGTCTGTCGGGCCAGCTCGAGGTGCCCTGCCGCACCAAGAACTTCCCACGCGAGATCCCACCCATCCCCTGGTACCGTCGTCTGCCCTTCCAGATGATGATGGCCGGCTTCCTGCCATTCAGTGCCATCTACATTGAGCTGTTCTACATCTTCAACTCTGTGTGGGGTCACAACTCCTACACACTATACGGTATCCTCTGTCTAGTGTTCATCATCCTGATCATCGTCACAGCATGCATCACTGTAGCCTTTACCTATTTCCAACTATCAATGGAAGATCATCGATGGTGGTGGATATCCTTTATCAATGGAGGGTATGTATCCAAGTCCAGGATGGTGTCTACACTCACTCACATGATGTACTAACTCATCACTCAACTCAATCCAACTCAACTCCAAACAGCTCGACAGGTATATTCATTTACATTTACAGTATATTCTATTATTACTACCGATCACACATGTACGGACTGCTGCAGACGACCTTTTACTTCACGTACATGTTCATCGTATGCTACTTCTTCTTCATCATGCTTGGCACCGTTGGATTCTTCAGTTCTTTAATATTTGTAAAGAGAATCTATAAGAACTTGAAGTCTGATTAATCAAAGTTAAAGTTAGTGAGTAGTTAGTCAACCTCTCATAGAAATAGTAAAACATCCATTCCATCCCTTCTCCTATCTCTCTACATTCCTGTGTCCACACCGCCGCGCTAATCCCCCCGTAAACACAATGCAACGACGACGACAATGGACCTTCAATCATTGCCCAGGTGTGGGGCCTAGTCCCAGGGTAAGTATGTTTGCTATCAATGATATAAATTTTATCTAATATCATCTACACCAAGTCGTGTCATTGACATGGGAACTGAACTGAATGACATTGACCGACGGGATGTGATTGAGGCGGCAGTGACCCTGTGAGGGCTTAGTCCGAAAGAGAGCAGCCCCAACCATCAATCACCCTTTCAACTTCAAAATGAAATAATGGGTGGTCTTGTTTGGGAACCTTCAAGGTGGGTTCGCAGATATGATTGGTCGGTGATGATGAGTGTGGAAGTGAGGTGAGGGGAGGAGATAAGATAGAACAACAGTTGATATTATCTTTGTTGTTGTAGTTATAGTCGTAGTTATAACTAATAAATACAATATATATTTATACATACACATTCTAGACTCTCTCTAACGCACACTTCATTTGAATCAAATGACTAAAGTATGGATGGTTTGATTGTAAGATTGAATGATTGAATGATTAACATGAAATATGAACAGAAACAAAATAGAGCATCAAGAGATGAACCAATGACAAATGGTGATGCAGATGAACAGACGACTGGAAGCTCAACAACACCTTTGAAGAAGTCAAAGTCATCTACTTCGACTACATCCACGACAACTTCAACATCAACAAAGACGACGACGAATGGAAATGGTGATGCTTCACCAATGGAAGTGTCAATGTCTGCAATGATTAATAATAGTGAGAAGTTGGTCAATGGCGGATTGTCTTCCAACCCCTTGGAGACACTAGCTGGATTCGACCAGATACTTGGCGATGGCGTGCTCAGGAAGGAGGGCAGCAACGAGGTGGACTTCATCGCCACCGTCAACAGGATGTCCAAGTTCACCCATCAGTACCTCAAGATCACACCGCAGTACAACTACGAGCTGCTGAGTCAGCAGCTCAAGTGCGACGTGCAGCTCAAGCTGGAGAACCTCCAGCTGTTTGGTGATCTCTATGTGCGTAACTGTCTCAGTATCCTGCTGTCCAACTACTTCAATCAGACCAAGCGACTGGGTTGCGAGTTCCGCGAGATTGGCGGATTTGTCCTCGTCCTGGACCCATCCACGCCAGAGCAGCAGGTGCATCTCACCGGCACCGTCCTGACGGCTCTGCATCTCAAGATGAAGTTCATCATCTACGTGGCGCCCGGCCAGCTCTCGCTGCTCCAGGTCGTCCAGCTGTACATGTGCCATGCACGTGGCGCCAAGCTCATCTTCCACAAGGGCAACACAAAGGAATGCTATGAGCGTGCACAGCAGCACGCCAACGACCTGCACATGGTCTACATCGAGCTCAAGTTCAGTCTGCAATTCTCGCTGATTGGTTCAGCAACGCTTGCCGAGGAGATCATGGAGCAGAGCCCAGACCGCCAGACCATCGTCATCCCACTGCGTCTCTACACGATTGGCTGGAGCTATGTGTCGTCCATTCCGCTCTATCTCAAGATGAAGAACAGAGACTTCAAAGTGATCGTCTGTCAGATGACAGAGGATCTCTACGGCATGGATGTTGAGGGTAGAGAGTTCAACAGACAGTCGCTGTTCCCTGACCGCATGGAGATTGGCTGGCTGGCCCTCATTCACGACCAGTCCGATCTAACCAACGTGTTTGATGCGTTCGACGCCAGGAACCAGGGCAAGTTCACGCCAGCCGACATTACACAGTTGCTCCAAGTGATGGGAGGTGATGCCAACAAGAACACAGTCATGTCACAAAAGACATCCTACAGCAAGACCGAGTTTGTCAACGAGGTCATCACGATCAGTCTGTCAAACACCATCCTCAAGGAGAAGGAGTCATCATACTTCCTTGCCCAATTCTCTTTGGACAACCTCCAGGACAAGAAGTAAGTATCATCAGTCCAGCGATCATCAACCAATCAATCAATCACAGACACTCACTCGTTCAATCTCCAGGATCATCGACCAACTCCTCCCTGTCACAGAGGACCAAGCTGCTATTGCTTTCATCAAGTGCCTCGAGTACACTCATACACTGACGAGTGGCAAGGGTTCAATCTCATTGGGTGGTATGCTCTCTGGTAACATCCCCTTCAAGAAGGATGAGAAGTTTGTCGTGTTGATCTCGGGAGGATTCATCGATGTCATCGACTTCCAGACTATTCTTAACTATGCGCTCGATCTGGCTGGCCAGACATTCGAAGTGGCACTCGATCTTCCAGACAATGCCAACGCGCTCACCAAGGTGCTGAACGTCATTGGTTCGAACAATGTGTCGGTACAGGAGATCAACATGGACCGTTCATGCGAGTCGCTGCGACAGTATCACGTCAGAGTGTCTATCATGTGTAACTCGAGGAACTTTGAGCAGCAGAGGAAGGTGCTAGACGTCCTTGATGCTCAGGGCTTCAAAAGATTGCCCAGACTCACAGGCAGTGGCAAGGCTGAGTCGCGTCCCTCGATGCCCTCACCAATCATCCCTCAAGAGCTCCCACCCGTCATTCCAGCATCGCCAAAGGATGCGCCACGCATCGACACCACCCCACTCATCAAGCGTAGCATCACCGATATCACAGTGGCATCTATCCGTGAGGCCCAGCAGAGGATCAAGCACATCATGTCACCAACTCCCATCTATCACAGCACAACATACTCGAAGATCTGTGGATGCCAGGTGACACTGATGCTCGAGAACATTCAAAAGACTGGCTCGTTCAAGATCAGAGGCTCTTCCAACATGGTGCTGCGCGCCATTGAGCAGAGTGAGCACAAGCCCGTGGGACTGGTGGCGGCGTCCGCTGGAAACCACGCACAAGGTGTCGCGCTGATCTCAGCCAAGGTAGGCCTCCCCTGCACCATCGTCTGTCCAGAGTATGCCCCAGACTCCAAGCTCTCGCACACCAAGCAGTATGGTGCCGAGGTCATCAAGAATGGAAAGTCACTGGAGGATGCCGTGCGTATGGCCGAGGGCATTTGCAAGGAGAGGAACTGGACCCTAGTGCGTCCCTACAACGACGTAGACGTCATTGAGGGCCAGGGCACAATGGGCTGCGACATCTACGACAAGGTTCCAGACGTGGACACTGTCATTGTGAACGTCGGCGGTGGTGGAATGATTGCTGGCATTGCTTTGTTCCTCAAGAAGATCAACCCCAACATCAGAATCATTGGTGTGCAGAGCGCCAACGTGTCGCCACTGGCTGACTTCAAGCAGACCAACCAGCTTAGATACATTGAGCCAGCCGCCCTGTCCCTGGCAGACGGAACCAACGTCAAGCTGCCGGGTGGTGTCCACACACAGGTCCTGCACGACCTGGTTGACGAGTACGTCACTGTCAGCGAGAACGAGATCGCCTCAACCATCGTTCATCTAATGTACAACAGTCGAACTGTGTCAGAGGGTGCCGGCTGCCTGGGTCTGGCCGCGCTCATCCATCACAAGATCAAGGTTCGCAAGGATGAACGTGTGGTCGTCATTATCTGCGGTGGCAACATCGACATGTCCACATTGAAGCAGGTGTACGAGTATGGCCTGCGCGCACTTGGCCGCTCGTTCACCATCCATCTGACAACCTGGGACTACCCAGGCAACCTGCACAAGATCATTGCGCTGGCGGCTCGTGCCGAGTTGGTGGTTAGCGAGATCCGCCACATCAGAGGCACGGGAGACATCAACTGGAATGAGGTCACCATCTCACTGTCATTCTACAGTAACTCATTCCATCATCAGAACTTCTTCCTGTCGCTGCTGGTCGAGGAGGGACTGTTCCCGCATGTGATTGGTCGTCGCTACATCAAGGATCACGAGCTCGTCTACCAAGTGTTTGACAAGGCCTGTGTTGGCAAGGAGAAGCAATTGAAGGAGACATTCTCCGAGAGACAAAAGGCATTCTTGGAGCAGTATGGCAAGCAAGCCAATACATCAACTCTCATGTAACCCAATCAATCAATCAAATATACATGTAAAAGAGACTGTCAATCAAGAGCAAGATAATAAACCATTATATATATTCAAGAGAGGTCTACACTGATGCGATAGACTACCTTGGTGAGTCCTGTTCTCTCAGTAATAAACCGTTCAATGAGCATTCTTTGTTGATCCAGGATAGGTGTTTGAGTGATAATGAGTGGAGGTTGGTCGTCACCAGTGTAGCCAATTATTATGTTTGGTATCCATTCATTAAGTACATCTTGGAGTATAGTTAACTTGTCAGAGATCTTCTTGGGTTTGACTACAATACCAACTTGGTTACCATACTTGATTCGAGCATTCTTTAATATTGTACGTAATTCTAGTCCTGAAGTGTTTGGCTGAGTTGAAGGTGCTTCATTTATCCCATCATCACTTAACATGTACGCATAAGATACCTTGTATTCCTTCTCAATCAATATTAAGAATTCCTTCAAAGTGATATTATTGGAATCCTTTAACTCGAGAAACCATATGTATAACTCCTTCCATTCATCATCTACACCTCTCTTTCTAATTCGCAACTTATTCATCTCTTTAACAGCTAGTACAACGTTCCTGAGATTCATTGACAAAAGGAAAGAGAGTTTCCAAACTCAAAGGTGGCGATAATATGGTCATGGTCCAGAAGGATCTTTAAAGGAAATTAAATAATTAATTTTGAATGAATATATACACAAACTTACCAATACCTTTGAGTATGGAAAAGTTGGATATTATTAAATCTATTGGCACCAAGTCAACTGGAATTGGAACCAATGATCCAAATATTATTATCTCTTATGTACACACTCCCATATTTTCGTGATTAGTAATCACAAAAAGTATAAGCAATATCTTGTTTAAGTCATGTCTAGTTCTAGTACTAGTATTTAGATGATATTGACCCATCTTTGACCTATAGTCAGGCCCAAACCGACCAGACCCAAAACCTAGATCAGTCTCCATAGTTTCTATCTTTGCACTGATGTTCAACCCGACACACCCCGAATGTTACGCTACACTTTCTCTCTAAAAAGATATCTTTGGATAAAATTATTTTATAATCTATATGAGGACCATCTCATTGAAGGGTACCCTCTTTGGACGAAAGATTGATAAATACATAATTGAATAGACATATTTGCAGGGTATTAATGATAAACACAGACTATCAGAACACCAACAATCATCAGAATGATGCCCATTCGTTTACTTGTGTTAGGTCCAGGACAAATCAGGTGGGCGAATGCGAATTTTCGAACGAGGTAGTCAAAAAAAAGATGGGCTCTAAAAAAATCCAATTCTCTTTGCTTTAGTGTGTGAGTGTGTGTTTGTTGATGGACTCGTGTCCTCTGCATCGATCCACACCACTCATCTTGGCACTCCCAACTACAGACAGTGTGTGAGCTATGCTGACTGACTGACCCACATCCAATCACTCACCTTCCATCCAATCACTCTCTATTTATTCATAGTTCTATCTGTGATCAAATAATCATATAAATAACTATATTTTATCTTAATATATATCAATATATCAATATATCAATCAAACTAACATCTAAACAATGAATAAGTTAATGATTACAGCATTGCTCTGCTTTGTGGTGTTTGCCGCATCGATCAATCAGTCCACTGCTGGACTCCAGGTCGTCAAGGGTAGCACCCCAGGCGACTTTGACTTTTATTTGTTCGTCCAACAGTGGATCTACTCATACTGCAGCCAACAGACTTGCGTCTCTGGCAAGGAGCGCGAGGCATTCACCATCCACGGCCTGTGGCCCGAGAACAACGACGGCAGCTACCCAAGCTTCTGCAACGGCCCCGCCTTCTCCTCGAGCGCCATCCAGGACCTGCTCAACGAGCTCAACTTCATCTGGCCATCGCTCACCGGTCCCAACACTGACTTCTGGACCCACGAGTGGAGCAAGCACGGCACCTGCGCCATCGGCGCCGGTCCCATCACCGACCAGCACGACTTCTTCTCGGCCGCCATCAAGATCTACAACAGCTACAACCTCACCACTGGCCTCGAGTCGCACGGCATCACCCCATCCAACTCGGCCTCCTACTCGATCGACAGCATTCTCGCCGCCATCACCAAGGTCACTGGCTACACCCCATTGCTCCAGTGCAGCAACGGTCAGCTCTCCACCGTCACCCTCTGTGTCACCAAGAACCTCGACCTCATGGACTGTCCAACACTCTCTGGCTGGAGCTGCTCTGGTTCCACCACCATCCCATCATCCGACTAAGCTCACTCATACATATATTTATTATTATTAACTCGTACGCCCACAAATCCAAAGCATACTCATTCACTCACAAACAATCAATCAGACGACCAACGATCATCAGTCACTCTGGATTCACGCATCTCGATCTCAACTTGTATGACACGTGACGTTATATGTTATGCATATAGCATCTTGTTGTAACAACTTAATAAATGGATTATTACGATCCATCATCCATCCATCTCCCCTCCCATCCAWTCTGTGAGTAACCATGGTAAGTACATTATTAATGTTTTTGATCAACCAATGGACATTATTTTCCAGGTTCACTGGGAAATAATATAGAAAAAATGATTGTTGAGATCATATCTGTCCCATAATGAATTGATATCGATCACTATTGTCTATTGACATAGATAGTTATTATCAATTAATAAACAAGGTCTCATCACAGCAATCAAACTCTACTTGAAGAAACAATCGGGACCTGTCCACATCACAACATCATCTCTTTTTGTTGATGTTCTCTCATTCGAACGAACACACTTTGGCAAACTTCCAATTCTTGTTTGTTTCGTGAACCTCAACTTGCACTCACTACCTTGAACTGGACTTCAAGATCATCTCCATTATTCATTCATTCATCCATAACATACAAGTAGTAATACAGTGATAATAACAAATACCAATTGGTACATACATTAAACAATACAATGACAATCGATATTGAAACTTGTAGAATTGGTTCAATCATACAGGACATCTCATTGGTACGTCTGGAATGTGATTGGATACATGATCAGACTGAACAATCATTCCGATCCATACTAGAGAAGGGAGAGTCAAACTTCCTCTACATGTATGTATATGTACATGCCAACATCATTACATTCATACTCATACTCATGCTCCAACTCATGAAACAAACAGAGAACTACTTTGGTCCATTGGCAAGGAGCTCTCACCATACTTTGATATACAATGGCCTTTGGAGAAGAAGATTGAATTGATCAAGACACCATTCATTAAGTTGTTAAAGTCTACTTTATATCATGGCAATATGGATGACATCACAACTGAGGGCGAGCAGACTGTCTTGTCAAAGTTGACAATGTTGGAGCATCTGTTCTTCCAGCTTCAAATGATACAATTGGATCTGTTCAATAAGGAGCATGCAATGGAGGTGTCTGAAGAGGATGATCAACAGAAGCAACAAGATCGTGATGACTTCCAGAATGATCTCATCAACAAGATTCAAGTGTTGAGTGATATCTTCCAGGTTCAGTTCAACAACTGGGAGAACTTTGTTGTAGTTCTAAATACTATCCATCAAAAGGTAAGTAGTGCACTTTGGAGACGTCTGGTTGGCTGACTGATTGACTGACACTCATTCCTAATAGATTGAGTCAGTATTGGCAACACTCCCAAGTGACTTTATGAGCGAGCCATTCTTCAAGAACATCGTGTTCACAGAGGATGAAAGGAAGACGATTGAGGAGATGAGTTTGACTCTGTTCCATGACTATTCAAAGAGATCGGAAGTGTTGTCCAAGAGATTGGACGTTACTTTAGAGTCGCTGTTGTGGTCCGAGCGCATAGAGACCAAGATGGACGAGATAAATCGTATCATTCGTTATCAACGCGAGGTGTTCCCCACGATACACCTATACACTGTTCAGGACCTGCTATGCACTCACCGCGACATCCTCAAGATCATCAAGACAAGTCTACAATCAAAGTCATCATCGGCATTGGTCAAGCGAATCATTGTTGGCAATGTTCCAGACCGTGGTGGACGACCAGGTGATCGCAAGGCAGCCATGCCATCCTTCCACAAGCGAGTGGAATACTCTAATCAACAACAATTCCAGCATCATAACAAAAAGTCAAAGAGAAAGTAAAGTAAAGTTTGGATTGGATTGATTGATTGTCCAAATCATGGACGCCATCATCAAAAGATAGACAGACCATCCATCAACAAAGGATGGTCGTTGTCATCATAATTGGTTTATTCCAAATGTCGGATTGATTGACGTACGTGCGTACCCTCTCACTGACCTCCATGGCGCAGTTTGTTTGGTACCAGCACTTCATATATTGTTCGATACTATTATGTTACATTGATTGATTTGATTGAATAGATTACAACATGTTGAATGATTGACTACTGATGTTGGTTCAACTTGGACACTCTCTTTCTTGATGAGTAGAAACTCCACATCCAAGTAAGAGTGAATACAACCAGCATCAAACTGGTATATTGATCAAAGTACTTTGGTGCAAAGATACGACATGTCCATAGTAGGATGAACAATGCTGCCAACAAGAAGTATAGCTTCCTAATTGTTGTCCATGTATATACCAATGGGTCTTGATCAGTGTTTGAGTCGCATGATATTTGGTCACCTTGTAATTGTGACTTTATAATACAGATGATTGTTGGTGTAATAGTTGTTGTTGTTGTAGTTGCTGTCTTATCAACAATGAAGTTTCTAAAGGTGCATAATTGTTTCGAGTCCAACATTGATATACCATTATACAAGAATATGATTCTATTACATCTACTTATTTCTTCTGGATATAACTATATTGTTTGTATTTGTTAGATGGTTTGTTCATCAAGTCTAATTGTACTTTGAACCAAGTATATTTGGATACCTACGTAGTTCTTCAAGTCTCCAACAGTGTCAATGGACTCGGGGAATGTGTGAACTGATATAGTCTCATCGACAATGATATTAACCTTGTGATATGGTGACATTGTTTGTTGTTGTTCTAGTTGATACATAATATAATGTTGTGATTAAGAATAAGGGGAGAAGTGTATATATAAGTATACTTCCAATTATTTCATTTAATAGTATTATTAGTTAGATGTAGTTTATAAGTTTAAGATATTATTTGTTTATGAACTAGTAAGAATGAAGTCGTGAACAACTCCATCATTCTATCTCTTAAGTAATTAAATAGATTAAGGGTTATAATAATAATAATAAATAAGCCGTTGGTCTTAATTTACTCAAAAGGGAAATGGAATTGAATGGAGGCTCTTCTTTGTGTCTTCTCTCTCTTTGGACAATCTTGCAAACACACTGCCCAACTAGGCTGTTCCAGACCCCCAATAAGAAGTCCATCAAACACTATTCTATTTATGTCGTAGTAGTTTGTTGGATGGTTGGTTGGTTGGTTTGTAGTTAATGTGGTGTTTGTTTGTTGCTGTGGTGTGTGTGTGTGTGTGTGAGTCTGTGTGTATTGACGCGCCGAGGACACCCCTCGAGATCTCACAGCCGGCCTGTATGTTCATTGTCGGTTATCTATCTGATACCATAAATGCAAGTTGCCACAAATGTATGTGTATGTGTTTCTGTGTATGTCGGTTCATTATTGAAGTCGGGGCTGAATCCCAACCGCCTCTCTCTTTATCTTTATCTGTTTGTAGTTGTACAAACACAGGCTACACACAAGTACAAGACACTGTTACTCTTGAAGAAGTTCCAACAAAGAATGTTAGGGTAGAACAAGAATGAATGAATGAATGATATTGTAATACGACAAATTGATATACCGATGCAATCACATATCTGATTACATGATCGGATACTTATTGTGTTGGATGGGATGGTCACTTTTTGGGAGTGGACGGCTTGATGGTTCATATGGAGTGCCCTTGTTTTTTTTTGGTACGGGGCATGGGTATGACGTGAGTGATACGAGGGTAAGAGAAGCATTGCCCGGAAGTCAAAGTATGTCGGTAGACACTCACCCGTTTGGTGAATGTGGTGGGTGTGTTTGTGGGTAAGAGTGTGAGCTGATTGTGTGTTTTGAGTTTCGTGTGTAGGTCTTTGGTGATCAGCAGCACCCGACTATCATGAGCTGAATGAATGAATGTGTTAAGTGTTACAGAGATAGATATATAGATAGATATATAGATACAGTGATAACACAAACAGACATAACAGATAGTTGATTAGTTTGTTTGTTTGTTGATTGGTTGTGCTTGTTGAGTCACATTACCAAGTATTAATAATCAATCAATCAAGTTCATAGTCATATCATATCATATCAACTCAAGTTCAAACAAACCATCATGATAAGTTTACATCAAGATCAATCAGATGTCAATCAGTCTCAGTCCCAGTCCCAGTCCCAGCAATCAACATCAAGTAATGTTGCTACAACAGCTACAACACAATCAGTCACATCAGCTGACACTACTGTAGTATCAACTTCAACGATGCAACAACTACAACAACAACAACAGCAACAACAGCAACAACAACAGCAACAGACATATAAACAATATCTTGCAGTTGGAGACAGCCCACTTGATCAATCATTTGGAAGTGATACACCATTGATCGACACACCGCCTGGAGGTGCCAGTCCCATTATAGACTACAAGGAGATGGTTAGACAACAGGCCTTTGAACTGATAAAGTCTTCAGAGGGCATGCCCGAGTACTCCTACATCGTTCGACCCATAATGAGTGTCTTGACACCTCCCACATGCATGTCCTCGCCAACATCATCAGCGACCACTCCCCTTCAACAGATGCCCTCTGCATCAATGCTCGACTTTACAAACTATTTCAACAGTGATCAATTGGCAAACTGCGGTGTTGGAGTTGGCGTTGGCGGTGGCGGTGGTAGTGGCGGTGGCAGTGGCACGAGCCCTGCTGCTGCTCCTCCCAGCACCAATACAACTATCTCTGTCACATCAAGTAATGGTGGCGTCATCACAAAGACTGATCAACCATCAACACAGGATGCCAACACAGCCAGCAGCAGCAACAATAGTAGTGGCAGTGGCAGTGGCACATCGACCACCAATCAGCAGCAGCAACAACAACAACAACAACTGTCATCACCAGCATTGCAGGGCACTAACAATCAACAGATGCCTTGTGCGGACATACCTTATCAATCTCCAAACTTGACGGCACTCAATCCTCCGCCAATACTCACAAATGCATTGGCCAAGTCTACAGGATCGTTGGTCTCCAGCACCAATGGCACCAATATAGATGACCCGGCGGCAGCAGCAGCGGCAGCAGCAGGTGGCACGCCTGTCAAGAAGAAGCGTGGAAGACCACCCAAGAACAAGGACCTACATCAACAACAGCAGCAGCTGGCGGCAGCGGCGGCGGCCGCACAAGCTGTCGATGCCCTGGACGACAAACAAAAGACCAAACGAGCTATCTATCTCTGTAACAAATGCAAACTGCCAAAGGTATGTCCCATGCCATACATATTCCAGACTCAATCAATCAATCAATAACTCACTCACTCATTCAATCAATCAATCATATTACAGAAAGGACATGTTTGTCCAAGAGGCGAAGATGGTGATGATGATGGAGGCAATGAAGTTGGAGAGGATGGAAAGCGCAAGACAAAGAAGGAGAGGCTCGAGTTGAGGGACAGTGCCAATGGAAAACTGGGAAACAGCACCAACTCAGTGCCACAGACCATTGGAGAGAGCAATTGGAGTCCAATCACATTCGAGTCAATCACTGGTGGTCTTTTAGCCAGTCAGAACAGTATCTTTAGCAAGGGCCTGTCACAATCATTGAGTAGCAGTACTAGTGGCGGTGGCAACATCAACAACAACAACAATAATAATGGAATCAACAACAACATTAATAGTAGCGGAAACATTCAATCATCAATAACCAATATCAATCCATTTGTACAGACACAACAACAACAACAGCAACCACAACAACAACTCCTTCACCAGCAGACACAGTCACAATTACAATCACTGCAGCAACAACAACTCCAACAACTCCAACAACAACAGACAATTAACAACTTCAACTCCAACTCCAACAATGACCAGACCTCGCCAAACATGACACCAACATTCTCAAGCGAAGGTCTCTACACTGGCCTGCAACAACAACAACCACAACAACAATCACAACAACAACAACAACAACAACAGCCAATGATCGATTTCAGCCTTCTGGCAGCGCAACAACAACAAATATTACAACAACAACAGGCATTACTTCAACAACAACAACAACAACTTTACTCTCAACAACATACATTCCAACAGGCACCCGTACAATTGACAGCATCGGCACTGCTGTCCAGCATTAACGATGCTGGCCTGCACCATCAGATGCTCTCAACGCAGCCAGCATTCTCAGCGACCACCATAGCCAGTCTCGGATCACCATTTAACAACATCATCAACAATGATGATGAGTTTGATGACATATAATCACAGTGATGCTGGTCTATATAATATAATTAAAGTGACTCCTCTTTCTTTCTTTCGATCAATATCCAGGTGAACTGGAAATACAAACATTAATTTTTATTTAAAATTGATCAAAACGACTTGTATGGTAGACGATGAAAAAAACGAATCATTCAAAGATTGTTCACTTTGTTCAATAACATCTACACATAATCATAGAGATAATCAATCAAACAAAGATAGATATACAATGGGAGATATACCTCAACTTCATGACGCAATATTGGATAATGACTATAATAAGGTGAAGGCTATGATCGAGTCTGGCAATCATAAGATTGATGAAGGAGACTTTGGAGGCCTGCAACCATTGCACTTTTGTGCTCGTATGGGAAATGTAAAGATGGCAGAGTTGCTGTTGGGTGCTGGCGCAGACATCAATGCCGACAATCACTACGGCTCAACTCCAATGCACGAAGCGGTGCGTCGTGGCGAGGTCGAGATGGTCAAGTTTCTGATCGCGAGGAAGGCCGACCTGACACTTGGTGACATTGACGAGAACACTCCACTACATCTTGCTATCATGTGTGAGGATGGTGAGCTCATCCCTATACTGATGGAGGCTGGTGCACCATTGGATCTAAAGAACAAGGATGACGACACTCCCGCACAAGTCACTCAAGATAAAGAGATCCTAGAATACATCGAGGACTTTGTAAAGAAGCAACAACAAGCTACAGCTACAACAACAACACAAACACAACAGTAATAATAACAACTACAACAACATATAGCAACAACTTGCTAGCAACCCATTCAGTAACCCCTGATTGGACGCTAGATCAGACCTGTCCTTGGTCCTCGCCTGTGATGCGGGTCCAGGCTCACACTCATCATCCAAATAGACCAACCATTTAATGAAGACGAGACAAAGATGATGATGATGACGAACGACTCGGTAAACATGTCAACGTGGAGATAGGCGACCATTAGTTGATCAGACAGTTAGACAAACAGAATAAAGCCAACAACATGGCACATTATGTATTTAAAATCGATCCATCCATACTACTCATGTTCCATCATCGCAATCGGCAAGACGCACCCTACCATACTCCAAAGACACCTTCCAGGAACTCTCGGATGTACTTGTAGTAGTTGGGCTGGATCATCAAGGTCATGTGCTGTCCATTCTCAAACTCGATCATTTTCTTCTTGTCACTTCTGCACAGCTGCTCTAGCTGTGCCATGTGTCCGGCTGGTACCAGCTCATCCCTCTTGCCCGATAAGAACAGTGTCGGTGCGGTCAACTTTGCGATCGCCTGATAATTGTTCCATTGACTGCGTACCAATGGCTTGAACACCTTTAGCCAAGGCATCACAACGTCAACCATGTGAGGTATCGACATAAAAGTATTCTCTAGAATCGTTGCCTTAATCTACGATTGATGAATGGATGGAACGAGTGAGTGAGTTGGACTTGGTCAACAATCAACAATATAACATTTAACGTACATCTTGTGGGAATCTTGAAGCGGCATCAATGGCGACAGCGCCTCCAAGTGATCGGCCAAAGATGAATATCATGGAAGAGTCGATTGTTTGATCTGATAACAAGTACTCCATTGCCACCTGTTGTGATTGGTTGATTGATTGATTGAACCATGTATGTTATGTTAGCTATCAAGTCCATATTGATTGATCGCGAACAAAGTGATGATGACCATACATTGACATCTAGTTTGATTCCTTCCTCTGATGGTGATCCCTCGCTCTTTCCATAACCTCTGTATGATATGATGAGTACATTGCACTTGACCATGTCGTAAAGATGTCTGATGTTTGGTAGTCTGTGGCTGAGGTCTAAAGAATAGCGAGGAGCAGGAGGAAGAAGAGAATGTGTTATGAACTGAATCAATCAAACAAGGAGGAGGTGATGTGATGAACATACTTCCAGCATTTGAATGACAGAATAGCATGGTTGGACACTTCTTTGAGTTGGGCTGTCTGAACATCCACATCTGTATGTTTAGGTCGTCTCTGGTGCGCAGCATGATCTCCTCAAAGTTATCTCTTGTGAAGCCATATTGAGCGGGCTTGAGGAAGTGCTCTGTGTCTGGGAAGTAGATCAGCTTCTCCTGTGCAAAGTAGATCAATGATATCACTACAACTCCTACAGCTCCAAGTACTCCACTTAATATATACAACAACATTATCATCATCGACATCAACATCAAATAGTTAGTTTATGCATTCAATGATCAATTAAATACACCTACAAATAAGTCGATGTTGAAGCTAACAATATAGTCATTGTATTGTATTGTATTGTATTTATCTTGTAAACTATTGATGAATAGAATGGTTGATTTGTATTGTTCTATGATTGTCTGATTGAATGTTAGATCTCATAATCAAGATTTATGACTCTCTGAGTGATTTTGGCGAACTCCACTTGGAATGATCAATGAATGTTGGTTCATTTTCATGATTGAGTTGAATTATCTTATAATTCATTACTATAATTCTAAATATTAATAATATCAATAAATGTTTATTATATCAAGAGGTATTAATAGGTGGAATATTTAAGTCACTATTTATTAATTAATTAAGATATAGAAGATAAATTACCCTTCTACCACACTAGAAATATTAATAATAAATAATAAATATAATTCCAATATTCGAATGTTATAAATAGATAAGATTTTAATAATCATTATCCATATATCTTAAACAACAATTAATTATCTCCATTCTAATATTATGTATAATAATAACTACTTCCTATTTTTATTTGTAATCGTATTTATATCTTTATCCACTTCAATGGTCAAGAGCCAATCTCCGGAACCTCCCTGTATCGAATATACTGGAGGGGGGAGCTGTCCAATTGGTCTATGTGATTCATTAGGGAAATGTAGTAGCTGATCATTGCCAGATAATGAGTCAGACCCATCAAAATGTTCTTGTGTCCGTGAAATAGCATTTAGTGAACTAGATTGCCTATCCTATGGAACTTCATGCTTTGGGGGTCCTGTGTCAGACTGCCTTTATAAATACCTTCCATTCTGCAAAGAAACTGGTCTTAATGATGCCATCATCCCGTGGGTATGTTCCCACGAGTTAGACCCAAAAATAAGGACAAAAGTTTGTCCATCATAGTATCAAATAAATCATATCCAAACTAGTAATAAGATACATCCTCAGAGGTTAATATTAATAATGGGAAAAGAAACTTTTTTTTATTTGAATTTCGATCAATCAATCATTGAAAATAGTAAATCCTCTATAATATACCAATATATCTTGATAATAATAATATTCACGGATGTGCTAAAACAATCCTCCAAAGATACGATTTGGTAATTAATAATATTCATAATAACACTTCCACCACCAAGTGTTAATTTATTTGATAAACCCCACAGATTGGATTTATTAATAAATAGAAAACATTATTATTCCTATTCAATTAAAGGGTACTTTAAATATTTATTATTAATAATAATAGGAGATAAAAAATGAATAATATCTTAATATATTTATTACTAGTGATAATTTTTATATGTTTATCCTCTTCCACTGTTCAAGGCAAATCCCCTCCAGAACATCCCTGTACCTCTTATACGGAAGGTTTGACATGCCCATTTGGACCCTGTGATTCATTAGGTAATTGTACAATTGGAGGTTCATATCCAGATAAAGTGTCCGACCCCTCAACATGTTCTTGTGTCCGTTTCTTATCACAGGAAGAAATAGATTGCCTTAATTTAGGAACATCCTGTTTGTCAGGTCCTGTTTTTAACTGCCTTCATAGATTCGATCGTGTTTGCAAAAAACAAAGTATATATAATATTCTCCTACCTTGGGTATGTTCCCATGAATTAGACCCAACAGTTAGGATACAAGTTTGTGTATAGTATTAATTAAATAAATACTAAGGTTGGATGGACAACTGAATTATCTACTGTGGTTGGAAGGTGTTGATGCAATAATGAATGATGTTACTTTAGAATTTATTGTTGAGGAAAGAGATGACCATGTTCAAACTGGTCTCTGGCTGATCCATTGGAACCATGTGGCCAGCGTTGTTGACGGCCATCAGAGTGAGACCACCGTAGGATTGAGTGTAACCTCCGATGTTCTGACCAGTCATGACGATCTTTCTTGGGGCGTTGTTCCACTGCTGGTTGTTGGACCACTCCAACTGCGAGACCCAGGCCTCAGAGCCGAGGTAGTTGCAAATCCAGCCCATGTTTCCGTTGTAGACAAGGGTTCTGATACCAGCCTCCAACAGGATTGGGATGTGGGCGACCTCGGTGTTCCACCAGTCGTTGATGATGTCGGCGTAGACGACGTTGCTGCACAGGGTCCAGTTGACGTTGGTTGGCACGCCGAGCTGCTGGCGGACGGATGGCTGAGCCAAGTAGTCGCCGACCAGGGTGAAGTTGTAGCAGAGTGGCAGGGAGGGTGGGCAGGTCTTTCTCACATCGTATGGGTTGAATGGGCCGGCGTTCTCCTGGATGACGTTCATGATCTCATTGCAGATCGTGTTGGAGTCGTTGTAGCTGCCAGAGTTGATGGCGTCGACACATGAACCGACGAGACCCTCGGTCTCCTTGAGGGCGAGTGGGCCAATCAGACCGTGCGAGTAGGCCATTGGACCCATGCTGCCGTACTGGATGGCTGGGTAGACCATGGCGTTACCGACGGCCAGACCCTTGAGGTTGAAGTGGACTGAGTATGGGTCCTGGTTCTTGGTGTAGATGAAGTAGGACAGGGCGGGCACGTAGTGACCGGCGTACGACTCTCCAAACACGTAGAATGGAAGCTGGGCGTATTGTGGGTGATCGGCCATGAACTGCGACAGCATGCTGTACAAGTTGGCGGCGACCTCCTCCTCGTTGGTGGAGTATCCGTTGGGGTCTGACACGTAACTGAAACCAGTTCCGACTGGGCTGTCAACGTACAACATGTTGGCAACCTTGTTCCATGAGTATGGGTTGTTGACCAACTGCATATCCTCAGACAAAGAGAATGGGCCGTTTTCCTGTTATATAAGTTAAGTTTGTATGAGATATAGTTAGTCTCCGCATGTTCATTATTTGTGATATGACAGCTTGTTTAGCTTGGGGTGATTGAGCTGATTTGATTGCCCTTCACACTCGCACAACACTGATCACCCCCCGTACATCTGTGTGGCTTCCATCTGGAATGAATGAATGAATGAATACATACGTAGAAGATGGCGAGCTCGGAGGAGCATCCTGGACCTCCAGTCAACCAAATGATGAAGGGTGCAGTGGTTGGGTTGGTCTGAGCCTCGAAGAACCAGTAGAAAAGGTTGGCATCAGTAGTCTTGTTTACATTGTAGTAACCAGAGATGGAGGTGGTGGCGCCAGCAGAGAGGTTGGCGTTGGCATAGCCTAGAATACACTGTTGTCAAGTAATTGAGTAGTTGCGTGTGAGTGTCAGTTTATGATTGTGAGAATGTGGGGCGAAGGCCCTTCATTCATTTCTTACAAGAGTGAGGACCAAAGCAACAATCTTCATTGTGTTATATTATATGTGTATGTAGTATTATCTGTTTAAAAGTTGTAACAAGTGGAGAATGTGTCAATGTGCTGTCAGACGTCATTGGGGCCGAGGAATCCAAACGGACCATTCAGAACCGATTGTTGTTACAAAAAAAGATCAACAAAAAGTTCCAAATTTCAACAGAGAACGTCCATCACCCCCACAATCCTGCCCCATTGTGGGTGGGCCATTTTGAAAGACGCAGGACCTTGGGATCTGAGTCGGAACATGAATACTCTGCCGACTATTCAACACAATGGGGAGTGAGTGTGTCACATCATCAGACAAGTGAGTTACGTTGTAATGTAGGAGCGCGCATTTTATGGAGGATAAGAAGGAAGTAGTCTGGCGAGCTCGTCAATTGATAATGGTAGAAGGGAAGGATGTTGGAAAAGACGTAGAAGTGCTCTATGTTGTCTAATTAAAGAATGGTTCATCGACAAAGTCAATCGATGTCACCTTTGACTCAAGTGTCTCAAAGATGATGACCTCGTTCTGACCTTGATGAAGAAGCACTGATGGCACGTACATAGTACGCTGTGGACCAACGTTCCAGTAACGACCAACATTGAATCCATTGATCCACAGGTTACCCTTTCCAAGTCCAGTGAATGCGAGGAAAGTCTCTCCAATGTCATTGACAGAGTCTATAATGGATGGRAAGTTAGTGTTAGAGAATGATTGATCGATTGATGATTGGTTGATTGRATTGATCACATACTGATTGTGATGTTACCACGGTAGAATGTTGGCTCACCACCTTGGTTGTATTCGTTGCTCTCGACCCATTGGATGTTGGACAGATCCTCAAGGGAGAGTGGGTAGTTGTTCCATGGTCCGAGGTACTCGAATCCGGCAAGGACACCATTGCCCAGACCCTTTGGATCGTGCATGTATGAGCCGTAGTTGACACGACCCTGATTCTCGAGAAGGATGCGAACCTGGTTGGTATCGCCATCGGTGAATTGAACATTGATTGAGCTGTTGGACGAACGCTGGACAAAACCTTGGTTGGTGTTGTTGATGTAGAATGTGGCGCGGTCGCGCAGATCCATCACGCTGAGGCTGTTGGATTGGTACTCAGTGTTGATGTCGGCCTCGTAGAGGGCAAAGCCATAGTTGAGCTTCATCTCCTCAAACATCATTGGACGTCCAGTGGTGATGAATGGGTTGGGCGAGAGCTGCTGGAGGTTGTTAAAGAGCGAAGCGGCTTGAGTCAACTGGATGGTGCCGTAGGCCATGTGAGTGGAGTTGTTTGGCACTGGTCCGAGGGGTTGGTTCGTCCACTTGACGATGGCATCGCGCACGGCCAAGTACTTGGGTGTGATGTCACCGGCCTCGCTGATGGGTGAGTCGTAGTCGTAGGATTGGGTGGTGATCTCAAAGTCTCCGGGGTCACCGCCATTGACACCGTTCATGAAGCCAAAGTTGGAGCCACCGTACATCATGTACATGTTGACGCTGGCGCCCAGCTTGAGGATGTCGTAGAGGCCGTCGGCGACGGTCTTGGCGTCGACGCGTGCTTCACTAGAGTCGAGCCAGTGAGTCAACCAACCAGTGTAGTACTCAGAGTTCATGAGTGGGCCGGTTGGCACGAACTTGCGTTGAATGTCAAAGTTGCTCTGGGGATCGTCAGTGGGGCCAAAGTCGATGGTCTGGTAGACGCCTGGGATCTGCGAGCCGTAGAGGTAGCCGCTGCCCGAGCCGTCGGTGCTGTGGAAGATGACTCCGCTGCCGTCGCCACGACCCTCGCCAAAGAACTTGATGTAGAGCGAGAGCAGGTAGTTGAGGTAGTTCTTGTCGGAGCCGTAGCTGCCGTACTCGTTCTCGACCTGCATCATGATGATGGGGCCGCCATTGGTGTAGAGCTGCGTGTTGAGGATGGGCAGCAGCACGGTGAACCAGTCGGTGACGGCGTTGAGGTAGGTCTGGTCAGAGGTACGCAGCGCGATGTTGGGATCGAGCGTGAGCAACCAGGGTGGGAAGCCGCCAAACTCCCACTCGCCACAGATGTAGGGGCCGGCACGGATCACCACGAGCAGACCCTCCTCCTGAGCGATCTCGATGAAGCTGGTGACGTTGTAGGTGGCAAAGTCAAAGGTGTCGGGTGTGGGCTGGTGTAGGTTCCAGGCGATGTACGTCTGCACCGTGTTGAGTCCGGCCGCCTTCATCTTTTGCAGACGGTCACGCCAGAGGCTTGGGTGGCAGCGCATGTAGTGGAAGGAGCCCGAGATGATCTGGAAGTTCTGGCCGTCCTTCACAAAGTTGTTTCCACTGATCATAAACGACTCGGCATTCGTCGTCTGACCAAACAACATAACTGTTGCCACCAACAATGCAACAAACAATAATGTTGGTATTGTTGTCATTATCTTATATATATTACTATCTACCTACTACTATTTGTAGTAGTTATACACTTATAAGTATGTTGTGTATGTAATTGTATACTTGTATAAGTATGTAAGTATGTAAGTAAGTGTGATTGTGTTGTTTAGAATGTAGATGTCTGTTTGCAAGCATGTTCACGTTCATGTTCAGAGCCAACCCCTCTCTTCAGACCCAAACATTATCAACACTAGACTAGTGTGTGAGATATTGACAACTTGATTCATTCAAACACAACACACTTTGTTTAAATATCTCATCGGCTGGATACCAACAACGACGCCGACATGCAAAGTAAGTGTGGGGCTTTGTTCAAAATGGGTATAGGCCCAGGACCCCCAACAACAACTACTTATACAATCAATATCATCATTCATAAACATAGATTGATATTATATCTAAATTGATTTAAATAAATTTATTTACAAAGGATTGAGATAAATATTCATTAATGATTTTAAATTATTAATAAGTTGTTTGATCAACTATTTTGATTGAGTCTCATGATCTAGATCTCAATGGAAGAATTAAAAATAAACTTGAAGAATGAGGTGTGTGATCAAAGTTCAAAAGTGAACTTGCACTCTCAATCATTCACTCATTCATTTATTAATATACTTATATACTTATTTATATATATTTATGATGGACTCTGAAATTAATGCAGGTGATGTACTGCTAACTCATAAGCAGCAGAGAAGTTCTAGAAGTAGATCACCACCATCTCTACCACCTGTTCATAGAAGTGACTCGAGAGGTGATGAGAGAGATATTGATAGGGACAGAGGTGTAGTCGATAGAGACAGCAGAGAGAATCGTGATGGTGATAGAGACCGTGGCAGCAACAGTGACAGAGACAGATACGTCTCAGACCGTTCACCAGGTCCAGGCAGTGATAGATCAAACAGATTGGCAAATGTATGTACTTCATTCATTCAATCACAACATGTAGCATATATACTAATATATGGTTGTGAATGGTTGAATATATAGACTGCCCCACCCAGTAAGGTACTTGGAGTGTTTGGTCTCAGTCCAAAGACTACTAGATATGACTTGGAGGATACGTTCAAGAAGTTTGGCAAGATTGAGAATGTCAGTTTGATCATGGATAAGAAGACAAACAGATCAAAGTGCTTTGCCTTTGTCTACTTTGAGAGCAAGGACGATGCCATCAAGGCCAAGAATGAGTGCCAGAACCTTATAATGGAACGGCAAGCTAATTAGAACTGATTACTCAGCCTCTGCGCGTCCACATGACCCAACACCAGGCAGATACTACGGCAATGGGTAAGTACAGAGATAAATGGGGCGAGAGAATGGTCACCTGACTGACCCGTAACACATACATATACACAGTGGTTCTTCAACAAGATACAGCCCATATGATAGATATGATAGGGATCGCGAGGATAGGTACGGAGGTGGAGGCGGCGGTCGTGACGACAGAGGATACGGTGGAGGCGGCCGCGATGATAGGTACGGTGGAGGTGGCCGCGATGACAGAGGATACGGTGGAGGTGGTGGAGGTGGCGGCCGCGATGACCGCGGCTACAGCAGCCGTGATGATAGATATAGTCGCGACGACAGAGGATACGGTGGAGGTGGTGGAGGCGGACGAGATGACCGTTACGACAGCAGTCGTGATGACAGATATAGTCGCGACGACAGATACGGTGGAGGCGGCCGTGACGACCGCGACAGAGACAGATACAGAGACGACAAGTACGACCGTTATGACCGTCACGATGATCGTCACCGCGACTAAACCCTCAAGATGCATCAACACAGCGCATATGGATGGATTCATTGTTTAAGTAGGTTGTCGAATGTCGGCTCGTCAGTCACCGACCAAGTACTAATCATCATCTTACCACATCCAATCAGTCACAAGGCCAATGTCCAACCAACACTATCAATCAACAAGAAAGTCTTTCCATGTGTCGCCCGTCAACATCATCAACATCAATCAATCACATCAATCATAACCATCCATTTGTATCTCATAATAGACTGACCTCTTTCTCTTTACACATCACTCACTCACCTACTCCCTTCCCCAAGTCGTTAACGACTTTGTTATAAAGGCTAGCCTAGGCAAGCAAAGTTACAAGCATCACTTCAACAACTCTATCACATAATCAAGCCAATCAAGCCAAGCAAGCAAGCAATCAATAGCAATGAATCAAATTAAACATACAATACCTCGCACCTAACAAGAATGAATGAATGAATGAATAACACAAGTCATAGTAGCCTCTCTGCAGCAATGAAGTCAATCAACCTAGGAAAGATCAATGAATGCGGTCTCTCTCTGCCAGCCATCAGGTTTGTATCCAACAAGACACAACCAGCTTGGATGAATGAATGAATGAGAGTGAGGGAGAGGGAAGGTACCAATAAAGTGTTGGAACATTCGTATGACACCAATCAATCAATCAAGATCAGCAATCAGTGGATTTATTGATAATGGATGGAACATCAATCCATCCATATATCTATTTATCTAATTTATCTCTTGGCAGAGGACTTCTTCTTGTTGCCTCCACCTGCACTGCGTGCAGAGTCGCTGATGGAGAAGCCGGCGCTGCTCTGGCTGAGCGAGGAGGAGCCGGTCAGATTGGGCGTCTGTGGCATGAATAGTCCAGTGGCGGTGGACGATCGCATTGATGGCGTTTGCGAGCCGAGAGGATTGATGGTGGTGGAGAAGTTGGTTGTGGAGCCAAGCGAGCCGAGTGAGCTGGTGGTGGCCAATGAGCCCAGCGCTGACGCTGTGGAGGAGGCGGTGGAGCCAAAGGTGTTGGACGATCCACCAGTCAGGGAGTTGCCACCAATTGAAGGTGCCAATGATGATGTTTGGTTGTTGTTGCCAAATAATGAGTTCGATGTTGAGGTGGAGCCCAGGGTGGGCGATGTCATCAATGACAGAGTTGGCGTTGTCGATGCGGCACCCACAACTGGCGAGGCAGTCGACGCGCCAAACACCGATGAGTTGGAGCTGAAGCTGTTATTGTACGATGGGGAGATGCTGTTGTCCGAGGCCGAGCCATGATGATAGCTCTGCTTTGCACTTGGCTCCAATGTCTTTCGCTTTGGGAATGGGTTGTAGTTGTCGTTGTAGTACTTGCGCTTGAACATCAAATAGTCCCTCTTGAGTCGGTCCAACTCATTGACCAGTCCATCCAACACGACTGCCTCATTGCGGAGTACGTTCTGGTTGGTTTGCAATGTGGCAATGAATGCTGTTGATTGATTAAGTGATTGAATGAGTGAGTGATCTTGCGAGGACTGACGGACAGATGGGATAACTTACACTCTTGGAATGAGAGGTTGCTGTTGTATTGTTTCGTTGGTGCTATACAGTTGATGGTTTGGTAGAGTCGCTCGATCTTCTGCATGAAGGACGCTACTATCTCCTCCATCTCGCGTGATGGCAGTGGCTGGGAGTAGGGTGAGACGAATCCAATCGATAGCATATGATACTGTTCGCTTATCGATGTCAATGGCTTTGCCGAGCTCTCCCTAAGGTGTTCGAATGATTGAATATAGTGATTGAAGTTGTTGTTTAAGCTGTCGAGTTTCTGTTTGTTGTTGTGTTGGCAACAGGCGAACGAAGGTTAGAATGGTCGGTTGATTGATCGAGCGATTGATTGGGTGATCGGCATTGATACATACGATCTGAATCTGTTGAATGAGCTTTGGAAGTTGATCCAGCTTGTCATCATAGGTTGAGAATGACTTCATAATGGTGTTGTTATTGATGATCATCTTGCTACATGATAGGGTGAGGGGATCTTGTTAGTCAATCAAGTCGCCAGCCAGGCTTGAAATGTGTGGCCACGGGTACTTACTGAAGTCTAAGACAATCTTGTTTCAGTTGTGGCGATAGTTCAGAGTACTTGTTGGAGAGTTGGTAGGCTGGTTGTGGTGGCATCTGTTGCTGTTGTTGCTGCATGAATCCGCCACCAAACATGTTTGTTGTTCCTCCCGTGGCCGATGAGAACAGTCCGGATGAAGCCTGACTGCCACCAAACAGGCTAGATCCCGTCGCCGATGAGCTTGGGAACAGAGAGGAGCCAGCAGATGACGACTGTCCGCCTCCAAACAGGCCAGATCCAGTTGTCGAGCCGGGGAAGAGTGAGTTTGATGCTGGTGCTGTGCCAAACATGTTTGATCCCGCGGGTGCAGTCGATGATCCAAACAGTCCCGTACCTGTCGTTGGCGTTGTTGACGTCGCGCCAAATAGTCCTGTGCTTGTGGCAGGCTGTGTTGATCCAAAGAGACCTGTAGACGTTGAGGGGGCACTCGTTGCGCCAAACAGGCCTGTCGATGTCTGTTGCCCTGTGTTACCAAACAGTCCTGCTGACTGAGTTGCTGGTGCTGTGGACTGTTGTGCGCCAAACATGCCTGTAGAGGTTGCAGGTGCAGTCGACTGTGTTGCACCAAACAGACCTGTGGAGCCACCTCCTCCAAACAATGAGCTGCCACCACCTGTTGCTGCTTGGCCACCGCCACCAAACAAGCCGCCACCACCCGTCTGTTGTGTAGATTGTCCTGGCTGAGCAGCGCCTCCTGCGCCACCACCAAACAAGTTTGTACCTGTACTCTGGCCTCCTCCTCCTCCAAACAAGTTTGAACCTGTACCAGCAGTATTCGTGCCCCCAAACAACGATGAGCTCTGATTACCAAACATATTATTACTATGACTATTACTATTACTATTATTATCTCTCTCTTGATTGTTATTTCGTTCTTTCTGTTGAATGATTGATTGATTGATTGATTGAGTGTATGTACTCTCTCGGTGAGAGTCTGTATGTCTGTCTGTCTGTTTGTGTGTCTAAAGAGGTATTATATGTATGTATATGTTTGGTTGGTTGGCTGTTCACAAATGAATGAATGACGAGTGATCATCAAAGTGAGTGAATGACCGCCAATTTTTTGAAACTTCGCAAAGTCGTCCAGCTGGAACAACGTGGTTGGTAACATTGTGTTGTCAATCGACAGGTCGTTGGTTAGTTTCCAAGAAGTAATGTTGTCTTGAGTTCAAGACAAATCAAGTCTACGTAGACCCTCTCTCTATTCAATCAACTTCCACAGCTACAAGTTACAATCATTCATAAATATACAACCAAACAAACAAACAAACAACAATCAAACAATGGATGGACTTCCAAACTTATTGATTGGTTATATTTGTAGTCATGCTACACCTATTGGATCAATATGCCTTGCATTGACTTGTAAAAGGATGTTTAGATTGGTATTCAAATATGGACAACTCAATGATATCACAATGATGAGTAAACCATCCTTAATGAAGGATGATAAAGATGATGGTTGTAATCAATTGACATGGTATGTTGAACAGAATAGAATGCTTGACAAAAAGGTGATACCGAAAAGAGTCAAGACAATCGTGTTCTGTGATGACTATTCTCGATTGTTCAAGCCTCGCATGTTCAGGAAGAGAGTCAGATCGATACGATTCACTGGTGGGTACAGTCAAGAGATCAAACCAAATGTCCTTCCACAAAGACTTCATACACTCACTGGTCTGAACTTATTGTCATCTATCCTCCCTGGATCTCTCCCAGCCTCACTCACCCGCTTGGGATTTGGAGGCTATCCTATGTCGTTTACACATGGATCGTTACCAGACGGGCTTCTGGAGCTTGCCAACCTTCTCCCTCTTGACCCATTGGTGCCAGGACTACTCCCATCAACGTTACAAACATTGTCCTTTGCGGCAGAGTTCGATCAAGAGATTACGCCTGGACTTCTTCCCCCCTCTCTCAGATCATTGTATCTGGGCATGAAGTTCAACCAACGTATCCTTGTCGATGTGCTCCCATCGTCCATCACCTCACTCACATTTGGTTCACAATTCAACAAACCAATAGCTCAACTTCCTCCTCATCTTTTAGCATTGATATTCATTCGAGGTGAATACAATCTCCCTCTTCCCACCCTGCCAGTGTCGTTGACTGTACTTAACCTTGGTTACAAGTTCAATCAACCAATTCAATTGCCAGTTGGCCTCAAGTCTCTCACAGTGAATCTGGTCCCCAACAACAGCCTTGTAGCCCTACTTCCCACAACATTACGATCACTCAGAGCATTGACCTTTAGTCAGTCCTTTAATACACCAATCACCATTGATGCACTGCCTGACAGCTTGACCTCTCTCGAGTTTGGCTACTCATTCGACCATGAGATTATTCCCAACTCACTGCCCAATTCCATCACTGACCTCAAGTTTGGTGCTTCATTCCACCAAGAAGTGTTCCAAAGTGGAGCACTGCCAACGTCACTTCTGTACTTAACACTTAGGAGAAATGATATCAGACATGATATGAGGCTGCCATCATCAATCACATCATTGAGTATCTACAGGTTCATTTGGAAGGAGTGCTACCCAAAGAATCTGCAACACTTGACCATCTTATCAGATAGCGAGTCAATTACAAAGAGGTCCTACCTCAACCTCAACACATTGACAATGGAGCTCCAGAAGAAGAAGCTCAAGATTACACTCAAGTTGTATAATAGTCTGTACTTCAAGATACCAAATGTTGCCAACTATTACTTCAACTTCAATTCTCAACCATTCTCAACGATCAGTCGTATTGGAGGCAGTTGGATATTGATTACAACAATCAGAGATGGCGTCACTGTTGTACAATTTTATGACTACACATGGAAGCCAAGGCCAAAGTCGAGAGGATGGTATTAGCCCAATAATGTAAGTCAATCAAGTCAATCAATTTTTTGTGTGAGTGTGGGTGATCAAACGAGTTGATTGACTGGATAGTGATGTGAGTTTCCAAAAACGATTATATATGCTTACAAAGTTAACATTATTCCACCATCATAGTTACTTACCATCAATCATTCAAACATTCAAACATTCAATCAATTAATACATATGGAGACTCTACCAAACTTATTAATCGGTACACTTTGTCAATGGATGGGATCAGTTGGAGCACAATGTCTGGCATTGACATCAAAGAGATATTATATATTAATATATAAACAAGGACAATTGAATGGAGTCTTAAAGAGAAGACCATCATTTGTACAGAATGATGAGAGTGTTAGACAGTTGGTCTTATACTCTGGAAGAGAGTTATCTCGTTTCACAAAGGAAATGATACCAACTGGAGTTTGCTCAATACTATTCTCCAATACTTTCAATCAATCACTCAGTCAAGGTGTATTCAATGATACTAGTAGTATTACATCCATTCAATTCATTGGTACATTTCAATCTAGAATGGAACAAGGTGTACTTCCATTAACACTTCAGTCACTGAATGGATGGGACCTCTTGAACCCAATCACTCAAGGCTTGCTCCCAGACTCTTTGACCTACATCAAGTTTGGTGATGGACACAAACAAGAGTTTGATCAAGGGTCATTCCCATATGGTCTACTGGAGATTGCCAACTTTAGTCCTCACAACATCATATTGCCTGGTCAACTGCCACCACTCCTTCAATCATTATCATTCAATGATTTTGATATGGTCATCCCGCCAGGAGTCCTACCGCCAACATTATTATCTTTGGATCTTGGCGATGTATTCAATCAAGAGATACTAAATGGTGCTCTACCTTCTTCCCTCACCAAACTCAGAGCTGGACTTGCGTTCAACATGCCGATATTGGAAGGAGTACTTCCATCCCAACTAACAACACTGATTGTAACAAGCTACAGCCATCCACTCCCCACCCTACCAACGACAATCACCCATCTTGATCTTGGTACTAACTTTGACCATCAGATACATCTTCAAAATGGACTCACATGGTTGTCAATCATTCTAGTACTGCCTGCCCTGCTTGCATCAACATTTCCATCTTCATTGAGAGTATTGAAGTTTGGTCCTGGATTCAATGCCCCAATCCCTGCTGGAGTGCTCCCACTCTCACTTACGAAGCTGTCCATTGGCGATCTGTTCAATCAACCTATCACTGCTGGATCACTGCCACCATCGATCACAGTCTTGAGGTTTGGAGAATCATTCGATAATGTGATGTTTCCAGCTGGTGCATTACCAACATCACTCGTATCATTGACCCTGAGAAATCATTATCTTCCCAAGACAATGAGACTGCCACCAACAATCAAGTACCTCAAGATCCACAAGTTCATAGCAAAGTGGTGTCTGCCAAAGTATCTCGATCATCTCTCAATCATTGCTGACAACCAGTTCCTCTCAAAGAAGAACCTTAGTCTCAAGACATTGTCAATGGAGCTCCATCATCCATCTCTACGTACAACAATGAAATTGTATCGTAGTCTTGAAGTCAAGGTCGTCAACATTGGTACCTATAGTTTCAACTATAATGGCAAGCTATACTCAATATTCACACGAATGGATGGAGACTGGATCATGGTCACTGTTGCCAGGGGTCCAACAACCGAGGTCATGTTCCATAACTATGACCGACAACCAAGGCCAGTATGGGTCAGAGGTAAATTTAAATATTATCACTAAACCATCAATCAATCAATCAATCACATCCATCATTCCTCTTGTAATAAAATTAATATTAATTTGTTTTTGTTCACTTTTTTTTGATCAACTATTTTCCATTTTTGTCAACAATTACTTTCGTCTTTATGTCAATCATGCATACATATACAAATAGACATATTTATAGAATAGATGGATACACTCTCGATTGTTGTTATCAGAAAGATCTTTGATCTTCTGAAATATGAATACATTGACACAGCTTCACTTGGATTGACATGCAAGAGGTTGTTTGTCGAGATGCACAACAGGAGACAACAGAGATTGAAAGTCACTCCAAAGCTTGATGGACTGAATGGTGTGGTGTTGGAGGACCCTTTCGTTGTATTGTATTACAACAAGTCAGCAAAGATTAAAGAACTGCCATCAAAGTTGACACATCTAGAGTTTGGACCCAATTACGACAAGTTCTTACCGCCTGGCAGGTTGCCACCCATGCTTACCTCACTGGCCTATCACATTGGAGAGGAGAAGCGGATGCCGACAGTAGGCATCAATTATAATAGGTTATTTGGATCCCATGGCGATTATACATACTTGGTGGCCAAGATGTTGCCCCCTTCGATCACCTCTTTGACACTCGGCTCATCGTTTGATCAGATTATCGAACCTGGTCTCATGCCGTCATCTCTCACATCACTCACACTTGGCAATGAGTTCGATTCCTCGATTTATCAACATGCACTCCCTCCAACACTGACATCTCTTGTATTTGGACAATCATTTAATATAAAAATCAGCGAAGGAGTGTTACCAAGCTCACTCAAGACCCTGACCTTTGGTGATTCATTCAATCAGATGATTGATTTTGGTGTGCTCCCTACATCACTCACCAGCTTGACATTCAATCGATCATGTTTCAATCATGCTATCCAGCCCGGTGTGTTGCCTGGATCACTTGGCACACTCATACTCGCATCCAAATATAATCAAACTATCCGCCGAGATATGTTGCCCATCTCATTGACATCACTGTCGATGTATGTTCACATCGATCAGAAGATTGAGTTGCCCAACACATTGACCGATCTCACTACCTTTCACAGAATAGAGCACATTTCCAATGACGATGATTCGACAGACACCACCAGCTCTAGTGAGCTCACGAGATCACAGTTGCAACTCCCCAAATCACTCACATCACTCAATATCCGAGGCCTTAGCAAACCCATTCCACCAGGCGTAATCCCAGAGTCACTGTTGGAGTTATCATTATATAATTGTGATTACAATCACCCGGTGTATCCTGGAATGTTGCCATCAACACTCCAGACATTGATGTTTGGATATGACTTTGACCAACGGATCGAGCCAGGTGTACTACCGGCGTCTCTGACCGAACTGATCTTTGGACAAAATTTCAAAACACGACTCGAGCCTGGTGTGCTCCCTCAATCGATCACCTCAGTACTGATGGGAGACTTTTACACTTACTCAGGACATCTTGCCTGGGTCGCTCACAGCATTGTATCAAGGTGGCGCTAATTGTGTTGTGACCTTTCCAAGGCTGTCCATCCTAATTGTTCAATCATTCGCGTCGCTCAAGAATATCCAATGCCGCGATGGAGTTGGTTCGCTCACACTGTGTGAGTACAACAAGATCACAAAGGTAACAATCCCATCTGTTCCGTACAACCTGGAAATGATTAGAATCCACATCGATAAAACATCAAACACGCCTGCCGATATGAAGCGACGTGAACAGTTCATCAGGATGGTCATGCGAGACATACCCAATGTGGTCACATACAACTTTGTCAGCGATGATTGGAGTGTCCACGTTCGACGACCTTCGAGTGATCCATGGAATGCGATCGTAGTCGAGCGCACATTGCCATTTGACAAACAAACGATACAATTCATCAAGCTTGATCAGTCTGGTCCGTTGGCGGCACGTTTGGTGGACGATAAAAAACGATTGATCGATGAGGCGGAACATCACAAGCTTCAAGTGGCAGAGTTAAACAAACAGATTGTTCATTGGAGATCAGAGTGTGAGCGACTCACGACTCGTGTGGCAGAGTTGGAGAATATTGTAGTTCCAGCGGTACCCTCTGATTCAATGGATCAAACAATGAACGATGTAGTCACAAGGACAGCATCATCAACAACAACATCATCCACTCAAGGAATCATTCCAGAGCCCAAGGTGTACACATCACTATCAAACAACAAACGAAGCAGAAAGAAGTATGAGTGAGTTATTAAACTTTAATTATTATTATTCATGATTGATTGAGATGATGCAATATTTGATTGATTCATTGGAATGGTTCCATTTTTAAAAATGGACCACTCCGTTTGTTTTTTTTTGAGAATCTTGAGTCTTTGGCGCCTTTTTGCAAGGTCTATCCAAAGACAAAACTAATCCTTCGGTTAGATGCTGAACCAATCATACATATACAAATAGATACTACTTATGGATACACTCTCTATAGTTGTGTTCAGAAAGATCTTTGATCTTCTCGAATATGAATACATTGACACAGCTTCACTTGGATTGACGTGCAAGAGGATGTTTGTAGAGATGCACAACAGGAGACAAATGAGATTGAAAGTCACTCCAAGGTTAGATGGACTGAATGGCATGGTGTTGGAGGACCCTTTCGTTGTATTCTATTACAACAAGCCAGCAAAGCTAAAAGCCCTCCCATCAAAGTTGACACATCTAGAGTTTGGTCGCAACTATGAATTGATGCTCCCGAATTGCAGCTTGCCACCCACACTTACATCGCTGACCTATCACATTGAAGAGGGGATTCCTTATTTTCTGTCAACACAATATGGAATATACTTGGGAGACGGCTTGCTCCCCCCTTCAATCACTTCGTTAGCACTCGGCTCAATGTTTAACCAGGATATCAGACCTGGTCTCCTGCCGCCATCTCTCACATCACTCGCAATTGGCCATAGATTTAGCTCCTCGATTCATAGACAAGCACTACCTCAATCATTGACATCTCTTAAGCTGGGCCACTCATTCAACTCAATGATCAGCGAAGGAGTGTTACCAAGCTCACTCATGACCCTGACCCTTGGTGCTTCATTCAACCAGTTGATCGATGTTGGTGTGCTCCCGCCGTCACTCACCAGCTTGACATTCAATCAGTCAAGGTTCAACCATCCACTCAGACCCGGTGTGCTACCTGGATCACTTGGACAACTCACACTCGCGTACAGCTTTAATCAAACGATCACCAGAGACATGTTACCCAACTCATTGACATATCTAACGGTGCATGCTCACACCGATCAGATAATTGAGCTGCCCAACTCGTTGACTTTGATCGATCTCTCTTCCATTCACAAAGTACTGGACACTAATAATGGGATGCACACAGTCACCTATAGTGAGCTCACGAGATCACAGTTGCCTCTTCCTCAATCGCTCACATCACTCAGGATCCGAGACTTTGGCAACTCCATCCCACCTGGCTTTATCCCAGAGTCGCTGTTGGAGTTGTCATTTGATCAGGCTCAGCCAGTGTATCCTGGAATGTTGCCGCCAACACTCCAGACATTGACCTTTGGACATGACTTTGACCAGCGGATCGAGCCTGGCATGCTACCGGCCTCTCTGACCGAACTGCGATTTGGACATAAGTTCAAAACAAGTCTCGAGCCTGGTGTGCTTCCTCCATCGATCACCTCATTGAAGTTTGGCTATTACTTCCATGCTCTTACACAGGACATTCTCCCAGCTTCACTCATCTCGTTGGATTTGCGTGATTATTGTGCTGTGTCCTTCCCAAGGATCACCAACCTCACACTATTATCATTCGAGTCGCTCAAGAATATCAAATGCATCAATGGAGTTGGATCGCTCACAATTGCAAAGTGCCTCCATGGGATGACCAAAGTTGCCGTGCCGGTCATTGGGTTCAATCTGGAGACGCTGAGAATCCACCTCGATAAATCAGTAAACACGCCCAGTGAGCTGAAGCGACGTGAACTGTTCATCAAGATGGTCATGGGGATCATACCCAATGTGGTCACATATCACTTTATCAATGTGGATTGGAGTGTCCACGTTCGAAGGCCAGCGAGTGATTCACGTCATGCGCTAGTAATCATACGCACTATGCCATTCGACAAACAAACGATACAATTCATCACACTTGATCAGTCTGGTCCGTTGCCGACACGTTTGGTGGAAGAGAACCAACGGTTGAGGGACGAGTGCGAGCTACAACAGCATCAAATTGAAGAGTTAAACAAACAGGTTGCTCACTGGAAATCAGAGTGCGAGCGACTCATGGTGGCCCAGCGTGCAGTTCCTGAAGCCGATGTGCCAACTTCTGATAACATGGATTCAGCAATGAACGATGATTTCACAGAGACACCAACATCAACTACAACATCCAAGGGGTACACATCATTCACCAACAAACGAAGAAGAAAGTAATATAATGAATAATATTTAATTGATGGTCTGATCTAATCATGCATTTGGAATAAAACACCAAGTATTTCCTTGAGGGAATCCTGCACCAACTTTCTTCCATGTATTTGTTTGTTCATTGTATTGAAGGATTCTTGAATCATTGTTGGACACAAGTACTGGACCCTTTCCATGGATGTAGAATAGTTCATCATTTTGAATGACAAAAGGTATTGTTGATAATGAATATGACTTCTTCTTTGATAATGATATCTTGATGAAATAATCTGATGATATAATATAAATATTATCCTGGTCATCATAACAACATCCATGTATCACCTTGTCTGGTCTATCCATTGTATATAATATATTACATTCATGTGTATCCAGTTTGAATGATTTGATATGTTGACATTGAATATCCTTTTGATCATATCCACCTACTATTATAATTGATCGTTGAGATGAATTATAGAATGACCATGGTGATCTGATACAATAATCCAATGATCCAATGTGACTAAATTTCTTGGTTTCCAAATTGAAACAATCAACTCTATTCAATAGACTTTCATTCCTATACAAATATCCACCGATTAAATATATATACTTGTCGCCATTATAACATGTTGATATTCCTATTCCTCCATATACTGATGTCCTTTAATTATATCACTTCCAAATATTGCCTTTTGCCAATCTCCTTCCACCAAGTTGAACTTTTTATAATGTGTACCTCGAAAGACATATATCATATCACGTGCATATATAATTGAATGCTTGTCAACTTGATAATAGTATTCTGTTAACCAATATGTGTTTGATATTAAAGTCCATTCACGAGTAGTAGTTGAGTATGCTCTTGATCCTTCACTATTGAATCCAATAATATTATTTTCAAATTTATGTGAAGGTTTCCATTCATCTTTGATTGATTGATCAAATACATCAATGACCATTTGAGTATCCATTACTTGTCCATCATTATCAACACATTTATATTGACTCCTCTTTGTTTTAAATGTTTGACTAAGTTGATAATCCAATGTTGGTGATGTAGGTATCAATTGAGAATACATCATCAACACCTCCATCAAATCATCCATGTTCCATGAAGATGACAATGAACTAGTTTGAGTGACTTCGGAATCATGATCAAATAATGGAGTATCCTTTTGAATGTTCTTAACAAACTGATTGAGTGATGTACTTGATGATATGGTATGAATCAACATTTTGGGATCTGATTGATATTGTCCTGATTGGAGTTGGACATCATCAAGTTGACCAAATGTGGTTTGAATATTGATTATCTCTTTAGTTGCTAGAGTTATAAGTGCCTCAGATCTAATCATCTCATTGGTGATTGATGATTTCTTCTTTTGTTCCTCCAACACTCGATATGATTCATGTACATCTCTATAATGATCACATATCTGATCAATTGATATTGATTGAGTTTGATATGTATATGCCAAACTCTTTAGAATACTCCATAGTTCTTCCAACCTATTTTTAGCTTGTCCTTCTACTTCTACTATGTCCATATTGATATTTGATTGGATATTGATATTTATTATTATTTGTTGGATTTTTTTTGAATGATTGATTGAACTAATTGATTCTATTTTTTTTGAATCAATTAGTTCAATCAATCATTAGACATGCAGAAATGCATGATGATCTTTGATGATAACTTATTTATTTTTGTGATGTGTGGTGATATTAATGTTGTGGTTGGTGTTGGTTAGGGGTTGGGGTTTCAAATTAGTAGTTGCGGATGGGTTTGGTGATGCCTTTATCGATCTCGTATTGGACTATGTAGCAGATCAAACAGAATGCTTTGTTTAGACGTTCCAAACTCGATCTCCAAGTGGTGCTCATTGACTTCCAAGACTTTACCCGGGCAAAGAAATTCTCGACGACCACTCTATGGAATGAGACGACATGGTTGTAGGCCTTCTCCTCTTCTGTGAATTCTTCTTTCTTTCCCCTCCTTTTGATAGGACAGACAAAATGACGAAATGCTCCAATATAGGCCTTGTCCGCAAACAGGATCTTGTTCTGAGAAACAAGTTGATCTTGAATTCCAGAAATGGAAGTCATCTGATAATCGTGTGTGGTACCACAGAAAGGTTTGGACACCCAAGTAAGATTTCCTTCAAGGTCAACGCAACACTCCCACTTGTAACAGTGATAACCATGCTTTCCAGAGTAGAGAAGAGACTGTTCAGGTTCTTTGGACGGTCTATAGACTTGGACATCAACTGAGTCTATTGCTCCAGTAATGATCTTATCTTCCAAAACATAGAATTGTGATTCAACATCTAGTTTATTGTTAATCTGAAAAAAAAAAATGATTAATTAATTATATATATTATTAATGATTGAAAACTACATACCTTAGGTTGAACAATAGGAAACAATGTATCGAGAACATCATTAACCTTTGATTGGAGGGTGCGCTCAGTAATCTTAAAATTGGTTGATGTTTGGGAGAGTGTACAATATTGTTTAAGATAAGTGAGAGCCATCACTAGGTCTTTCTCGCTAATAAGTTTGTTGGAGAGGGTATGGAGATGTTGAATAGTATCTTTGGAGCAACCGACATAGTTGGAGAAATTACGCCCAATATCATAGGGATCCATATCTATAGATAAATGTAAAGTTATTGAAAAATAAAATAAATTAGAATATATCCAGGTGTCATATCTTTATCCACAAAAAATAATTAGTATCTAAAAACTTAAAACTATGTGTCCCTTCAATCAATCAAGAAATCTAATCTTTAAATTATTATTGTAACAAAACATTTCATGAAGTATAAATTGGAACCTAATTGGACTATCTTTGAAGAAACGGTTGGATCGAGTTAAAACATTCAATAATTGGATTCTCATTTCCAGAAGTGTAAATTTATTGTCCGATAGTGCGTTCTAAGGTTGTGTCAGTTTCATGTAGTTTAAAACTCACCCACACCAATTACATTTAGTGTAATGAGAATGAGTTGTCTATAAATAGTGAAGACGCCATTAACTATTCATGAAACAAAACTAACTATATAACTTATAAAAATTTCCTGTAATTTAGTTAACTTATTTTTCAAATGGGCGTATTCAATTCAAGTGACGTCGTCTTCATCATTGACACTCTCAAAGGTAAGTTTTAATTAATTAATTAAATTAAAACAATTACCACTTCACCACCCTAACCTATTTTGGTCAACCAGCCAATCCAAACGCTCCCACCGGAGAAATCTACAAAATTTGTGTGACCAAGTTTGGTAGTGACCGGTTTAACTCCTCTACCTTAAGAAACAAGATCAATGCTGAGAAGGCAAAGATAAAGAGTGGTGGTTTTGCTGTCCCAAATCCCAGAGTGGGCGGAGCAAACAACAATGCTCAGACCAACGTCGTCACTGTTGCAGCCAACAACGCTGCTGCCACAACCAACGTCCAAGCCAACGCCAACTCTGAAGACGACGGAGACACAGACGCTGTCGAGGAGACTTCAACATCAACAACAACAACGTCATACTCACAAACCCTCAACAACAACAACATCAACAACAACAACAACAACAACAAAAGATTGAGAGAGGAGAACTTTTGTGATGAACTTTTGAACGGATCCACCTCCAGTGCATCGGGACTTTCAGAGAGTGGTCGAATCAACTTGGAATCATACCGCAATGATAGGCCCGACACCTTGTCTGTCCACTCCGGAAGATCCACCTGGGCTGAGTACGTGGACACTTTGGACCCCCTTGTCTACTATGCTCCATCAAACAGGGTAGACTCGAATGGAGATATCTCCACTTTGTCCGAGGTGTTCATTTGCTTCCCCAGACAAATTGGCGTGGTCTTGGATGGTGTCCAATTTGACAACAAGGCCAAGAGGTTAGTGTTGTCTCTCATCATCAATCAAGTCAACAGAGCAACCTTGGTTCCACTGATGGGAGATCATTCAAACCATATCCAACTCCACCCGATTAGAAGATTGAGTGTCCCTGTCCCCCTTTATGAGGTACTTCATTTCGTCAACTAGAAGGAGAAGAGCACCCAACAATGGTTCGGCATTGTCTGCGCAGTCATCACAATGTGATGAGTCCAACCACTAATTTGAAACCCCAACCCCTAACCAACACCAACCAAAACATGAACAACACCACACATCACAAAAATAAATAAGTTATCATCAAAGATCATCATGCATTTCTGCATGTCTATTAGTTCAACTTTGGTTCATGATATGTTTTACATGTTTTTGTGATTTTGGAAATTTCTCTGGAACCAAGTGTCGTTTCCTCATTGGGAAATTAAATCAATCAATCAATTCTACTGTTCTGGACAAGATAATAATCAAACAACCAACTCCAGTCTATGATGGATACATGCGATAAACATAATAAGAAGAATAAGGAGTTCATATGTTATGAATGTTGTGAGTTACTATGTCCAAACTGTTTGTTGGCTCATCGATCACATTCATTCGATCATGTTGATAACATAAGACAGTCAACGATAAACAACTTGCAACTTCTACAACAGCAACAACAGCCACAGGATGATCAATCATCATCATCAGACTCGAATACGATGTCAACAAACACGTTGCTATCGAGTGATCCTAGATTGAATGATTTGTGGCAGTCAGCACAAGAACATGTTAAGACATACAAGAAGTTGGGACAGTCTTGTAATGAAGTCACTCAACACTTTAGTGAGGTGCATGATATAATAGTTGTACAGGAGCATAAGCTAAAGTCACAACTTGAGCAACAACAGAGTCACACGGCATCTTTGATTGTTGACATCATAGACGAGGTCAGACTCAAGATTGGTGGACTATCATTCGGTGACAACAGCGATTTAGAACAGTTGGTAACAAACATATCATCATGCACATCGATGGAGGAGTTCATTATGGCCCTGATGGCAAAGGAGGGCGATCCCAATCAAGACCTCATAGCCMAAGTGTTCCGACATTGATTTATTGTTATGCGCACAACAGCATGCCCAAAGGATAAGGAGGAGCAAGAATGAGGAGAAGAGTGTAGTGGTGGTCCAAGACGTTCAACTTGCCAGCCTCGATCACTTTAGGAAGRAATGTAGTTGATACACTGGCCAAACTCACACCTGTCGTTGACATGCCCGCCAATCACATCTTCTCAGCCAATGGAGAATCATTCTATTTGTTCTCAATGACAGACTCTAAGTGGACATTGTCCAAAATTGGCTACAACAGCTGGTTACCATTTTTTAATGAGACCAATGCATTATATGTATATGCTCGTGGTGTATTATATTGGTTCACAACAGGCATTTGTCATATATACACACTCAAGGATAGATCGTATCATGTGCTGAGTACAACACATGATGCCTACAAGGCTGCCTGCTACAATGGCAATGATCAAATATATGTTGTTGAAGTGAAGACATCGAATGAACACGACAACTCAAGTACATATCAGGTCCACTCATTCAACATCGACACATTGAAGTTCGAGGCCATTGGTAATCCGTTCGACTTTAAATATGCATCACCCTTTACGTTCGCGATCAATCAAAAGATATACTTCTTTGGCGAACCATGCTCTGTTCTCTACTTTGACACTGTTGACAGCTCCACTGGCTATATCCTGAATCACAAAAATCTCTACATGTACAGAAGATTCTTATCAGTATGCTACGATGGCAATGACAACTTCTACCTGTTATTCGTTGGAGCCTTTTTCCGATTCTCCATCACCAACAATCTAATGTACTTCTTGCCTATTCCTCCAGTCGACGTCTACAGTCTACCAGACAAAATCATATCACATTATCATCAATCATCTGGTACAATCTTCTATCTAGTGGGATCGGATAAGAATATGACATTCTGCCTTCGTACTGAAGAGTGGTCCAGACTAACAGATGATGGCGATCAAGTAGCCGATAGAGGTGGATACGGATCATGTCTCATCCCAATTGGGTGGACCATCGCTGAATGATTGATCGATCGATTTTTTTTGATTCAATCAAATCATTAATGAAGTAATAGAGATACATATAACAAAGTCAGTATATGATGGATACATGCGATAAACATAATAAGAAGAGGAAGGAGTTCATATGTTATGAATGTTGTGAGCTACTATGTGCAAACTGTTTGTTTCCAACTCATCAATCACATTCATCTGATCACGTTGATAACATAAGACAGTCAACGATCAACAACCTACAACATCTACAACAACAACAACAACAGCCACAGGATGATCAATCACCATCATCAGCCAAATTGTCAAGTGATCCAAGATTGAATGATCTGTGGCAGTCAGCACAAGATCATGTTGAGACATACAAGAGGTTGGGACAGTCTTGTAAGGAGGTCTCTCAACACTTTAGTGAGGTGCATGATATAATAGTTGTACAGGAGCATAAGCTAAAGTCACAACTGGAGCAACAACAGAGTCACATGGCATCTTTGTTATCTGACATCATAGACGAGGTCAGACTCAAGGTTGGTGGATTATCATTCAGCGACAAAAGCGATGCCGATGTAGAACAGTTGGTGACAAACATATCATCATGCACATCGATGGGCGAGTTCATGATGGCTGCTATGATGGCTAACGGCGGCGATAACAACAAACAAGAACTCACAACCAAGTGCTCTGACATTGACTTGTTGTTATGCGCGCAACAACATGCCCAAAGGTTAAAGAAGAGCAAGAATGAGGAGAAGAGTGTAGTGGTAGTCCAGGACGTGCAACTTGCCAGTCTCGATCACTTTAGGAAGAATGTAGTCGACACATTGGCCAAGCTCACACCTGCCGTTGATATTCCCGTCAACCATATCTTCTCAGCCAATGGAACAACATTCTCGTTGTTCTCAATGACTAACTCAAAGTGGACATCCGAGAGCATTGGAGTCAGCAACTGGATACCATTTGATAATCAAACCAATGCACATTATGTATATGCTCGTGGTGTAATATATTGGTTCACAACAGGTTATTGTCATATGTACTCACTCAAAGATAGATCGTATCGTGCACTTATTACGACACTTGGTGCCTATAAGGCTGCCTGCTACAATGGCAATGAACAAATATATATCGTTGAAGAGAAGGCGTTGAACATCAACAACAAGGTCACTCCTCCGACATATCAGATATACTCAATCAACATCAACACAATGGTATTCACACCCAGAGGCAAACCGTTCAGCTTTGAGTATGCATCACCATTGGCTATCTTCATCAATCAAAGGATATACTTCTTTGGCGAACCATGCTCTATTCTCTACTTTGACACGTCCGACAACTCGACTAGCTATATACTCAATCACTCATCTGTCTCGATGTATCGAGGATTGATATCAGCTTGCTACGATGGCAATGACAACTTCTACATGTTGTTCGTTGGAGCCTTTGTACGATTCTCCATCACCAACAAGCTGATGTACTTCTTGTCACTTCCTCCACCATACATTAACAACACCAATAATGTAACACGCAAGATCATCTCACATTACCATCAATCATCTGGAACGATCTTCTATCTCTTTGGAAAGGATTCCAACATGACCTACTGCACTCGCACTGAGAAATGGTCCAAACTATCACTTGATAATGATCTAGTTGCCAGTAGGAGTGGATACGGATCATGTCTCATACCATGGACCACCACCTCTCAATGATTGATTGATCAAGTATTGTATTAATAAACTTGACCAACCCTTACCCTTGCCCCAACCCTTGCCCTTGCCCTCACCCCCACTTTTCAAAGTACACCAAGATGAATGATGTTCGATTTGTTTGTTCAAAGTTAGACAACTTAGTTATAACTAACGTGTCAAAAGAAGAAGAAGATATATATATAGTGAGATATAGAGGTTAAGTAGTTAGTAGTTGTATAGCATAATGTCTCAACAACAACAACAACAACAACCTCAACAACCTCCACCTCACATTGCACCACATGGTGCTGGAGGCGGTGGTCAACCTCCGCCACACAAGCCTGCAGCAAAGCAGCAGCAACATCAACAACCTCATCGAGGTCATCATCATCACAAAGATAACAAGGATAACAAAGAAAACAAACAAGCACAACAACAAGTTGCACCACCAAATGTACCAACAAACAATAACAATAACAAAGGCGAAGCTGTTGCAACACAAGAGAAGAAGAGATCAGGTCCCAAAGGTGCAGGTACTGGTGGTGGTCGTGGAGGAAAGCAACAGGGTCAGGCTCAGGGACAGGGTCCACAGAGTAGACTACAAGGACAGACACATCATTCAAAGAAGCAAATGGTTACCGATGATATCCCACCTCCAGTCACTCAATCAACATCAACAACTACAACATCAACAGCAACAACATCAACAAACAACATACAGACACAGCCAGACACTCCCCAGCCCGTAACCAATCAGACTCAACCTCAACTACAACAACAACAACATCAACTACTACAGCAGCAGCAACAGATGTTTGACACAAGCATTCCATCGTCATTCGTAGGCAACAACAACAACAACAACAATCAATTCGACTTTGGTGGTATCGGAAGTATCAATGGTGGACCAATGCCATTCATGGACCAACAGCAACAGCCACAACAGCAGGGTAGCTTGTTCCAATTCTCCCTGTTCTCACCTATTGGTAGCAATATGTTTGGTGGAGTAGGCGGCCTGCCACAGTCCAATCCACTACTACATCAACAAATGCAGCAACATCAACAACAGCAACAGCATCAACAACTATCTCCACAACAACAACAATTCGGTATGGGTCCTCCCGGTATGAACATGAACATGCAACAAAGTCCCAACATTATGGACCTGTTTCAAAAGGCTACCATTCATCGTACTCCGACCTCACCGACCAACATGGGTTTTAACATGGCCCAGCCATTCGGACAGATTCCTCCACATCAGATGATGTCCCCTATGGGACAGGGAGCCGAACATCTTGGTCAGCTTGGTCAACTTGGTCAGCTCGGTCAGATGGGTCAGATGAGTCAGTTGGGTCAGCTCGGTCAGATGGGACAGATGGGTCAGATGGGACAACAGCAGCAACAGATGAGACCATCCGGAACGAATAGCCCCTTTGGATACGGACAGATGCCACCCATGGGAGGCATGCCATTCTTCAATCCATCAATGATGCCCTCTCCACAACATTACATGCAGATGATGAACATGCAACAACAACAACAGCAACAGCCAATGGGACTCAACAACAACAACAACATGAACGATCAGATCAACAGCTTCATGGCTGGCTTGTCATTCAATGACATGCTCTCCTCACCAATGGGTGCTGTTGGCAGCCCCATCCACACCTTGGGTGACATGTCCACTGGATTTGGATTGGGTTCTCTTGGCTTAAACATGCTTCCTCAGCAGATGCAACAGCAGCAGTCCAATGACGACAGCACTGAGGTTGGAGTAGGTGACGAGGAAGAACATCACGCCGAGGAGGATGACGAATCGCTGAAAGAGAAGTTGGAGAAGTATACCAAGGCACGCACACTGCTCCCTGCGCCTGCTCCAAACAAGCTGAAGGATTTGACCGACTATGCCTACGATATCTTTGAAAAGTCGAAGTGCGAGGAGAACCGAGGTCGTGCATTGTTGAGCCGCCTGCAGAACATGGTGTCCAGGACATTCACCAAGTCCAAGGTCACTCTGCATCTCTTTGGATCATCAGCCAATGGAATGTCACTCAAAGGAGGTGACATTGACATCTGCATGCTCGTCGACGACAGTGAAGGTGACTCTGATGCCATCATCGCCAAGCTAGAGGCAATGTTGAAACAAAGTATGTTATTACTCACATGCCGGTCGGAACCACTCCACTAACAAACCAAACGTATTCATCATTGATTAGACCGCTTGACCAAGGTATTGGCAATTCCAAGCGCAAGAGTACCCATCGTCAAGTTCAAGGACCCCTTGCAGAGTTTGTCGTGCGACATTTGTTTGAACAATAGACTGGCGATATATAATACCAAGTTGGTATATGACTACTCAACGATCGACGAGAGGATGCGTCCATTGGTGTACGTGGTCAAACGATGGGCCAAGCGCAGAAAGATCAACGAGCCATCGACAGGCACGCTCAGCTCCTACGCCTACATCAACATGGTTATCAACTTTTTGCAGAGCCGTAACCCACCCGTGCTGCCTTGTCTCCAGGTGCTGGCCAACGGACCGGTGGAGATCAATGGCAAGCGGTACGGCGAGCTGATGCCCGACATCATGGTCGACGGCTACAACTGTAAATATTACAACAAGATGGAGAAGATCGTTGGTTTTGGCCGCGCCAACAAGGAGACGCTGGGCGAGCTGGTGTTTGGCTTCTTCCAGCACTACTCGCGCGTCTTTAACTTCATGACCGAGGTGGTTAGCATCCGCACTGGTCACACAATGCTCAAGTCCGACAAAACATGGGAGACCATCCAGAAGAAGAGCCACTTCTTCTTCTCGATCGAGGACCCATTCGAAGTGACGCACAATCTGGCACGTGTCGTCAAGAGGGCGCCACTGTCCACCATCATCAAGGAGTTCAACCGTGCCTACAAGATCCTATCGCAGTCTGGCAATCTACATTATGTTTGTCGCGAGTATGTTGGCGATGATGAGCAGCGTCATCAACTTCCACAGAACTTCAAGAAGAATCAGAACCAAACTCAACAGCAGGATCAAGATCCACTGAAGGATCAACAAGAGCATCAAGAGCCGTCCACACAGCAGGATAGTGCTGCACAATCACAAGTCGCCTCTGGCGAGACTACCTCCATGCAACAATAAACCCTACCTTAGCGAGGGTTCATTCTTCAACCCTCACTCCCCCATGATCATTTTGTTAGATCGTTCAAACAATTTGAATTCAAATTTTTGAATAGATTTGATGACAGTTGGCGCCAGTTAAATATGAATGTGTGTAACGGTCAGGCCTATGGACACTCATCCAAAAGCTCAACGTCAATTGTCATCATTATCATTAAGTCATATTTGTTACACTCCCCTATTAATTCTCTCTATCTCACTATCACCCCATCCATAAACAACCAATCAACCAATCAATCAAATAACCGTCCCTAATTGAGATGATAACATCTCTACATTATTACCAGAATGCGGCGCATCAGCCGTTGCATCATCCGATGCATCACCTACAGCTGACGACACCGCCACCACAACAGACCATACATTCGAATGGCAATTTCTTTGGCCAACATCTTGATCAATTCACCTCGCATCATCATCATCACTCACACCAGCCACAGCATCAGCCACAGCTCCAGCCACCACAACAACAACAATACCATCCAGCACTGTTCCACACGATGAACAATAGTAGTAACTCAACATCGAGCCCATCTCGATACTTTGAACAGTCGGGTGGCGGCGGCGACGACAGCTACGATGATGACAGACTGATCAATGAGCAGGCCCAGCTGCTCCAGAAGTCCCTGGAAATCCTGAGCGACAGCGATGACAGTATACCCTCGATGAAGAGTCTCTACATGATGCTGCAGAAGCAACAACAACACAGTCCACACCACCAGCGAAATCAACAGCCCAACTCACTATTCATCAAGACCAATCACACGCTCGATCATCATGTGGACCACCATCCATTTGGAAAGACGACAAACAACCTCAACAGCAACAACACCAGGGTGTTGAATGGTGGCATCTTTCCAATTCCAACCTCCTCCTCATCCTCATCCTCCACATTGTTTGGTGCAATTGATCAACCCATGCCATTTGCCCAACCACAACAACAGTCGAAGCATATGACATCAACTATCCCCACCTCCACCTCCTCCTCGACACCTTGGTCAACAGACTACTGGAAACCAACCAACACTCCATTGCTCTCCTCTGCACAACAACCAATGTCATCATACAATCACATGACATTGGGCAACGAATCGTATCCGCTATCCCAACAACAAATTTACCGATCAAATCACCATCAGTCACAGTCCCAGTCCCACTACCAACAACCGCAACCTCCCATAATAACTCGAACAATGGACTACCAACCATCGCTCGAATCCATGTTCCACGATCAGCAACACCAGTATGGTCTGAGCCGACCCGAGCCCACCACCACTACAAAGAGCAACCGCCCATTCAATCAATCAGCCGCTCCATTCTATCCCTCATCAGCTTCGTCCAAACACCTGATAGCTGCCAATGGCTCAAAGGACCGTGCATCCTTGTCCATCCCATCCACCGCCTCCGAATCGATGCAAGCATCCTGGAACCCGACCGATCAATTCCAGTCTCAACACCATACCAGCAGGCCTGCACCACCACGCCAACACCAGGATCAGTCCGAACAGAGACAACACCGAAGAAGAGACTCACACGACGACCATTATGTGCCCGACCAAGCCGACTACGAAGTTGAGTATGTCAATGGCACAAACAAGCAAGGTGGCTCCTCTGGCGACCAGAGACGCGAGATTTCCGAGAGTCCCGAGTCGAGACAACAGTACAAGCAGTTCATCAAGGAGTTCAAGATCCGCGAGAAGGAGGGTCTGGATGCAGCCATGGCCTACGCCTCACACTCGCTGTCGTCGCTCTCAGAGAAGGTGCACTGGCGAGTATACCTCGAGTTGGCCGACCTGGCCAACCGCCAGAACAACCTCAAGCTCGCCAGGAAGCTCTACCGTGTCATCACCAAGACCAAGCCATACGTAAGCCAGGGCTGGCTCGAGTACGCCAAGATGGAGGAGGACTATGGCCGTCTGGAACGCGCGCAACAGATCCTACAGCTGGGCCTCAAGTACAGCCCATTCAACGAGAGTCTGCTTATCAAGGCCATCCGCCACGAGGAGAAGATGGGCAACATCGATGGCGCCCGTGCAATGCTGTCACATCTGCGTGACCAATCCATATTCAAGACGTGGCGTGCAGTGCTGGAGGGCGGCTTGCTCGAGGCACGCGCCGGCAACGTTGATGTGGCACGCAAGATCTTCAAATATCTGATGCAACACGTTCCCTGGTATGGTCCCATCTACCAGGAGGCCTACAAGTTGGAGGAGCGTTGCGAGGAGTATGAACGCGCCATTGCCATTATTGAGCGTGGCCTGCAAGAGGACCCCAAGTACGGACCATTGTGGTTCAGCGCACTGCGCCTCTACGAGAAGACCAGCCACGGATTCCTGCAGACTACGCGCAATGTCGTAGAGCGTGCCCGCCAAGGCGTGTCTCGCGAAGTCACCTGGAAGATCTATTTTGAAGCCGCCCAGATTGAGGAGCGTTCGCGAAACGCCAGCCTGAGTCGCGCCGCCTACGTCCGCTGCGTGGAGCAGTGTCCCGAGAATCTGCAATGGAAGGTGTGGTTAGGCGGCAGCCGCACTGAGCTCAACGCCGACAACATCAATGTGGCCCGCAAGCTGGTGCTTCGCTCGCTACTCGAGGTGCCTGCCAAGCTCAAGCCCCTCGTCCTCCTAGAGTACTCGCGCCTTGAGGAGTATGCCGGCAATCACAACAAGTCTCGTCGCATCCTGAGGAAGGCCCAAGACGAAGCACGCAACGACTGGAAGGTGTTCCTCGAGGCCGTGCTTCTGGAGATGCGCGCTGGCAACTACGAAGCTGCCATCAATGAGGCCAAGGACGCTCTCAAGATACATAGTGGTGCAGGCAGGATATGGGCGGCCATGATCCAGCTGATGCAGCTCAAGGGTCGCGAGGCCCAACAACGAGTATTCCGCAAGGCACTTCAGTTTGTGCCCAAGTCTGGCGAGGTCTGGTGCGAGGGTGCCAGGATAGCTCTTGGCAACAACGACCTCGAGCAAGCACGCCAATTCCTCGAGTTTGCCGTCCAATTCACACCACAGTTTGGCGACTCCTTCGTTGAGCTGCTGCGTCTGGACATCCTGGAGAATGGTATCAACTGTGATATCTCCAAACTTGAACAAGTATGTATACAAGACGACGAATCCCCACCCCTCTGGGATCATTCCACTCACACTCCACTCCAACCATCATAATCATAGATGTGTATAAATGCCGATCCAAACTATGGACTGATGTGGCTGCACTGCACTGGGTCCGTGCTGGACAGCCCGCGACAGGTGCTGCGCAATGTAAAGAAGATGCTGGTGGAGATGTCGCCCGCCAGCCAGGAGGACTACGAACGAACAAAGGATGCGCGAGGCGGATGCTGTTGGATTGGCTCCAACGGTGTTCTATCACTCGATCGCATCTTTAGGAATGATTTCAACTCCATGTCCAACGAGGACAAGAGGAAATGTATGTTTGGTTCCGATCAAGTTAAGCCTTGAGATTGGAACGTCCATCCAATATTGAATGAAATGAATGAGTGAATGACCTAGAGATGGAGTAATGAATAACAAATAAAGTATAGAGTGCTGTAAAGTGAGCGAGTATGAATGAATGAATGAATAGCCAATGATTGATTGATTGGCAGTTTAGTGGGCAGCCTCGTGCTCGGAGAGGAAACGCTCGGCCTCGAGGGCAGACATGCAACCAGTGCCAGCAGCAGTGATGGCTTGACGGTAGATCTTGTCTTGGACATCACCACAAGCAAAGACTCCCTCGACATTGGTGCGTGTGGAGTGACCGGCGGTGATGACGTATCCAGTCTCGTCGAGAGTGAGCTGGCCGTCGAGGAAAGCGGTATTTGGGATGTGACCAATGGCGTAGAACAAGCCCTTAGCCTCGATAACAGTTTGCTCCTTGGAGATGACGTTCTGGATGGTCAGCGAGCCGAGCACCTTCTCGTCGCCGTGTGCACTGATCACCTCTGTGTTCCAAAGGATCTTGATCTTTGGGTTGTTGAGCACACGCTGTTGCATGACCTTTGAGGCACGCATCTGATCACGACGCACCAACAGTGTGACGTTGCTGGCATAATGAGTGAGGAAGGTGGCCTCCTCGCAGGCAGTGTCACCACCTCCGACGACGACCAAGTGCTTGTTGCGGTAGATTGGCAGGGCACCGTCGCAGACGGCGCAGGCAGAGATACCCTTGCTCCAATACAAATCCTCGCCTGGCACGTTCATTCTCTTGGCTGTGGCACCAGTGGCGAGAATGATGGTCTTGGTCTGCAGGGGCACCGGATTGCCCTCGATAAACACCTTGAATGGGCGAGCGCTCAAGTCGACCTTGACAATGTTCTCTGTCTCGATTCTTGTGCCACACTTGATCGACTGCTCTCTCATGCGGTCCATCAACTCTGATCCACTGATCTCACCTGGGAAACCTGGGAAGTTCTCAATCTCTGTAGTAGTTGTCAGCTGTCCACCAGCAGCAACACCTCCGGCCATGAATCCCTCGAACATCAATGGGTCCAAACGGGCTCTATATATAGTTTGTTTGATATTAGTGATCAATCAATCAATCGAATGTATAACTTGACATGACACATACCTGCCAGCGTAGACAGCGGCAGTGTGGCCAGCTGGGCCAGAGCCGATGATGATGACGTTCTCAATCTTGGATGGTGAATATGATGACATTGCTCTAATTTGATAAGCTTGGTTGAATGGTGATGTTGTATCGAATTGATGTAGATTGATCAAAGATGGTTGATTGACTGAAGTTGTTGATGTTGTTGTAGTGGCTGGAATTACAAATGAAGTTGCAGCGACGAATGATGTAGTGGTTGTGAAGCGATTGAATAGTAATCTCGAAACTCTACCAATACGCAATGGAAACATGTAGTACTTATAAGTAAAAATGTTATATCTGTATCTGTATATATGTATATTGAACGAATGATTAAAATATGACGTTGTGATGTTAACCTCTGAAGACCAATGATTCTTTGAGTGGGCTGGATCTTCCAAACCCACACGTTCCATTTCCTTGTTTTTGTTTTTTTTGGTCATTCTTTGTCAACATCAACACAAACATCATCAATGATGACCAAAAGGGGAAGTAATAATGTACCATGGTAATACCTTTAGTTGTACAAATTACAATCATATGATTAAGATAAATAAATTATAATCGAATAACTTTAATTAATTAATTATATATTATTATAAAATAAAAATAAAAATGAAGCACTCATCCATTCATTTGCAAAAAAACGAACGACACTTTGTTTCAAAACAGTTAATTGTAAATACGTGCTTGAGATAAGATAGAGAGATAAAGTGTGTGATAGATAGACAGATAGATAGATATAAAGATGGCAGATACAGATACTCAAGACAATACAACAACGACAACAGAGAACAAACCAAAACAGTTTGTAAAGAAGAAGGATAGAAAGGATTTAGAGATACCAGAGGGTGTGGATCCTTGGAAGGCCGTACCGTTGAGCAGAGATGATGTGCCAAAGCGTGTGCTCTACGACGACTCTTCATTCTCTACACTGTTTCCCAAGTACAAAGAGAAGTACTTGAGAGAGATATGGCCATTGGTCGAGAAGCAATTGGGCGAGCATGGTATCGTCTGTAAGATCGACCTGTTGGAAGGAAGCATGTCTGTCACCACCACCAAAAAGTGTTGGGACCCTGTTGCTATCCTAAAGGCACGTGATCTCATCAGGCTACTCTCTCGTGCCGTACCCTATATTCATGTAAGTCATTCATTCATTCATTCAATCATTCAATCACTATCTCGCTCGCTCATTCAATCAACCGATCATCTCAATCACATGGTCCTGGAACTATTCCACTTGATCACTCAATCACTCATTCAATCAATCAATCAATCACACTCTCGCTCACTCAATCACTCATTCAATCGATCACTGGAACTATTCCAATCACTCGCTAACTCGTTCACTTAACCTTGGTCATCAATCAATCAATCAATCAAAAACAGGCAAGCAAGATTATGGACGACGAGAACAACTGTGATATCATCAAGATTGGAGGATACATGAGGAATAAGGAGAGATTCATAAAGAGAAGACAGAGATTGTTGGGACCTGATGGAGCCACACTCAAGTCAATTGAGTTGCTGACAAAGTGCTACGTGATGATACAGGGAACGACGGTGGCCGCCATCGGCCCATGGAACGGCCTGCTTCAGGTGCGAAAGATCGTCGAGGACTGCATGAAGAACATACATCCCATCTATAACATCAAGGAGCTGATGATTAAGCGCGAGCTGATGAAGGACGATTCGCTCAAGAACGAGTCGTGGGAGCGCTTCCTGCCCAAGTTCAAAAAGACGAATGCGCCCTCCAAGAAGGCGCCCATCGCCAAGAAGAAGAAGGACAAGAACGCGGCGCCATTCGCACCGGACCAGATGCCAAGAAAGATCGATATCGAGATGGCCTCTGGAGAGTACTTCCTGTCGTCGGCCAAGAAGGCCGAGAAGTTGAGGTTGGAGCGCGAGGCCAAGCAGGCTGGAAACTTGGCCAAACGTCAAGAAGAGCGTGCCAAGGCATTTGTTGCGCCAGCCGAGAAGTCCAAGTCATCCAACGATGGTTCGTCCGAATCACAGTTCACCAACACATCAGAGTCGCTTCAAAAGATCAAATCAAGTTTAGGCAATGTAAGTATTATAGACTCCTGGTTATCAATCATCATCATTTGAACAATCACTGACCCATCTCCCATCAATCAATCAAAACAGAAGAAGAGGAAGGAGACTGAATCACTGAGTGCTGATGACTTCATCCAGAAGAAGAACAAGAAATAAACAACAATTAATGTCTCAAAGATCATTATTCAATGTGTCCATGTCCTTTCCCTCACAGACATACCCTCGCAGACATACCCTCACACACTTACCCTCGCACATTTTTGATCGACTAAACAACCATGCAGAGTTTGAAGTCGAATCAAAGAGAGATAAGATAAAGTATTCATACTTATACGAATCAAACAAACATATATATTATACAACTATACATAAAGAACAGATATGTCTGAACAACAAACAAACTTGGCATCTCTGTCACTAGAGCAATTGCAGATGGTGAAGGAACAGGTCGAGGGAGTATGTTAACGAATGAATGACAACACAGATAGAAAGAGATATAATGATGACGATGATGACGATTATGTACTGACGCATATTCACTATACTACTACTCGATAATAATAGGATATACAATCATTGTCAGAGTCAATCACATCACTGAAACATGCTGCTGAGAAGTATCTAGAGGCAAAGGAAGCTATTCAAGGTTTGACAGGTGCAGAAGGAAAGGAGATACTCGTTCCACTTACATCATCTGTATGTATCATCATATCATATTCAATCACTCAATCACTCAATCACTCAATCATGTGATATGACAACAAACAAGCTCTGACTCTCAATCAATCAATCATATCGATATTAGTTATACTTGCCAGGCAAGGTGAACTGCAAAGAGAAGGTATTAGTAGATATTGGAACACAGTACTTTGTAGAAATGGGATTGGACCAGGGTCAGCAATTCACCAATCGTAAGGTACAGATGATACAGGATCAGATCAACAAGGTGCAGCAGGCAATCAATGTCAAGCGTGGTCAAATGGATCAGATCATGCAGGTGGCTCAACAAAAGATTTCACTGGTACGACAGCAACAGCAGCAACAGCAGCAACAGCAACTGAAGAAATAAAATCAATAATGACAGAGTCGACTACTTCAAAGAACGTACGAACAATATAGGTACAAAGACATGGCATGGATGGATACTAAGTCCGCGATTTAAAGTGTGGATGGAGGAATACACGTATTAGCAATGACAGAATGTGTGTGAATGTGTGGATGGATGGATGGATACAATGACGATGATCGATGACGACACATACAGATACAATACAGATACAGATAGAATAGAGTTATATACACACACATATCCTGATATGATATGTGTTGGTATTGGTGAGTGTGTGTGAGTGTGAGTGTTGACGACCGGTCGGCAGTCAGTCAGACTGACATCACACACTCACACTCACACTCACACATAAACACAATGAAAGACGAGTGTGTGAACATCATCACGATATGGAAGTATGATAGAGTTAGATATTCGTAATCCTTGAATGACACACATTGACTAATCGACATCTTAATTATGGCTATGGTGGACAGTCAGTCATATACCATCGGAAACACAAATTGCCAACCCTACCCCATTCTAATCATCCATCCAACATCTAGTCCAGTCCAGTCCAGTCCAGTCCAGTCCAATCCAGTCCAATCCACTATTCATTACATTAGACACATTCCAACTTCTACCATTATTATTATACTATTACTACTTTACTATTATTATTATTATTATTATAATTATTCCCCTTTAGTTAAGGTGTATTAGTATTTGAACAAAAGAACAACAAACTTACTTTAAAGAAAGGAAGAAGACTTGAAGCTAACACTTCAATCAATCAAACAATCCAAAAAATGGCAATATTCCCATTAATTACACAATACAACAACTTGGATAAGAACAAGATGATTATCCAGTTGGCAGAGACCAAGCAACGTCAGTTCCTTCGTCAATGCATGGCCGAGTTCTTTGGTGTGGCCTTCTTCGTGTTCATGGTGTCTGGTTCAGTCATCACGGCCAACTTCTTCACGGCCGACCCCGTCGCACGTATCGTCCTCATTGCCTTTATCCAAGCCTTTGCCCTTGCCACCATCATTTGGTTCTCCAGTGGTGTGTCTGGATGTCAGCTGAACCCAGCCGTCACATGTTCCCTCATCACTACCTCACGTATGGGTCTCCTCAACGGTCTCCTCTTCATTATCATGCAATCTGCTGGTGCTCTCGCCGGTGCCTCCCTCATGGCTGCCGCTGTTCCATACAGATGTAAGTGTCCATCTTCATTCATTCATTCAATCAATCAAACATGATTGACTAACTTCCACCCTCACATAATCAAACTTTAGACGAAGGAAACTTGGGCGCAACAACAATCAACCCAGTGATCAGCATTGCCCGTGCTTTCTTCCTCGAGTTCATGGCCACTGCCTTGCTCTGCTTCGTCGTGCTGAGTTTGTCCGTGTACAACGAGTGGGACTCTAGACTGAGCCGTTTCGCTCCATTGGCCATCGGTTGTGCCGTCTACGTCGGTGTTGCCATGCTTAACCCATGGACTGGAGGCTCATTGAACCCAGCCCGTTCATTCGGACCCGCGGTGCTCTCGGGAACATGGCACTACCATTGGTTGTACTGGGCTGCACCAATTGCCGGTGGTGTCGCTGCCGGTCTGGTCTGGAGATACATCCTCTCCGAGAAGGTCGCCCTCATCGAGCGTCCATACAACGAGTTTGCTCCAAACCCATACGGAGTTCCAGCTCAATAAACACCATCCCTGCATGGTATAGGGCCTCATCCTATTCACGAGGTCCTATCTTATTATTTATTTCCCCCACATATATATGCATCGGTCAACCAGATCATGAGATCTAAAACATGTGATGGGGAGTGGGGAAGGGGGGTGATGATCACTCCCTTTCAAATTGATTGAACGAACATCATTGTAATAATAAACAGATAAAGATACATATATAGGTACAGATACAGATACAAGTATGAATAGTGGAAATATAATGAAGGTCTTGGCCGGCGCTGGCGCTGGCGCATTCATATACTGGATCATTCATGCGACTAATCAGGAGGAGGAACAATACCGCGAGTTATCGCAACAGCCTGGCTCACTTCAACAGAACAAACAACGATCAAAGTTGAGAGACTCGACTACAGACTTATCGGTCGCCGGCAATCTCCTGGTCGACTTGCTACAGAATACACATATCGAGTATATCTTGGGACATGATACACATCATGTCATTACGATTGACAGCACTGCCACATTGGACTATGCACTCATGCGAATGAATGAGTCGAATGTTGTATCACTACCAATCGTCGACCTTCAAAACAAGCGCTACATTGGCATGTTGAACATCGTCGATGTATGTTCATACCTTGGCGCGCACGTCCCATCCGAGGTTGCGCCCAACACCTCTGTCGCCGAAGTCCTAAGTATGTTGAACGTCAAAAACGTCAATCGCGTCAATCACTCAATCACTAATCATGCAATCAATGATCAATCAGAGTATAACCGTGAGCCATTCTTGCCACTGTATGTCAACTCGCCAATCCAATTGTTGATTCACATCATGACACAGAGAGTACCACAGGTGGCCATCATGTCCAATGAGACCATCGTGGTGGACATTGTGTCTAGATTAAATGTGATCAAGTTCATCTATGAGAATATGGAGGCCCTGGGGAACAGGTCCAACAACTCAATCACCTCACTCAACTTGCTATCCAAGTCTGTGTGCACGATTGACTCGTCCTCTCTTGTAATTGACGCCATCAACAAACTTAACAACGAGGGTGTATCCGAGTTGGCCATCGTCAACCAAGATGGCGCACTAATTGGATGCTTCAGTGCAGCTGACCTTAGAGTGAGTATCCATCCCTGTCATGCAAAAGCGCAGGTTGCAAGCTAACACTATCATCAACTTTAGAAACTGTCAATATACACTTTCAACCGATGCTATGAGCCAGTGTCCAAGTTTATCAAGTTACAAGATGTATGTCAATGACCGTCCGATCGTCCACAACCTTGGCATAACACATACTCACTCACTGACTCAACCAATCAATCAATCAATATAGGTTTCAGACGAGACACAACTCAACTTGATCAGTCCATCATCTACACTGCGATCAACAATCAGGAAGTTTGTGGAGAATGATGCTCCAATACTCTGGATCGTCGACTCCCAAATGAAGCCAGTTTCATCCGTCACTCAATTAAGTCTTATGAAGTTCTTCCTCAATCTCTCAACCTCTGTCTTTGCAGAGTAATGGACTGGAACCATTCCACTCATTCACTCAAAGTCAAACAATCAATCAAACAAAGTCAATCAAATAAATCAACCGATATATGTACATACATTTTAATTAATAATTAATAATAATAACCTCCAGAGTAGTAGGACTTCTTGGGTATTGGCTCCTCAACAAAGAAGTGGAATCCAAATGTACGGACACCGCCCCACTTGAAGGTTAGCAACAGCCAGTCGTTTCCAATCCTGGTAAAGTCGGCAAAGTGCTCACGTTTGTGCTGGAAGCGGTAGGTACCCACATTGGGAATCTTGGCATTCAAGCGACGATACAACCACAGGGCAAGGCTGAACTCTCTGGTCTTGATCTGGATGGCCAGCGAATCCAAGTGTACAGTCTTCAACGTACCGATGGGCGTGTGGGCCAATGTGATGGTCAAGTTCTTCAGACCCCTGGGCAGGCACTTCTTTGGTATGAAGTAAGGCACACTTAGATGTTTGATTTGATCGGGAAGCTCCATATTGTGGTCAATCCGGGAAGACTCGATTATTAATGAGGTAAGGGAGGCTGGCAATGCTCCATCCTGAAAGATGACAGGATAAAACGAATGCCCAAAGGTCAAGTGAGTGATGGAGTTGGGGAGTGATCCAGGTAGGATTGGTTCGTTGAACTTGTCACCAAATAAAACAGAGGTGAGTGATTGAGGGAGCGATCCTATGGTCACCTTCTTGTTAAACTCTTGAGTGAACTTCAAGGATGTCAACGATGTTGGAAGTATCAAGGCATGGTCGTACATGACTGGACCCAGTGCAAGTGATGTAAGAGACTGAGGAACCTCCATTGGATGCTTGAACTTATTTCCAAGATCCAGATTGGTCATTGATGCAGGAAGTGCGGGTAGTGGATGATTATATGATACAAATGATAGGGATGTCAGATGCTGTGGGAGGATAGAGACACCTTCTTGATTGATGAGAGGCTTGTTGAACAAAGCACCAAAGGATAGAGAGGTGAGCGATGCAGGCAGCACTCCAACGGCAATCTCTTGGTTAAACATCGAGCCCAGACTCAACAAAGTGAGCGATGGTGGGAGTAGTCCTGGCGCGATCTCTTGATTGAACAGTGAGCCAAAGGTCAATGATTGAAGTGACTCTGGGAGGAGTCCTGGCTTCAGCTCTGAAATGCTAAAGGACAGCTCGAGCAAGCCTTCTGGGAACGTGCCAACCTTGATTGGCATGTTGTTTTGCGTTCCCGTCATCTTCAATGATGTCAAGGTAGGTGGGAGCATTCGATGACGGATTGTCATTGTGCCGGCCACATCAAGGATCTGAAGCTTTGGTGGCAGGACATCGGTATCGTCACCGAGATGGAAATCACCATTGAACCGAATTGATGTGACACTGCTCCTGAATGAATTTTCTCTGATACACTTCTGAGAGTATTCAGAGACGACTACATATGTGACAGTCTTTGGTATTGATGATTTCTTAAACTTGGATGATCCAAAATATAATGTCCTGGGCAATGTATCTGATTTCAAGAATGATAGTGATCTCCATGTTATACCATTCACCTGTTCATGTCTTAAGATTGCAATAAACAATCTTTTACTTGTGAGTGCAAGGCAAAGTGTACCAACATGTCCACAATGATTACATATCTCTGCAATCATCAAGTTTGGTAATTTACTAATAACATCTGAGCGATGAGACATTCTATTATTAATATGATTGATTGATATTGTGATTGATTGAATGAATGATAGATTGATTGAATACTATGTTGTTTTGATGATTGTTGTAGATTGATAATTCATTGCTGTAGTAATAATATGTATTTGTTATTACAACTACAAACACTGTGAATGAAGATGAAAGGACAACAATGTCCTTTTTTGGGACTTACTCCGCACCCACACTCACACACTCACACACACTCATTCTTGAAGTTAAATGATGGACATCCCCAAAAGGGGTAGAGTTAATTAATTATACATGTATGTTATGAATGGATTGGTTGGTCATCGGGCTGGATATCCATGGCATACGGCTTGGTTGATATTCTCATGATGAACTCTTTGGCCGCAGCTGCTTTGACTGGATCTTGGTTGTCTGAAAGTCGATACGATGCTCCAAGGAAGAATCCTTCATTCAACATCTTGTACAGTGGTTCATTGTTTGATTTGTAATACTCGAGGTCTGGTGCAATGTTCATCTCCTTGGCCAAATCCTCAGAGTATGGTACGTACATCCTTGGGAATTGTGTGGGTGGCTTCCTATTCCTGATCTCTGACTCTGATTGAATGCCCTCTGCCATGGCTGCATGTGCCGGTGCCTGGTACTTGTTGGCAAACACTCCAGTGGCCCATCTAGCTTGCAATTCAACTACAGGTAGATAGGGTCCACGATACATTCCAACAAAGGCAATACCTGGCATTGATTGACAGAACACTGCTTTGTGAAGTAGCATTGGTTGGAAAGTGATTGATGGATCATAATGTATGGCATCAAGTATCTCTTGATCAAGATACTTTAGATTCACTGTGAATCCGGAACACAGTATAACTTGATCAATCTTGATTGACTCCTTCTCCTCAGCATCCTTGCCCACCTTGATATAATAGAGTTGGTCGTTGACTATCCTTGAAGGCTGTCCATGATAGAACTTGATCTTATTGTCTTTAACTTGCTGGACATAGTCGTCGGAGATGGCCACATATGGGTTCTCGGGGTTGTCCACACTGATGCTGTCAACGGTCGACTGTCGCGTCTTGTTCATCGAGTCGAACCATCTGGCGCGAACCTCTGGGTCGAGCTTTCTCAAGGCCTTGACGCGAGAGAACATAGTCGTGTCGACGGGCACATGCTTGCCATCCTCATTGGCGTATCGTGGCAGGATATACTCCTTCCTACGCGCGACAACCACCACCTCAACACCGTGTTTGGCCAAGTCTGAAGCGATCTCTGTGCCACTGTAGCCTGCACCAATGACCGCCACCACCTTGCCCTTGTAGTCTGCAGGGTTGCGATAAGCCGACGAGTGTATAGTTGGTATCTCTGGTGTGCCGACAGGCTGCTCTTGAGGTATCTTTTGGTTGACTGGCTCGGAGAAGAAGCCAGATGATATGATAATATTGTCAAACACCTTGCTGCCGTCGCCCTCTGGGGATGTCCATGTCACTCGCCACTTGCCATCTTCCTCGCGTGACACACGTGTAATGATATGATTGAAGTGTAACAATGCGTTGTGCTCTAGTTTGAATGCTTCGACGTATTGTTTGAGGTACTCGTAGACTTGTGTATGGCTGGGGAAGTTGTCGGCGACGCTGAAGGGGAAGTCAGAGAACATACAAGTATACTGAGACAAGTTGGTTCTTAGAGATTGCCACATTGTACCAGTCTGTGGTCTCCACAGTCCACCTATACTACTCTGTTTCTCAAAGAGTTCAGGTCTTAATCCATTCTCTATCGCTGACTTTGCTGCACACAGTCCACTAAAGCCTCCACCAATGATTGCAAGAGATGGTGTCATTGTCATTGACATTGATGTTCTTGTTAAAGATACAAATAATACTATTACAATGATGCACAAGGCATTCAAATGAACGAATGAATGAAAGAATGTGTGTGAGTTACATTTACAACATGATTCAGAGTCTATCTCTCTCATTGTTCATTCAAGGCTATCCAAACTTTGGGATTTGAGTTGATGGCAACATCTCAAGATGTGCCTGTTGTCCCCAACAAGATGACACATTGAATTTACCCATTCGATCATTATTGGGGACTTTGGTTGTTGATTGATTGATTGATCAAGTGTTGTAATTGATTGATTTGCAAGTCGGATAGAGACATCATGTCGGTGAAGCCAAGAAGACAAAGAAGGAGAAGGAGAAGAAGAAGCCAATAAAGTTACATGTTAGACTGTGTTCATGGTTTCGAAAGTCTTGCAAAGACAAGTCCAGAGATCGTGGACTACTACGCGAGACAAGGAAAGAGACAACAATGATATAAGGTATGGACAAGTATGTGTATGATACCCAACATTTGGATGACGAATACAACATCGACCTGAGTTGACTCAAAGTCGTGGCATGACAGCTCACCAATCTTGTCACGTGAGTTAGTCCATTCTCCTATCCTTCTCGAGACTTGAGACTAACCAGGTCCAAAGTTCCCTCAACACCAACTTGTGGGCACGCCACGCCCAAAAAGTCAGGTCACTTCTTGACATTATTAATAATACAATTCTAATAAAAAAATACAGTTTAGGCATGACCTTTGGTGCAAAGATCGTCCAAATATCTTTTGATTGAAGAGATCAACCGGTGTGTGATGGGGTGACGAGGACCTGTTGCGTCCACTTTGTTTGAATTTCTATTTATAATCATATTTTTTTTTTCTTTTGTTCATTTGATGATCTGTGATTGTAATGGGGTGTGTGTGAGTGTGTGTGAGAGTTATGTTGAGTTGGTGTCGGCAAGTCAAGTATGTGTGTGTGTATGAATGTTTGATTGATTGAAATGTATGATGTAGTTGTAGGGTGGTCATAGTAAGGTGTGTTGATGAGGGAGCATGATATTGCTGAGCTCAGCAACTTTGGATGATTGATGAAAGACTGATTTACCCCCATATCAATCTGTCAGCTAGCCCTCACTCAACAACAACAACACTCTCTGGCGCCTTTGTCACACCTGACTGACCAAGCAAGGTATCTCCCTCCTCACACACTCTGCATTGAGTTCATTTTGGAATATCACCAAATAATATTAGCCAAGTTATAAATATAACATATATTATTATCTCTCTTCACTTCACATAAACAATCATATACAATGTCTGGAAACTGGGAACACGGATTCTGCTCATGCTGTGAGGACACTCACGTAAGTACCAATCAATCATATGATATCAATTATTCAATCATAGTTATTAACCATCAATCAATCAATCAAACAAACAATCAATCATAATTCCATGAACTTGATTATATATTATTTATTATTTAATAATTTATAGGTCTGCTGTGTGTCATGGTTGTGGCCACAATTGCAGTTGATGCAACAGAGAGCTACCGTTCAGGGTCGTCAATGTGACGCCACTGATTGTTTGCTGACTTGCTGCTTCTTCCCATGCGTTGCTTGCCACGTCAGACATCAGATCACCGAGAAGCACGGAATCGATGAGAACATCTGCATCAACATCTTGGCCAACCTCTACTGCACCCTCTGTGCCATCACCCAACAGACCCGTCAGCTCCAGACCAAGGGTGAGAAGCCATCCGGTATCTTCATGGCTTAAACTATTTAGTTCAGGTCAATCTAAACGTAACAACAACAACACACCTCTTGCCTCAAGACACCTGACCAGTTGCTTGATTGATTGATTGCTTGCCTGTGCTTGCCTTGCTCAATAAAGTATCCTGTGTAGCGCCACATAAAGGCATCTCAACACTGTTTATATTCAACTTCCATTAGACATGCATCTTCATCCTTCCTCTGCCCTCATCTCGCTTCACATGACCTATACAAGGCAAGGAAAGAAACTGGAAGGTCTTCGCGAGCAATTTTGAAGTTGCGCAAAACCTTGAGAGGACCAGAAAGGGAAGTCATCTGATCATGATGAGCGAGTGTGTTTGGTGTTGTTGCTCGGTTGGATTCATTGGCTGATTGTGATAATGATCGCGAACGAGTGAGCTTATAAGTGATGGATGACATCGTCTTGCAAACATTGGATGGCGAGGAAGTAGAGTGTTGCAACAGAGTGCTCGACGTCATTGGTAGTCTACAGCCATTGGACATCGCCAACAACAATGCTGCTGCCGACCAAGTCGATGCCCAAGACGACGACAGTGAAGCAACATCACCAACCTATCGCATCAACATAACCGTAGATTACATTGATAGTAGTATGTACACAACCATGTATGAATGAATGAATGAATGAGTGAACCTAACCTAATGACTTAGTACTGGACTATGTTGATTGGTACTTGGAACATCGTTTGGATGATGGAACATCTGTGGAGGAGAAGGAGGTGAGCTTCAGCTTTGGTGGCAACAATGACTTGGAACACTTGAGATCATTACTAGAGTGTACAAAGGACTTGGATATCAAGGAGTACCAATCACAACTACAATCATACATTGCTCAACTAGAGTCCAAGTACAACAGACGCATATCACTCAATGAAGTATTACAACATCAATCCGAAGATGACCTCTGGTTAGTAATCAATCGATGTGTATACGATGTTACAAAGTAAGTTCTACCAACTCGCGAGCCTCCCTCTACCAGTCACATTGCTAACTAACACGGCTAAAGATGGATACCACTACACCCTGGAGGAGACTCAATAATGAATGGAAGAGGAGTGGATTGCTCATACTACTTTGAGATATATCATAGGACGGATATGGCATTCAAGAAGTTGCATCAATACTTCATTGGATACCTAAGTGATGCTGACACATGTCCAGCCAGTGACCATGAAGAGAAGCCAACCGAAGAGTTCTGGCTGCGGCTAAAGAAGTTATGTCCAGAGCATCAACATATTGAGTCGAACGAATGAACGAATGAACAACGCGAATGAATGTACAAGGTGTATTATAATGTTATTTATTGTATCTCTCCCTCCCTCGCTCGCTTGCTCACTCATTCATTGTTCACGCCCGCTGATGGGTGGTCGATGATGATGAGGCGGCTGCGGGGTCAGTCTTGAGCAGGACGGATGAGTCTGCACTCTCGCCTGGCACTACAGTGATCTTGATGCTGTTCTTGCTGGGCTTGGCAACGAATAGTTGCTCCTTGGGAAGGGTGTCGACGCGCTGGAAGACAGCCTGAGTGGCTCCCTTTTGTGAGCGATAGGCAATCTCGTCGCTAAAGTCGATGGTCAGTGTCTTGTTGACGTGCTTCTGGTACAGCTTGGAGAGCAGCGTGATGAATACTGTCTTGCGATTGGTCTCACAGATGTAGTCGGCCTTCTGAGATTGGTCGACGTGGATCACAAAGAAGTTGTCGCGCAGCTTAGAGCAGCTGAGACGCTCGATGGCGCCCAGGGGGATCGTGCGCTTCAACGTGAACCATGCGCCGTCCTTCTTGGGCTTGGCCAGAGGCACAATGTGGAACACGTTGGCGTTGGTCACAATGAGTGCACGCTTCTGTATCTTGTGATGACGGTTGATCTTGGACACCTGTACACTCAGTCGCACGGCCGCCTGTGGACCCTCCTCGCGTGTCAGCACTTGGCGCACGTAGGCGTCAGTTGACAGCGACAAGAAGTCACCATAGAATGCGATCGATGATAGCACAAGACTGTTGCGATTGCGCTCCTTGCGTCCCTGGAAGATGTTCTGTGAGTGGTTCTTGAGTTGCACACACTCCTTGCGCAGTAGCCAGCTGCGGTATGCGCGCTGGATCTTGATGGCAGCCAGTGTCTGGAGGTACCAGCGACGAGTCTTGTACATCTTCCATGTGGCCTGCAGCATTGTGGCCAGCTGGTGGATGCGAGCAGTGCGCTTGTCCTCCAGGTCAAACAGTGGCTGTGGGTTGCGGATGAAGATCTTGTTGACACCAAACTGGTACTCGCTCTGTGGGATGCCCAGCTCAGCCAACAGGATCTCAGCGCCGTTCTTGGCGTCGCCCTCCCACTTTGGCCATGTCTTCTTACCGATCATGTAGTAACGGCGCATGAACTTGGCGTATGTCTGACGGTAGCAGTAACCGGCACGACGCACCAGCAGGTTCTCATAGAGACCAAGGTAGCGGATCTGTTCTGACGAGCGACCAGCGTCCCAGTCGAGTGCGCGTTTAACCTCGTTGGGCTTGATGCAACGGATGTAGTGAGGGTTGCAGCTGTATAGAGACTTGAGAAGTGCGGTCACCTGCGACTTGAACTGGAAGCCCGCTGTGATTGGACGCTTCTTGTCAGTGGGGATGATGCTCTTGGCCTGCTGGTTGGCAAAGCCTGTCTTCTTGAGGCGGTCCAGTGACTTGGCCGACTCGACGTTGGGGTCGATTTCCTCAATGACTGGCACATACTGGAAGACCTCGACGAGCAGGGATAGCGATGACGATGTGGCCAAGCCAATCAGGTCGTTGAATAGAGTGTCGCGGTTCTTGTCGAGGAAGCCGTCGATGTTGTAGTACACCTTTCCGGCGTAGTGATTGATGATGAACTGGCGCTGGTTGGATGTCAGTGGCACCTTAGAGTAATGTGAGTGTGCGGCAAACAGCTTGCCGAGCTTCTCGAGCAGACTGGCGTCGTTACCCTCTGGGAACAGACACTCCTCATCCAAGATTGCTAGAATACCAAATGGCTTCTTCTCGATCAAGTCTACACATGGCTTGTTGTTGACATAGTCCACTGGCACCCACTTGATGCCCTCTGACACGTACTCCTCCTGCTCAGTCTTCAATGTCAAGTCGATGAATATCTGTTGCAATGTCTCATTAACATAGTTGATACAGAACTGTTCGAAGCTGTTATTCTATTGGGTTTGTTTGTGTAGTGTAGGTAGGGTCAGTTTCAGTGTGTCTCCACCCTGTTTCCATGTGTTTCCGCGTAGCCACGTGAGGTGGTAATGGTACGGAAACACGACGGACATTCTAAAAATACATACCTGGAAGATCTCGAATCCATATACATCAAGGACACCAATAACCTTGCCTTTGGTCTTGACCTCGATCGAACGATTGATGGTCCTAACCAACCAATCGAACAACTTGCTGTAGATGGCCTTGGCCAGGGCATCACGAGCCGCGGAGGCTTGCTCCACGTTCTGAAGCACGCGAATAGTCTCTCCCTTGCGTGGTCCAGCCGTGACCACACGTACCACAAGTGAGGACTCGAGCAATGCAGCATCCACGCCCATCAGGTTGGCCAGAGTCTTAAGCTGGGCCTTGTCGGCAACCTCTGCCTTTTGTTGCTTGTTGCTGTTGAATGTGACGTTGCCCAGAAGTAGGACGGAAGACAACAGCTTGAATATCTGCTTCTGCTCGTCAGCAGTGATGCCAACAACCTCCATGGCGTGGCGGGTGGCCTTGAGTGCGGCTGCATCATCTATGCCGTCAGCTGTGTAGCAACGACTCTTGTTTAGGTACTCATACTTGTCCGGCTGCAGTAGGGACAGTTGCTCGCGCTCCTCTGGTGTGGCGCCAGTCAGCAGTTGGTAGAACACGTGGAAGTTGCGCTCGCCAACGGTCTGTAGCACGACACGTGACTTCTCGAGCAGGTAGTTGGTGATCTTGCCTCCCTCGGGGTCGCCCACATAGTTGAACTGGATCTCCATATACTTGCCAAAACGCGATGAGTTGTTGTTCCTCAGCGTCTTGGCATTGCCAAAGGCTTCGAGCAGCGGGTTGGACTCGAGGATCAGGTTCTTGACGCGCTCGACGTCGCGGCTACTGCCTGTGATGCTGGCAATGTACTGCATGATGTATTTGGACGCCTCGGTCTTGCCGGCGCCCGACTCGCCCGAGATAATGATACACTGGTTCTCGTGCTCTGACTGGAGAGCGCGGTATGCCTTGTCCGCCACACTGTAGATGTGTGGAGGTATTTCAAACTCATGCTTGCCCTTGTACAAATCAATGTACTCCTTTCCATATATACCCAATTGTTTATAAGGATTACATGATATCAATACTGGTCCGATGGATGTCTATAAGATAGTTTGATTGATTGTTTGGTCAGTATATGTTTGTGTGGTTGGGTGTGGGCGAGGCTGGAATAGTTCCAGCCTCACCCCCTACCCCGACCCCCACCCATCAATCCCCATCACCAACTTACATAAATGATTCCTTCCTTGTATCTCTTTTGGACGTTATCGTTCAAGGCTGCCTCGGATACTGATGGCAACATTACAAGATCATCCACTCCGACCCTGTTGTTGACTGGTCTGATCGTTGAGGCTGATGTGGTGTTTGCCAGATTGCTCAAGACAGGTGCCGATGATGTGTCCACCACCTTACGTGTTCTTGTCGTCTGTGTATATGGCATTGATGGTATCAGTCAACAACTGGACCATCACTGATCACTCATTCATTCATTTCATTCAAACTTACCATCTTAAGGTGTGATTATTGTCGTCTTGTTTGACTGATTGATCGATTGATTGAGATATATCTTTGTTTGTTTGTAATAATATAGATAAAGAATAAGAATGAGTTGTTGTTGTTTGTTATGCTAACGATCAATGGGTAGCATAGAGACGACTGAGGGTAGAGAGGTGGACCACAACAAAGAAACCCCCTGACCATTGTTTACATTATCACACTGAAAAAAGGTGATTTGATCAACATTTTATTTGAATAATGATCAAAATTTTCAAATAAGTTTGAGTGATGATTGACACACACGGCAACAAGGCAGGATAGGGCTTTGATACCCTCGAGGGAGGACAGTGTCCAACCAACAACAAGGCAAAACGTCACGACTGGCTGATGTTTGTTTAAATGTTAATTATTGTTTGTTGTCCAATTGGATTGACCAGGATGATCAAGATATATATAATTATTGTCAACGAAACAACAGGCAAGCTAAAGATGGCTACATGTAGCCATCTCACCTCGGATAATGATGTACACCATTCCGAACAGTGACAGGAAGGACAACCAAGATGACGAAGATGATGAAGTAGTAACTTTGGATGGGGRATGATGATGATGAGGAGGAGTTTGCTTGTTCTTTATTGGCTGTCTGAAGGTCAAAAGAGAAGAGCAATACTATATATCATCTCGTGAGCTTCTACTGCGCATACTTGCGGGTCCACTCCTTTGCATTCGCCTCAAACCTCGCTTTGTCTGTTTTATACAAGTTGGCAATCTCTGGCACCAGAGGATCGTCTGGGTTGGGGTCTGTAAGAAGGGCACATATCGAAAGCAATACTATAGTGATGGGGGACATAAGTTAGAGTGTCTATTCAGTGTGATGAACTATGAACTAATGAATGAATATGTACCCTTGGGGATAGTCAATGCTGGACTCCACTGTTCCTTCAAAATGTCCAAACAAATACTGCCATTAGCGTTGATATTTGGATGATAAACTTTGGACTGGAAATTGATCTGTTGATTGTGTTGTGTGATGTGAAGACAAGCAACATGTTAGATGGTTAAACTGTTGGTTGTCGTGTCGACTGCCGACAACATATATAAAGACATTGAATGAATCTTACCTTGGGTGGCTTGAATGGGTAGTCCGTTGGGAAATGAATATTTAAAAAGAAGATACCTCCATCATATGGTGAGTCTTTCTGTTGTCCATTTAAAAGCAACGATCACAATAATGTTAGTATCGTATCATGTTATGTGATTGACCACAAGGTTGAGTCAAACAAGAATCAAAGATCAGAGATCGCGATCATAGATCACTTACGGGTCCCATAATAGTTGCAGACCAATGGAAAAGGTCTTCGCCACATGGTCCTGCGCTGCAAGATGTAGGTGGGTCACGAGCCAGATCGGACAATTCCTGTTGATTGATAAAAGATGTAAGTAAGAAGCAAGACTCATTGGTCAATCATTCAATCATAATTATAATTATAACATACCTTGTTGATTCTCTTTAATGCCATTGTATGTATCAAATGTTATGATCTACTGTATACTTTAAGATGATTGTAAATGTAAGTCTAAATGTACTATCACTTGTTATCTATGAGTTGAAGATGTAATAATAATAACAATTGCTACGAAGAAATCTAAATAATTGAATGAAGAAATCTGTATTTGAATGAATATTGAATGTTGAGTGTGAAGTGAAGTGAAGTGGAGGTGTCTTTGAAACTAATGACGTTGGTGTTGGTGTGAGAGTTGAGAGAAGTGAGTGTGCTGTGATGTGATGCGATTGATCAGCTCTTGGGAGAGTGAGTTTGTCAATTAAAAAAAATTAAAAAGTCAACAGACGTTGTTCCCCATGTTGCGATGCTCAACAACAATAAAGAATACGTAGTCTGCTTTGTCTATGACCAAGATGAATGAAGGAATGGTGATTCGAACAATGCATATTGTAGCAATAGAAATCAACAAGAGAGATCGTTTGTTTGACATACATGTATATATAATGTATCTCTATCTATCTATTTATCTAGATTCTCGCGTTCGAAACTTCTTCTTCTTTGTTTAATCGATTAACACTTTCTAACTCTCTGTGTCTATGTGTCTTTATCTCTTTGTACAACAAACTTTACTAAACTAACAATAACCAATGGTTGACAAAAGAATGGAAAACGGAGTTGCTATCCTCCTCCCCACCCACCCAACCAATCTTCGCACCCACCTCTCACCCACCCATTCAACTACTCCTTCTCTTCTATTTAATTCTTTTTTCTTTCTTTGTGTGTGTATGAGCTGCATTCCATTCAAACACATCACTTTGAGTCAATACGCGTCACCAACTTCAACAAAGCCTTTTTTAGAATAACGTTACGTCAATAATGATCTTCTTGATCAGATCCAACTATCTGTATCACTTCACACTAAATACATATTAATATACATGTGCAACATTGTAAATATTTATGTGTATGTATGTGTTTGTGTGTGAGTGAGTGAACAGTGTGTTGGATGTGGATGGATAAGTTCACGAAGATTCCCCAAAGGCAGTGTGAATGAATGGAATGAATGGAAATGATCCCGCTGTTGCTGGACATGGGTGTGGCAAGCTTGTAGTTTGAACATGTTTGCCCTACCATTCATCAATAGATTGACAGACTACATATTAGTTAGTAGTTATATAGTTTATCATTAAGAATATATTTAAGAACACAATATGAGCGAGAGTGAGCCAAAGAGGGAGTTGGCAATCCCTGCTGCAGAGTTGAGAGTTGTAGTTGTCGATACAGATTCTAATGATGGAAATAATAATAATAATAATAATAATACACAACAACAACAGGATAAGGAAAAGGAAAAAGAGCCTGGAAAGTATACTCTGGAGAATTTAGTACGAGAGAACCTAAAGTTGAAGGAGAGATTAAGTGCATATCAAAGAGAGAGAGAGGCATTGTTAAAGGAGAGAGAAAAGTCAAGGAAGAACTTGGAGAGAGCAAGGAATATTATCCTGGAGCAGAAGAAGACGATAACAACACTCCAGCAACAACAACAAAACAAGAACAAACCAACAAATGTCATTGCCAATCTAACTTCTAATGCTGTTGCCTCGGCATTGATGCGAACAACAGAACAACAGAAACAGCAGCAACAACTAAGTACAATGGCAACCACTCCAACAACAACAAACAATGAACAAACAACGAGGAAAAATGATATACATCATGTGGATGTAATTGATGAGAAGCAGCTGCTAGAACAACTACCATATAAGCCAAAGGGATTGGGAATGATCAAGAGTCTATCATTGTCCTCAATATACGCCCCATCACTCTCAATGTTCTCCAGTTACTTTGCCACTGCACCCAATAATGACAAGCTAGAGAAAGGACAAGAGAAGGAGAGTGTAGTGGATGATTCAGACGATGAGGAGCATCATCACATTGCAGCAACTGACAAAGATAAGATATTGATAGAGTTATTGCGAGCCAAAGTGAGGAGACTGCGTGAGAAGAGGAAGAGAGAGTTGACAAACACATTCAAGCTTGAGAAGGACAAACAATCATTAGAGGAGATGACCAAGTTCTACAAAGACAAGATCGAGTTGATGGAGCGCAAGTACAAGAGTCCCAGAGGTATGTAGTATATTCCAAATGTTACCCTCACGATCAAGTCCTAACATTCAATATTCAATCCAGTTATGTCACTATCACCAAAGACATTTGGAAGACATACCAGAAGTCCAAGGATACCATACAGTCCTGGAGTCGCATCCAAAGTTGGCAACATCAATGGATCATCCCCAAAGTTGGAGATACTTATATTATAGTTGTGAACGTCCAACATTAAATCTGTTGGTCATTCATTTATTTAATCAATCAATCATTCAATAATTCAATCATTGATCAATATATATACATTTATTGTCTTCCAGTCGCGGTCATACCACGATAGTGCCTAACCAATGGGATATGCTTGACGAATGGGAGGGCCTTCTTGCTATCCATTCCATCGAGAAGGTAGTTCATACAGAGTGGACAGTCTATTTCTTGGCGGGTCTGAGCAAACTTGATGATTGAATGTTTGATCGTGGTGATTGGATCGTCCATAGAGTCCTCCATCTCCACTGCATAATGTTTGACCAAGGTCTCCAACATATCCACTCTGTCCAAGAACAGACATCTATTAGCACGATCATTGATAAAGTCACCAAACTTGATATTGTAGTTGGACATCAAATAGTTGAACACTTGATCGTTTCCAACTGAGCATGCCGACCTGATTATTATCAACATTATATCACCAGTTGGATAACGAGTTGTGAATATCTTCTTGATGTAGAATAGGTCACTTTGTAGTCCAATCCATGTCCAGGTCCTCTCATCATAGTCTGAATAATACTTTCCCAATATATAATCAGTGATGTGATAGTGACCATTGATGAATGCCTTGTGTAGTAGTGGCGCGACCTCGAATGCAGTCTCAAGTATCCTGTCCAATGCATCTGGATAACTATCCTCCATCCACAATATGATGTCCTTCAATCCATTTCCAAAGACATATAATAGCAGAGCATTGAACATTGGTTTGTCAATATTAATTCCAAGTAGATGTTTGATGACCTCTTGATCAATCACTCCATGTCCAGGTCTTGGACAGAACTTCATGTACTGCAATGCCTCATCGCTGTACATCTTGACATGTGACAGCGTGAGTGCGCTGGTACATCCATCAAGGCAATCGAGCATCCTTAGTCTGTTGTCACCTTCAGATAGATGATCAAACTTGGGATACAACATTGATTGAATGTCCATTACTTTGTCGAATGATTGTGATGTTATCATGCGATACCTTGGCTCATCATTTACAGAATGATCTAATGCTGATTGAATTGGGTACGTGTCCAGGTAGAACTTGATCGAGTCCAAGTCACCCATTGCTGCGCAATGATACAACGTGTCGGTCTTTGAAAGATTGAATAGACGATGAAGTTTGATGTATCTTGTGATGTCTGATGACTTTGGATAGACGACCAACTGAGGGTGATGTGATACTGGATGATCACACTCTGGTAGATTGATCAAATAGTGTGCACGCTCCAACATCTCAACAGTACCATATGTGCATATTGTAGCCAATCCATCATTTTTGATCAATGTCTTCAAGATAATGTCCATCTGATCATGAGTATGTGGCTGATCAAACATCGAACGATCTTGATTGATATACTTGAATAATCCTTTACGRAATATGTGATACCAATGGTGGCCAATACAGTCTCTTGCGTGTTGCCAMAATGATGCCAACATGTCCATGATCACAAGGTATATCGAACCAAGATCACTTGTCATTATATCTTTACATGATTGAGCGAGTGCCTGTGACTTATCAATCCAACTCTGCTTTCCATAGACCACCAATATGTCGAGAAGATGCTTGAATGATTGTCTGATATGGTCATCTGATGTGGGAGTATCACAACTTGAGTCACGGTACAATATATCCAAGAGTGGGTCGGGCTCGACGTCTACGTCAGGGTCGAGTGGTGCGGCAACAGTCGGCCTGAAAACCTCATCACAGTACATCTTGAATTGGGCCAGGTCAAAGTCGATGTGATTGATAGCCTGTCTCGCGAGTTCAACGTCTTGACACTTGAGCAAGACGTAGAAAGAGTGCTCAAAATAGTCTCTGATGAGCATCTTGGTAGTGGATCCAGTGGCACCACGTTGATTATGTTGTTCAATGAAGGGCATCAATAGCCTGATCATACTGGCCACGTCCTTCCAATCAATGTCAACGTTCTGACTGATCGGTACGCCATACTGATGTGTCTCCTTCTGCGTGGCGACCCTCTGATCCCAGTCATGTTTGTTCTGTCGTTGCAAAAGATACTCAAACATCGCCAATCGCCCATACTCCATAGCGATCAGCAGGTAGTCCACGCGGCTGTTCTCTTGTCGCTTGAGAATGTCATCGAATGACACTGGCTTCTTCTGGCACTTTAGTAGTTTGTACACTTCCACTCGACCACTGGCCACAGCGGCAATCAATAGACTTGATCGAGAGAACATCAACTGATTGTTGGCGTAGACATACTTGATCAGATCGTCACTGACCTGTGAGACGGGCGACTTGATCAACTGCTCGAGTGACATGTATGACCAGTGCAAATGACATCCGCGCATCAATCGATCAATTAAAACACCATAATGACCTGATGAGATTACTCTTGATGCATCTTGCATCTGGTCATAGTGCTTGATGGCGTGATGATCAGGTACACTTCTTGCAGACAATGCAATGATCATCCTTACCAACGTCTTGTTGGTCAGCACTAATCTGATCACATTATCATGTTCAATCTTTTGTTCTCCTCTGCATGATTGATATTGGCAATTATAGAATCGAGTCAAGTATGTTCTGGAGATCTAAAGATGTTTGAACTTGTCAGATGATGATGTGTGTGGAGGTGGGATAGTTCCAGATAGTGTTGGATACTTACATCGTTGATTGATACCATATATATCTATGAATATTTGATTGATTGATTTGAAGTAATAAAACGTCCAAGATCTGGCACTAATTATTTATTAATATGTTTCTGATCAAATAGTGATGTGTGGATTGTTTTTCCAGAAACACTGGAAATAAAGAAGAAGGGTCACCATCATTTTGGTTGATTAGCACATGGTAAGAGATAACTGAGTTTATTCTTATCTATTGTTTGTGTATCTATCCCATAATGTTTCTGAATAACTAATCAATTGAGATATCTTGTAAATATGAATTAGAAACAAGATCTCATCACAGCAATCAAACTCTACTTGAAGAAACAATCGAGATCTGTCCTATCCCTACTCATTATCTCTTTTGTTTTGTTTTATACATACTTCCAGGATATTGTTAGTGAGCCAGGGTAACCCTCATTCATAGTTGTTGACAACTAGATTCATGGTGTATCTGTGTTGACAACTAGATTCATGGTGTTTGAATACAAACACAAAATTAGATTTATAAGAAAAAATAATATCAGCAGACACTTGCCTGAAGTGTCCAGGATTCATTCATTCTGAAGATCAATCAAAAGATTATACAGAGATATACTGATATATACACAAAACATGGCAGACGCCTCAATGGTTGAAGAGATATTTGAACAGGATGTGTTTGTCTTCTTGGAGAAGACAGTGGATAAGGATGAACATGATAAACTGTTGGACAAAATATCAGAGTTGGGTGGAACTGTTGTTGCAACAAGATCAATCAATAAGAAGGTAGGTAGGCTATATGGGTACTATTGGTAGTATTGATGAACGTGACACCTAACATCATACACAAACCAAAAGACAACATTGGTCGTTTGCAATGATAGCAGTTTGACTGCTGACATCACAAAGGCTGAGACACTCAATATACCAATCGTCAAGAAGGAGTTCATCATCGAGTCTGTCAAACAAGCAAAGAGATTGAACCCATCCGACTATCTACTAGCATCCACATCAACATCTACTACATCTACTGATGGTATGATCAACGTGATTGTATGAATGATTGATTGAATGAATGCATGTATGACTGACACTTTCATACATTACTTTAGACAAGAAGAGAAAAGACACTGATGATGGTAATGCAGATGACAATGCAGCAGCAACAAAGAAGGCAAAGTTGGATATATTGAAGAACTTTGAACCTGGCTGTGTATGGTGTGGAACATGCGTGGACCATGACGAGACATATCCTCTATTCTTGAGGATACTAAAGATTGATGAGAAGGATGAGACGATATTGGGCGAGACAGAGTGGCCAATGCTCAATGCCAAGGCAAAGTTCAAAGCCACACTAAAGGACAACGAGTTCAACTGGGAGGAGTACGAGGAGATTGGTGACGGCGATCAGCTCAACATCCCCAGCACCTATCAGGCCAAGTTCGCCATGTCCAGCAGCAACAAGCCAACGCTCGACGGCAAGACCACACATGACGACACCAACGTCAGCACCATCAAGATGACGATGACCAAGCGAGAGAAGATCGTGCTGTTGCCCTTCCTGGTCGTGGGCAAGGAGTTTGAGGGCAACCTCGTGCAGGACTTTGCGCTCAGTCTCAAGGTCACAGGCCGCAAGACAGAGAAGAGCGTCGAGGGCACCATCGACTGGGTTGACTTTAGCACCAAGACCAAGTTCAAGGGCACCGTCGACAAGGACACCATCAACTTCACAGAGTACGAGGTGGTCTCTGGTGATGGCGTCGAGTTGCCATGCAACTACGTTGGCAAGCTTACCGGACCTTCTGGTTCAATCGACAAACAGCTTTCAGGCGACTACAAGCTGGATAGTGGAATTGGAGGCAAGTTCACATTGAACAAATAATAATAATAATAATCATTGTATACCCTAAGACAAACAGACAGATAGATGGATGGGAGTGGATAGGTGTATTGGACAAGTGGATGTGATGGATGAGTTGGTGGATTGGGGACCTGGACATGGTCAATGACCAGGTGGGATGGTGTTCAGGAGGGTTGCGTCGCTGATGTTGATGATAGTCATGCGCCAACAACAAGGTTCAAGCCCCTCCCTTTGCTCAATTTGTTCTTGTTGTTGGTTGCTGATTAATTGTATGATTGATGGATGATGAATGATGATACTCCTGCCATTCGCCATTGTTCGTCAAGTATGCGTTTAGTTCTTCTTGATGGCCTTCTTCTTGCTTTGGGCCGTTCTCCTGGAGAAGACCTCCTCAATAGCCTTCTTGAAACAAATAAAGTTATAGTCGATCAATCCTGAATGAATAGAAAGAAAGAATGAAGGGTAAGTCGTCAAGCCAGACCAGACATACACATGACTACTACAACAGGACGGACACTTACCGTGCTTATCAAAGTTGGACTCACGAAGCAGACACACCAGGGCCAGATACTTGTTGACCTCTCTTAAATATAATATCATGCCATTGTTGAGCTTGATGACAGAGTGAGACTCTTGGTCGTAACCCAGTCCCTCCTCCTCCTCCTTCAATCCATAGATGCAAGACACATCGATGACTACATCGATCATATCACTGCACAGCTCGTAGGTCTGCATGTCCACTGGGGAGTTATCAGTGGCCACATAGATCTTGCTAACAACGTCCACCAAGAATGCCTTCTCGATTCTTGATCTCTGTATAATTGATCGTCAAGGATGATGTAAGTATTGATTCGTTCGATCAATCAATCAATCAGTGTTACACATACGGAGATGAAGACATCGAGCAGATTCTCGAGAGTTGGGAGTTGTGGAATCAACTTCTGGATGACCTTGGAGAATGCCTCAAAGATGGAGTGATCGTAGATACTGGTGATGTAGAAGCTTGGGTGAGTGTGGATGCCAGCGTCGGCCAGCTCATCAGTGGCCTTCTGCTGAATGTCTCTCTGTGTGTAGATCTTGTGATCATCAGTCAATCCATCAGCCTTGTGAATGAACACCTCAAAGTGGATAGCTGGGTTGATCTATTGATTGATTGATTGATTAGTATGAGTCGTGACCCGATCGATCGAACGAACAATCAAACATACCTGGTGAACCTTGACAATGGTCTGATGCAACTTCATCAAAGCCTCTGTGATGTCGTCCTGAGCATCAATGACAAAGACGATGGCACCACAGTTGTTGAGGATGAACTCGTAGTCAAAGGCTGGATCGAAGAAGTCCAATTGACCTGGGAAGTCCCAGATCTGGAACTGAACGAATGAGCTGTTGGAGATATCATTCTTTACAACCTTGCTAGTGCTCTCCAAGAACAATGTCTCATTTGGCAACATCTTGTGGAAGACGACCTTTTGAATAGATGACTTTCCAGACCTTTATATTTGATTGATTGATTGAATGGTTGAATGATTGATTGAATGAATGTGTCGTGTCAATCATCTGCCCTCTCTTGTGATGTGTCGCGATTGTTGTTCTGCTACTGCTGCTGTTGTCATATACTATGCTGCTGTGACCTACCTCTTCAAACCCATCAAGAAGATCTTTGGCTTGTTCTCAATTTGTGATGATGATTGACCCTCATTCTGGTTCTCCTCGCCGTAACCCAAGTCACCGAGGAATGATGACTCGTACTCATCATTATAGTTATCTTCCTCCATTATATATATTTATGTATATTGTATGAATATATATATTTATAACTGTATATATATATATAATAAATGATGTGATGATGGATGAATGATATTGATTATGAATTGTTGGATGAATGGTTGTGAGACCCGATTGTGTGGGGATCTGTGAAGGAAAGTGAAAGGTTGACCTCCCTCTCTCAAAAGAGAGTGAAAGAGAAAAAGATAATTCCTTTTTTATTTTTTCATCTTCGACCTCCAGCAAAGAATCAAAGGGACTTGTTGCTCTTTGAGCTCCATCACTTTATATCTCACTAATAATCATAAAACAAACAATTACAATTAATCCACCGCACTTATTAAGTCTACTATGATTGCTATTAATGACCAAATGGTCAATGACTTTGAGAGTGTTTGAAAATGTGGATAAAGACATTCGAGGCCTTGCAAGGATACATGAACAACATTAATGGATGAATTAATGAATGAATGCTACCTCATTCAGTTTATGTCAACAACAATGATAATGTTGCTGTGGAACTAACTCAATCAATTAATGAGTCTATGTAGTCAACAACGGACTGAGTCCATCATCGTTTTATATGTTTGATTTTTTTCAAATTATTGTTTGTTTGGGAACACAAAACAAAGCAAAACAAACAGACGACACAGGCACGGACCATCGATCACGACGCAGCCCACCAGTTGGTGTGTGGGTGGAGCCTTTGAAAAAACAGACCACCTCATATCATCTGACTATTAGATGGCTAGCTGCCCGCCCAGTGTTTCACCATCATCACCATTATCACCACCACCACTTGCACTCTCTCATCATAGCACCTTCGATTCATTCATTCATTTCATTCATACATTCACACACAAACATACACACGCTCTCTAACAACAAGATAGAGAGAGAGAGAGAGAAAAGAAGACCACAACAATAATCATTTCCCCTTGCCTTCACTCACTCACCTATACATACACATACCATACCCATATTATTTATTATACTTGTTATATTACTTTTGTCTAATACTCATCACTCAACTCAATCATTCAATCACAGACTCATCGATCGTCTTGATAATCATACATACATATATTTAATTAATATATTCAACAGAGAACAGCTGTCAAGTAACTGACTTGGCAGTCAACAAACAAACCAGCATCAATAGTTCCTTCAATCAAACATCAAGGCTGATCAGCCAGTCACATACCAATACACACAAGAGCGATCGATCAATCAATCGAAACATACATACATAGATACATAAGGAATGGATTCATCACATGGTTCACAGGACCAAGATCAACACGCCAGCAGTAGCAGTGGCAGTCATGAAAAGGTGATCTATGTCTATATTCCATTCTTTGCCGAGTCGGTGCCCGCCATCTGGGCCCTGTTCGCAATAGCAGGAGTCTTTGTACTGCTGGCCACAATACTATCAATTCATCTCATCTACAAACATCTCAAGTACTATACTCAACCCGATCACCAACGATACATTGTTCGTATCGTATTCATGATACCTATATACGCCATCTACTCCCTACTTTCACTCGTCTTCCACAGCTACGAGGTCTACTTCTCATTGTTTAGAGATTGGTAAGTTGTGACATTGATCGATTGACGTTGAATGAATGACATTGATTGATTGATTGATTGATTGACTAACATGTCCTCAGCTACGAAGCATATGTACTATATATGTTCTTCTGTCTCTGTGTCAGCTATGGTGGCGGCGACAGGAACTTGGTAACTCACTTTATATCACATCCACCTCTAAAGCTACCAATGCCACTCTTTTGTAAAGTTAAACCCAACGAGTATGTGTATCCTCATCCTTGCACTCATTCAATCATTCAATCAATCAATCAAACCTAACACATCAATCAAACATATATATAGACGATTCCTTCAAATATGTAGAATGGGCATGTTACAATATGTCCTGATTAGACCAACGATCACATTGGTATCGGCTATATTGGCGCGCTTCCATCTGTACTCTGAGGGAGAGTTCAAGGTGACAGACTTCTATCCCTACGCATCACTGATAATCAACTTGTCAGTTACAGTGGCGCTGTACATCATCGTCCTATTCTATCAAGCTACGATCGAGGAGCTGGCGCCCTACAAGCCCCTCCTCAAATTCACCTCAATCAAGATCGTCGTCTTCTTTTGTTTCTGGCAATCAGTGGTCATCTCTGGCATGGTCACGCTCGGTGTGATCAAAGGTATCGATGGCTGGGAGACTGGTGAGGTGTCTGCAGGTCTAAATGTATGTTAACAAGATCATGATCATGGATCACTGGAATGATCCCATCTACTGACCAACCGACCGACTTCCCAACTTTAGAACTTCCTCATCTGCTTTGAGATGTTTGGTGTATCAATCTTACATATATACGCATTCCCTTACGAGCTGTATAGAGTGCGAGCATTCAGTTCGGCACCATTGATACATCGCGTGGAGATGGGCTCAGTGTTCAAGTCTGTGATCAATAGTGTCAGCCAGCGAGACATGGTCAAGGAGACGGTGCACGCATTCAAGGGCACAAAGATCACCGACGGCAAGGTCAACGAGTACTCGGGTCTGAAGAACTCGGACTACGCGGCATTCGAAGTGGACGAGATCGAGATGGGCGAGTTCACATCGTACAACGACAGCAGCAACCAGATCGACATAATTCAGGACGGCGCGGCGATACTCCACGGAGGTCCGGCGTCAATATCAGTGCACCAGCCTCCAATGATCAGCGACGACGACTTTTTCTCATTGATGAACAACGACTACTCGAATATAGACTTCTCTGGCATCGATCAAGAAGCATTGGACGAGATGAATTTCGACGACTATGACGAGGATGTCAAGTTCACTGCCAGGAGGTAGTGTTGTGTAGTTCTCGACTGTCTGTCTTCAGTCAATAATATATATAATATAAAGTGAAGATGATTTATCTTCGCAGTAGTAATACGTGTCGATTCAAACAAACAGTCAACCAATCAGATTCTTCCATTCATGATTAACTCGGCAGTCGATCAAAATCAAACTTGAGTCTTGCAGCATACGTCAAGTTAATAGTTTGAATAATCAAAGATAGAGATAGATATAGAGATAATGGATGCAATTGGCTTTAATAATAATAATGGAAGAGCAGTAGCAGCATGTTGTGGAGTGCCAAACATGAAGTCAGAGTTCATATGCTTCGATTGTAAGAAGTTGGTATGTCCTTTATGTCTGGCACGTTCACATAATGGTCATAAGATGGACTATATTGCCAATATCAAAGAGAGGCTGGCTAGTAAGGACCTCAATTCAATCTGGTGCACTACAAGATTGGAACATCTGTGGCAGACATTACAACAGTGTGCAACATCGTATCGATCATTGAAAGCTACACATGATGAGATCACTGATAACTTTGAGCAACTGATCAAACTGATCATGGCCCAAGAACACAAGGCAAAGACACCAATCAACAATCAAATGGATCTCGTCGGGTCAACCATCAACGACATCATCAAAGAGATTGGCGACATCAATCATATTGTCAACTTTGTGCATCCATCGGACGTTAACATCGACAATGATGATGATGATGATGATGGTGATGAGAGGGAGATGATAACCAAGGTCATCGAATCAATCACATCATGCACATCAGTCAATCAGTTCATCAATACTACATGGAAGGGAGTGACAGACAATGATAAGTTGTGTGATGACCAGCTGCTGGCCATGATCCGCAATCACTTGGAGCTGACTGATAAAGTGAAGTATGATGACAAGTCATTATATGTGATGTCTATATCATACAAGGTCGAGACTTACAAGCTGGACGAGATCAAGAAGCAGATTGAATCAGTGTTTGGGTTGATTCTAGATCAACCGGTTCCTCAAAAACTGAGTCTGTCAGGCTGTTCTCCATTCGACAATTTAAATTGGATGGATCAACAGCAACAGCAACAGCAACAGCAACAGCAACAGCAACAGCAACAGCAACAGCAACAGCAACAGTACCCGCAACAACAACAGCAACAGCAGTACCCGCCCTACAACGCAGGCAGAGGTGGTCGGGGTAGGAGGGTAGGACCACCCTACCGTGGAGGTCACCCCGTTATATACTAGTAGGAGGAAGGTTGTCGGCTTTCACAGGCATGGAATCACTCCCTTCCTTTGTTGGGCAAATAAATATCTTTGCCCAGAAGAGAGTTGTGACTGAATGTCAAACTCAAGAATTCGAGTCCATGATCATGTGTTGTGTTGTTGCATGAAGAATGAATCAAAGGTTTAGTTTGAACATAAAGATATAATAACAAATAGTAATATATATAATGGACAATAATACTCCTCATGATAATACTACTTCATGTTGTAACAAACCAAACAAGAAAGAGTTTATATGTTTCGATTGCAAAGTGTTGACTTGCACTTTATGTCTTGTGCGTGCGCACAATGGTCACAAGATTGACCACATTGACAACATCAAAGAGACTCTTGCCAGTAAGGATCTCAATACATTTTGGTGTGCTCCAAGATTGGACCATTTGTGGAGGTCATTGCAGACTGGTGCCACATCTTACCAGACATTGAAGGTGAAGCATGATGAGATCACCAATCACTTTGAACAACTGATCAAGGTGATCATCACACAAGAACACAGAGTCAAGAAACCAATTAACGATCAAATGGAACATTACAAATCCACCATCAACGACATCATCATTGAGATCGATGATATCATTCACATGGCACATCCGACAGGCAAAGTCAATGTCAATGATGATGGTGATATGACACAGATGATTGAATTGATCATATCAAGCACATCAATCAATCAATTCATCAACAACCTGTCGAGAGTCGACGACAACAACAAAGACATAGTGAGTGATGATGAACTGTTGACAATGATCATTCATCACGCTCAGCAAATTCAAAGTCCATTCAATGATTCAGAAAGGCAATACCAATCATATCTTGTCAATGTAGACAAGTTGGATGACATCAAGAAACAGATTGAATCTTGCTTTGAACTTGTTGATTGTTTCCAGCCTGATGTCTCCACAACAACAACACCACATATACCGAACAAGATCATGGTGTTTGGAACCAGTGATTGCTCAGTGTTCTCATTAGCAGAGTCTAAATGGACTTCGACCATAGCTGGAGGGAAACCAACTTTTTACTTCATATCGTCATCGATTGTATATGCCCATGGCAACGTATATGTTTTTGGAGGTGTGTCTTCTCAAATGCAATTCCATCGATATTCGATGAGTGATGGACAATGGTACGTGTCTGACTTTTTTGGTGTGGGTGGCGGATATTCAATCTCAGCATGCTACGATGACAATAATCATATCTACCTAGTTTGTGGCCCAATTGCTGGTATTTCGAATAATAGAGTGGATTGCTTTGATATTGAAACTCAACAATTCACATCAGTTGGCGGCATTCCTATTAGCAGTTCATTCACGTTCTTCCACCATGACAATCAATCAATCATTGTTGTTGGTGGACGGAGGCCAGGAGGATTTCTTCCTCATTTAGATGCCATCTCATTCAATGTCAAGACAAAGGTCAGTGAAGTTCTCTTCAAGGACATCATCAAAGAACTAGATTCATGTTGTTTTGATCGTGTTGGCAACTGCTTCTATGTTCTGGGTGATGATTCATTCAAACGATACGATCTGTCCAACAACAAACAATCGACAAACTTGACCAAAAGTCCAATATTCACCAAAATGTGTCCTCTTATTCATGATGGACTGGATGGAGTCTTATACTTCTGTGGCGCTGGTAGAAACTACCGATACTCCACTCAACATGATCAATGGACACTGATCAATGATAATGACCCCGTTGAAGAACGAAGCAATAATGGACTTTGCATTATTCCTTTTTAAGACTAATAAATATCTTCAAAATTCATCTCATTCTTTAAACACAACATAGAGAGAGAGAGAGAGATACAGATAATGGATACCAATGCAACAACAACAACAACAACATGTTGTTGTGGCAAACCTAATATGAGGACCGAGTTCATTTGCTTTGATTGCAAAGTATTGGTTTGTCCTCAATGTCTGGTGCGTGCTCATAATGGTCACAAGATGGAGCATGTCAACAACATAAAGGAAAGTCTGAACAATAAGGATCTCAATACTATATGGTGCACTCCAAGATTGGAGCATTTGTGGAGGACATTACAACAGTGTGCCACAACTTATCAATCGTTGAAATCTACACATGATCAAATCACCAATCACTTTGAACAACTGATCAAAGTGATCATCACACAAGAACACAGGGTCAAGACACCGATCGTCGAACAAATGGATCAAGTCAAGACCGCCATCAACAGCACCATCAATGAGATCAATGATATCAATCACATCATCAACATGGTTCACCCACCAGCTGACAATGCCACTGTGGTCGACGAAGAGAATGATATAACACAAGTGATTGAATCAATAGCATCATGCACATCAATCAATCAATTCATCAACAATCAGTTCACAAATGTTGATGCTGACAGCGATAACGACAAAAACAATCGATTGAGTGATGATGAGCTGATGGCCATGATCATTCGTCACACTCAGATTGTGAATGGTCAAGAATCACTCGACTCATTATCTCTACGATACCCATCATATCGCATTGATGTTGACAAGTTGGATGACGTCAAGAAGCAGATTGAATCATGCTTTTATCTTGTCCAAAGTGCCTCACCGTCACTCCCTTCTTCAGCAGCATTGACTCCATCCAAGTTTGATGGCCAGATCATATCAATGCGTGAGAGGGAATGCTCCATGCTCTCTTTGTCCAAATCAAGGTGGACGTCAAACAACAAAACAACCAAGAATCCACTGGGCCATATATGCACATCCGTTGTGTACGCACGTGGCAATGTCTATGTGTTTGGAGGCAACGCAACACCGACATACAATCGATTCTCTTTGTCCGAGGAGCGATGGTACGATGCACCCATCGTTGGCGTGGACGGAGGATATCTAGTATCGGCATTCTACGATGGCGATAATCACATCTACCTTGTTGGAGGATTCAATGAATCTGGAGCTGATCAAGATTATCGATTCTTGAGTCGGGTTGATCGCTTCGATCTTGGCACTCAACGATTCACTCATGTTGGAGACCTTGAGTTTGGACTGTGGCGTCCGTACACCTATCTCCACAACAAGGACACGATCATTGTGGTTGGTGGGTGGAGGTCTGGCATGGCACATCGGGATGTTCTCTCGTTCAATCTCCAGACGAAGCTCACCGATGTACTATACAAGGGTGTCATTGATGAGCACGCCTCATGTTGCTTCGATCCGGATGGCAACTGTTTCTATATCCTGGCCATCGATTCATTCAAACGATACGATCTCTCCACTCAAGTTAACAGACAATCAACCGTACTGGCCAAATGTCCAACCTTTGCAATTAGATGTCCTCTTGTTCATGATGGATCGTTTGGAATTATTTATCTCTATGGCGCTGGCAACAACTATCGATACTCAACACAAGATAACAAATGGACATTGATCAAAGATAATGACAATGTTGTAAGTCGATCAAATTATGGAGCATGTTTGATTAAACAATGATCAGTATATATTATTTAGTACATTGTGATCTGAGGCAGCGATGTGACACCACCAAGCCCACTGAGGTGCCGTGATAGGTCGTCCAGGTGCACAGTCTGCCTGGTCTCTGTCGGCATATGCTTCACTTGTACAGAGTTGATGGCAGCCTCTTCTTCACCAATCACAATTACAATTGGTGCCATGTAACGTTGATTGGCCGCCCTGATCTGTTTGGAAGTGGACAACGACAGGTCTGACACCACAGTGTAATAACCTTCATTCCTGAGCTTCTTTGCAACTTCCCTAGCACGCCATTCAATCTCTGGTGATCCACTGCTCTCAAATGTACATATAACGATTGGCAATGGTTCCTTTGGTACCAATCCTTCATCCATGAATAATAATATCCTCTCTATTCCACATGCCCATCTATGTTTGTGATTGATAGTATGAGTGAGTGACGTGTATAGAGGTATTCTCGAATGGATGTGATCAACAACATACCCTATTGATGGTAATGGCTTGCCTTTGTATCCTAGTTCATTGGCCAATCCATCATAACGTCCACCACCAAGGATTGCCAGTGGAGGTGACTTGTCAGACTCGACTCCAGAGTCTGGACTATTGACCACGACCTCGAATATAGTATGACTATAATAGTCAAGTCCTCTTACAAGGTTGTGATCTAGTTCATAACGAATATCCATCCTATCCAGTCCCTTCAACACTGATTGGAACCTGTCCAATCATGATGGTCACGTGATAAATGAGTGAGTGAGTGATCCATCATCCCAAGTGATCGATCAATCAATGACATACCTGCTCATACTATCTTGATTGAGATGGTCGACTAGCTTGGGCGCATCTTGACTGACTTGTCTGTCTGCTCCACTCTTGGAGTCAAGGATGCGCAGAACGTTGCCTTTGTCAAGTCGTGCTTGGGAGTCGGCAGAGAGTGATGTTCGTCGTTGATTGAAGTATGCTCTGAGTTGCTCAAGATATTGCTTGCGAGAGTTGCTGTCACCCAATGAGTTGATCTTGATTGTGTACTTGTCGTTGGCAATGTTGAGTTGTTTCAGAAACTCGCCAGCCATGTCGATCAGGTCGACGTCGGATCGAGGGTCGCTGTCGCCCAGCAACTCTACGCCCAGCTGCTCGAACTGACGCTGTCTGCCACGTTGGGGACGCTCGTATCGGAACATTGGTCCTGTGTAGAAGTAGCGCAGGGGGAAGGCAAGGTTGTTCTCGCGTGCAATGGCACGCACCACACCCGCTGTGTTCTCTGGTCGCAGACATGTGTTGCCGCCACCTTGATCGACAAAGGCGTACATCTCTTTGGATACAATGTCACTGTCGCCTCCAACCGATCGCTGAAACAACTCTGTGTTCTCAATGATTGGTGTGGACATCTCGCGGAAGCCATACAATGCGGCCACACGACGACCCACCTCGTTAACATAGTTGTACAATCGCTTCTCGCGAGGGAACAAGTCAACTGTACCCTTTATCCTCGTGTACATTGTTGTTGTAGTCTTTATCTCTGTTGCTGATGATGATGACAATGTGAAACGAAGTGAATTGAGTGCGCTCAATCAGACGAGTTTGATTGAAATTTGATGATCGATGGAAGTCGACTCAATCGTCAATGACGCGTCATCATTGTTGTTGCCACATTTATTGATCGAAGCAGTTGTGGTAGGTGCAATGCACCTTATGCTGGCTACTGGGATGATCCCATGATCAGCCAGAGGCTTGCTAACTTGTTGAGATACCTGTCGCTCTATCCTGTACATTCGTTTCGTTCTGTGGATGTGTTGGTGTTGTCTATCTATCTATCTTCTCAAAGCCCAGCAGCGCACTCACTAACTAACTAGGATGGCGGTTGATTCTCTGGATTGTTCTGATAAGCAGACTTTGCTTGGGCAAACAAAAGTTGTTGCTCTCGCAGTAGTTGTTCGGTTGGCTTGCTGTTCATACTCTCGAATTTACGTGCTTTACTTGGTTTGGTGCTCGCTTCCTCCTTGTGCTTGTCATATACCTCTGATACCTTTTGAGTGTACTCGCTAAAGCCAAGTTCCTAATGTGATATCTTATGTGTTAGGTCGCTCAATCATTCATTCATTCAATGTTTCATTCATTCTTACATTTAAAGCTTTGATTACATGCTCTGCAGCAATAGTCTTCTTTCCCTCTTTGTTACATATATCATTTGATTCACTGGATATCAAATGGATGAACTCTGTTGGTGAATGATGAATCAAACGAACATTGGTTAGACAACCATCCTTTCGAGCTCAATCTCTCTTTGCCTGTAATACATACCAACGCAACACTCTAATATCAGATCTCTTGTCTCAACTGAACACTTTACATCCTTTGGTAACACCTCCTTGATCAACTTTGATACAGTGGCTAGTTAGTATGAGTGAGTTAGTTAGATTAGTTAGTCAATTGTCTGTCAGCAAGTCATCAATCACACAAGTAACATTATACCAACCTTTTGGAAGTGTTAGGTTATCTTCCTTCTCATTCTTTACAATATCCGCCATTTATTATTAAATGTATCTATATTATCTGTATCTGTATCTGTATCTGTATCTGTATCTGTATCAATAGTTCCCGAATCAAATTGAAGATTGTTTGTGTGTTCACTTTGGACAACTGGTAGTTTTTCAAACAAACACAAGAGTCCTTGGGTTTGGTAGTTGATCTTCTCTAGACCGATGACTACCTCTTGTTAGCTACATTCTCCTTCAACCGTATCATAATGATAGTCGATCTCATTGTGAATGAGAAGGTAGAAGCTAACACAATCCAAGAAATCGAGAATCCTCTACCAACCCATGTTTGAATATACATTAACAGGTATAACTAACTTAACAACTGCAGTTTCTTTGACATGATTATTATAGTTAACATTAGTAAAGGAGCATTGGGTGAGGCCTTCAAGACAAAGACAACAATGGAGTGATGACGCGTCCCTTGCTGACTCACCACACTTTCTCCTCACTCTTTCCCTTGCATTTTCAGTTTTAATTACTTGTTGATAAGTTCATCCATAATCAAACAAATACTTATTATTATTGTTATTATTTGTACTTAATATATATATATATTCAGAGATAGAGAAAAGAAGAATGCGATTCTCATTGCAGTCATATAGTTTAATAACGACTGCATTGACAGCAGGTATAATCTATCATGCATTCAGTAAACATAAACAGTTCTTCCCAACTGGTGTCTACCTGGCAACAGCAAAGCACTCACTGTTAGTACTGGCAAACATGTTACTCATCGTTGCATACTACCTTGGCAAACTCATCGTTAGAATCTATCTCGATCGTGTACAAGAAAGAGAGATGGAAGTATGTACAACGCATGCATTCAATCATTCAATCACATCACTAACAATATGTTGTCATATTCAGTATATAAATGATCATTTAAAGTCATCAATAATAGATACATTCTTGGCTCTCACTATCTTTAGAGATCACTTCAATGCACAGTTCATGTGCATGTTGGTCGCCTTGTTATTCTTCCAAGTACTTCACTGGCTCACAAAGAATCGTGTTGAATATGTAAGTTCCAACCTATGTTATTGTCATCGCCATGGTCACATCCTTACACTCCACGATGAAGATTGAGCATACACCTTATAGCTTCTGGAATCAAGTTAGATTGTGCGCACTATTGGGTGTACTACTGCTTTGCGACTCTGTCATTCTGTACTTTGCAATGAATTCAATGTTGCGAGATGGACCAAATAATATGCTCCTGTTTGGATTGGAGTTTGGTCTGCTACTGGTCACTGTGATCTCCACCCTAATCACACTGTTTATCAACATTGAAGGCATCAAGCGTGAAGGACGTTGGGACAACAAAGGTCTCTACCTTCTCTACCTCGAGTTTACCACCGAGCTTCTCAAGAGTATATTCTACCTTGTGTTTGCTGGTGTAACATTGATCTTCTTTGGTAAGTCTAAAGATGATGATCATGATGTTGTCAGCCTGTGTTGTACTGACACCATGCGCTCATCCATTCCCAGGCCTTCCCATTCATGTGATTCGACAGATTGTCGTGTCGCTGAGGACTACTGTCAAGAGATATGGCGATATTAGGAAGTTTAGAAACATTACCAATGACAGGTTCCCAGACGCCACTGAGGAGGAGCTGAACCACACTGACAAGATATGTATCGTGTGTCGTGAGGATATGGTCACGGGCAAGAAACTACCGTGTGGACACATTCTGCACATGTCCTGTCTGAGATCATGGCTGGAGCGTCAGCAATCATGTCCAATCTGCAGAGCTGATGTGTTTATTGAGCCGGCCGCTGCTGCTGCCGCTGCTGCCGCCGCCGCTGCCAACGCACAGAGAGCACAGCATCCTGCACAAGCGGGTGTTGTAGACCCACAACAACCACAACAGAGACATATGCATTGGCATGGAGCGATCAATCAACAACAACAGGAGAACCAATTCAATATGATTCAGCAAGTGCTGAACAACCTCAGACAACAACAAATGCAACAACAAGCACATCAGCATCATGCACAAGTGGCACACCAGTTCAATCAACAACTACATCAGCAGTTACAACAGCAGCAGCAGCAGCAGCAGCAAGCTCATGCTCATGCACCTGGCCAACAACCTCAACAGTCGACACAAACTACTGCTGTGCAACAACAGCAGCAGCCAATTATGTTCAACTTTGTTCAACAACAACAGCAACAGCATGCTCCCAACACAAACACGAATCAAGATGGAGAAACAACAGCAACAACAACAACAGCGACAGTACCAGCAGCAGGAGGAGCAGTATACAACCCTGTTCTACATCTGTCGTACATTCAACAACACCTCCAATATCTACTCCAACAAACAGAGGTGTTGTCACAGTACCTTCATCAACATCAGGTGCCACAACCACAAGCTCAAAGTCAAGACACTCAACCAGCCACACAACAGGAAAGCAGCAACAGCACGACGGCAACGACTACAACGGATACTGACTTGCCCAAGAATGACGAGGCAGTGGTACTGCCCGCCACCACCACTACCAAAGATAAGAATGATGTAGCTCGAATAGAGAGTGACAGTGAAGATGACTCGGCAACAACTACCACCACAACCACAACTACGACTATGAGTGGAAATGACGACTTCCAAGATCAACTGAGAAGAAGAGTGGCCGCCAATCGAGAGAGGTACTCACAGCAGAGCAGCAGCGGCAACAGCAGCAACCAGGAAACGTCGTGAGACCAGACATTGTTGTACACTAGTGTTACATAGAATAGCTAAGCCCCTGCCTGGCCTCGACCAGAAACATTGGCCACAGCCTTGCCTGCCAGCTACACACAACTGGGTCGCTTGCTTGCTTGCTGTTGGTTCGAATAAATACCTCCCCGACGATCCTATGTTTATTATTAATGCTGTATGTTTGTAATATATCATTGCTCGCCAGCCAGCCAACCAATCTATGGCGGCAGCTTTGTTCCATAGCAGTATTTCAGATGGGGACGTTTGTACTCGCGTTGATGTATCAGTGATCGTGATGAGGTGCGACAGGCCATCGTACACAGATCGAATTGGTTGCGTAGATATGATGGACTGATTCCACGATCGACCATCTTTGCCAATATAACTTCGAGCACTGGTATCTTATCGGTGCGCATACAACATGATACACAGAACTCATACTCACTGCAACAGTGATACTTGTCACTGCAGCTATAACATGAGAACTGTTTGAATACACTTGATACTGTCAATCTTGTTGCAACTGGTGACTCCTCCTCATCCTCCACATCATCATGATCATCATCATGTATACGATGTTCATGGTCATCAATGAATATCTCATCATCGACTACACTACTACTACTATTATTATTATTACTCTCGCTACTGTTGTCCAACATCCTCTTGCTATTTACAATACAACATCCGAATGAGTCGACCTTTGCTCGTTGACAGACTACACCTTGATCGTCTGCTATATACTTTGTACCTTGTACAGTATTCCTACATCTCTTCATCTTTATCTGTTGTTCTTCAAGTGTATCGTTGTCATTGCCATTGCCATTGTCCACTGATGATGCGGTATGATTTGTTATTCCCCATTTAAAGTTTAGATCTTTAGCCAATACATTGATATGTCTATTGTGATGCACCTCATCATCATTTGTTCTTGAAGATGGTTGTCTCCTATCGAGTTGTAATAGACTCAACAGTATTATAGTAGCAACAAGGAACACCAGTGACAGTACACCAAACTTGATTGATATTCGCATATCACCATATATCTATATCTATCTACAACTTCTACTACTACTATTTGTCTATCTCTACCTCTTATATATATTTATATTTAACATACAACTCACGACTAGATAGCTTATTATTATTACTTCATTGAATTTTGAGGTTTGAACAGTTTCTCGTGGGTTTGGTCGAGTTTGACCTGGTCATGGACTCTTCTCTCACTGGACCCCAGGTAGATGTCATATTTTTAGGATTTATTTATAATATGATTAATTTTGAATTTTGTGTCAAGGTTGATGATATATGTGATTACATCAAAGATATCTCGGTGCTGGTCCACTGTTCCTCGGAATTGTCTATTCAATGCATTGAATAGTTTGTAGCTACTGAATATATTCTCGATGATGAATCGAATAGACTGAACCCAGTCATTGTAGATCTTTTCCATTGGGGGGAGGTGAATGGCTCCTTGCTTCTTTTTGAAGGGCGTGATTAGTGTGTCAGGTTCGCCTTGGTATCCTTTGTCAGCGACTGCCCTGACCTTGTCAATTGCCATCAATTCTTGCTTAAGCCCTTGTCTGTAAATGTCAACGTCAGCCTCGGATGCCCCATGCGGTCCGGACACCCACACAATTTCTCCAGTTCTAACTACACATGCAACTTCATACTTCACACCAAACCTCTTCTTCTCACCGTTGTAGAATCCATTGTCTTTAGTCTCCAGGTCGCAGAAGGTGGAGTCGACAGCCAATGCAATAGTTGCTTCAGGATGATCTGCGGCATGATCTGGAAGGCTCTCTTTATCTTTGTCGAACTTAGTCTTTGAAAGTGTGCGGTGCTGTGATGATGTTAGTCTGGTATGTATGCCTAATGCTCACGAACCGTCCGTACGGACAATCATATGACAGACTACTTACCTTGATGCTGAGCTGTTTGATACTGTCAATCACCATCCAAACTTTCTCTCTGAAGTTCTTATCACATACTCCAAAGTGTGCCGAGCTATAGTTGAAAGAGTTGTAGTTTCGCAAGAAGTCCAGTGTCCACATCAGCCAGTGTTGCTCGGTGAATTTAATGTCCTCAAGGAGTTGTTTGGCTACGACTTTATGTACTCCAAATTTCTCTTTGAATGAGACATCGGTATAGTCATCGAACTCTGCCTGTTTCTTTCTCTTGTACCCCATCATAAAGTGATTTAATTAATCACTAAAAACAGTTATTACTTATGTGTTGTTATTCTTGTTGTTGTTGTAGTAGTTGTAGTTGTGGTAGTTGAATGTTATCGATATGGGGTGGGGTTATTGTTTCGATTTGTGGGGTGTGTAAAGCAATCTTAAGATTTGTTCCAACAGACACCCCTAATCTAATTTGGGAAGTGGGTTGAGAACAGACCACCAAACTTGAAATGAGAAGTTGTCATGTTCCTCACAGTAAATCTCATACTTCCCGACTTGTGGTTCTATGTTGAGACAGGTGACATATATACACATTTGTCTATTATAATACTTACTTCACCAATTAAAATGTGCGTACAATCTTCAGATTTACTTGAACATCTTAGATTGATATAATGAGGTAGTTTTTCCAAACAAGTTCATATAGATTTCAAATTGACCAGAGACTAATCTTTAATATTGGCCTATTGTCTCTCACTCTTTAATTTCCGATGTAAGGGAAGATCTTAATTAGTCATAGGTTGAGATATTAAGTAACAACTTAATCCTCTCAATTAAATTGTTATTGACAATATTTATCATACAATGGTTTATCTAGTTATATTAGATGATAATAATAATTAACAAAGGCATAAAAAAAAAAACACAAATAAAAAAAAAAAAAAAATAAAAAAAAAAAAAAAAAAAAAAAAAAAAAAAACAAAAAACAAAATGCGGCCAAACTCTTAGCAGATTTTGGAAATAGTAAGAATCAATCAATCAATCAATCAACCAA